GGGATTCATCTCGGTGGCCCGCAAAAACATATTGATCTCCGTCTGGGCGTCCGAGTTCATCCAATTCAACTCCACCATCAGTAGTTTCTTCTGGAAATTGGTCCGCACATTTACCGAGGCATAATGGGCCTCATCGCAGATGTAAAAGAGTAACCCAATGTTCCACAGTGCTGTTATGGTCAGTCCTATATCCTTGATGCCGAATCCCTCAGAGAGCTGAGACATTAGTCCGTAAATCGACAGAGTAATGATGAAGAACAGGTACAGGCTCATGAATACAAAGGTGTAGCACATGGCGTTTCCAGTATCCCGGGTTAGTTTACTCAACCGAAGCCACAAGACCCGATAGTCCGCTACCATGGCAGCGGGTCCAATGTGTTTCAGGGCCTTCTGGAACCTCTCCGCCAAAAGATGAGCCGTGTTGCTCATGGCCTCGCAAATCAGGAACCACCAGGCACCCAACATGGCAGTCAAGTTGTCCAGGATGCAGTAGGGCACCACCTGATTGATGTTCAGATCCGACATGGTGATGTGGGTAATGACGACCGATAAAACCGACAAGATCGGCAGCACGGTGGCTATGTAAAGCGCCTTCTGTCGCAGTTTCAATGGCAAACTATGGCCGGATATCTGGTAGTACAGCACCTCAAAGTCATCCCAATCGTTAAAGAGCTTAGCTATTTTCCTGGCCTCATACCACAGGATGGGTATGATCATTATGGGCAGGATGTTGACCAGGAACAGGTAGGCAATCACCGCCTCCTCGAAGGGTCCACTCAGGGATCGCACAATGTGGATGCGGTTGTTGGCCACGTAGCCTACATAGCACTGGGAGATGTATTATCAAAGTTAGACCACTAGTTTACACTACTTACATCTAAAATCTGCAAAGAAATTTTCTCTATCCACTTTGTTGTTTATGTTTATTTTTTATATTACTATCAATTTAATTAATATAAGTTTAGCAAACTCAATAAGGATTTCATATTATTTTTTTTAATTATTATAAATATGAATTTCTGAACTGAAATTTCGAAAACTTTTAAAAATAAATTGGAGTTGGTTTTAAACTTTTAGTTAATAAAAAAGTTATTGAAATATTTAACATTATATAACAATCGAAAAAGTATCTTTGAGTTTTCTTTAAGGTATTAAAAATTAAGAAATGTGTTTTAAAATATGTTTAAATGTTTTTATCCTAAACACCCAACTACTGTTAAAACTTCCAAGTTCCAAAGAGGTGGAAATTAGATTTTTCTTTGTAAATTAGACTCACCGCCAAGAGCACAAAGAAAACCACTGAGTAAATAAACGATGCGGAGTTAATTTCGAACTTGGCACGCGCAGGACCACGTCGAACGATGGGTAATACTCCGATAATCCTTAAGAACCAGTTGACAGGAGCTATGTTCCTATAGAAAACACTCTGGAAAAAGTACTATCCAGCTTTATGATTTGTATTTTTGGTAGATGTAGCTACACACACCGGCGTAAACTCCGGATTATTAGAGGCCGTGCTGTCCGAGCTCTTTTTCCTGTCCAACGGAGGAGCCTCGTAGTCCGCATCCAAGCGCTCCGCCAATCCAATGGAGTACTTCCGAACCCCGTACAAATATGCCTGGGCATTGGCACTATTCAAAGGCTTGGCGTTGAGGAACACCGCGTCGGCTTTCTTGCGTCGATAGTAGTTGGCCATTCCGGAGAGACAGTGTCCGGAATTTCCTTTTCACGGCCTTTTAAAACTTTTCCTCCAGACGAAAACATTAGCCATGCACTTGGCCCCGCCCGCATATCGACCACGCCTCTGTTTACTTAGAACCGGAGTTTAAGTTTCCTGTTGATGTGCGTTGTTTGTCTTTTGCATGCATTAACCTTAGCCCGGTGTCCCAAATTCAAATTTGTGTCAATGGCGCGCAATGTGACGACTTACAACACTGGCAATAGGGCTGTCGCTTATAATTTAGTATAAGTGTTATCAAGCAGTCCAAAAGGTTTGTCTATTTTTAAAAACTCAAAACTCGGAAAATAGTACAACAATGTGTTTTTCCACCTTTTTATTACTTAGTTATCATTACATTTTCAATAAAACGAAGTGCAACTTGGCACACGCTCTGTGGGTTGAGATATTCTCCAAGGTGTGGTACTTGCAGGCGTCCAATATACTAAAATTTTACATATATAGTTAGGATTTCCTTTTTTTAATATTTTTGCATTTAAAAGTTTTCGATTACGTGCCTAAATAGCGAGAAAATCTAAAAATAAAAACAGCCTCAATGTTCCACATTCCACCGTTCCGCCATCGACGCTAAGTCACCGACGCTAATTCGACGCACATGAATACTTTGTGATATGCAGTTGTTGCTGTACTTGTTTTTTATGTTTTGAATTGCCCCAAGGCTGTCGGTCATAATTGCTATCTTAGGATAGTTTTGCATAATAGCAAATTCTAAGGCTTTTTCTATTGAAGTGAGTTCTGCAGTCAGCGATGACAGTTTTTTGTTTGTGAAGAAACTTTTTGTTGTGTTCGAGTTTATGTGGACAAAGGCACTACCTGCGAAATTGTCCGACACTGAGACGTCTGTGTATATTATTTCCATATTTTTAGATATAATAAGATTAATTTTTTCTTTTAATAAACAGTTTATTTGAGATTTGTTTAAAATAAATTGAGTGAATTAAGTTGGTTGGAATGATGTGTGGAAGGTCAGGTTAGGTTTAGAACACTTGTTGTAATTTATAGTTTAAAAAATTTTTGAAGAGCACGTGACTATCTTCTCCGACTGTAGAATTGGAAGTGAGCCACTAAATTTATTGTGACAGTGATATTTTGTCTAATATAAAATACACTATACTTCTCTTTGTTTTTGTAAAGCTCGTCTAGATAGCGCTGCCAATTTAGTGCTTTCTAAGGAACGATGGAAAAGAAAAAATGGGGAAAAATTGGTTTATGGCTAGATATCTACTTTCTTTGTTAAAATCATAAGAATTCTGACATTGTAAAAACCAGATTGCATTCATTATTCTAAGCAGTGTTGGATTTGCATAATTTGAAAACCTTTTCTTATGGGGCACTATCAAAGACCAATATAATCACTGATTATATTGGTCTTTGAAAGGATGAAAGGTATATTAAAAAATTGTGCCTTAGTCTATAGAATTTTCTGACCTATCCTAGAAATTTGGGGTGAAGCTGTATTAACAGCTACATATTTAATAAATAGCCAAGTATTCACTTAAAGACTTAATGAAAACACCTTATGAAATGTGGCATAACAGAAAGCCAGTTTTAAAATATTTAAAAGTTTTTGGTTCCACAGTATATGTTCATATTAAACAGCGAAAAAAAAGTTTGACGAAAAGTCATGGAAAGGGATATACTTGGGGGGTATGAACCAAATGGTTACAGAGTGTGGAATGTGGAAAAAAAATCTCTGTAAGCAGCAAGAGATGTTGTTGTTGATGAAACAAATATGGTAAAATCTAGAGCTGTGGTTGAAAAGGACATGCATCTTAATGATGAAGATGATGAAAGTGTTCAGTCAAATATTGACTATGAAGATGTCCTAGATAATAATGAGAAATCTGATCAAACAGATGTACAGCCTAGTGATATGGTAGAATTTGAGAATGCCGATCCAGAAATGTCTGGTGAGAAGTCTTATAACGAAGAAGACTTGGAATCGCAGATAAATATTAGAAAAAGTGATAGAATAAATAATAAACCGAAAATATCTTATCAAGACTTAATAAATAATTGTGTAATGAATACTCAATCTTTAATCTATTCTATACCAAACAAATTTGCAGAAGTTAAATATAGTAAGAATAAAATATGTTGGGAGAAAGCTATTAAAGAAGAACTAGATTCACATTTAATAAATAAAACTTGGTCAATTGTACAAAAACCCATTAATAAAAATATTGTAGATTGTAAATGGGTTTTTACAATCACACAAAATGAATTAGGTGAACCAATGAAATATAAAGCCAGACTTGTTGCTCGGGGATTTACACAAGAATACTTAGTTGATTATAATGAAACTTTTGCGCCTGTAGCAAGAATCTCAAGTTTTAGATTAATTATATCTATAGCAAATCAATATGACCTTTTGGTACATCATATGGATGTTAAAACAGCTTTTTTAAATGGAATATTAAAAGAAGAAATATATATGCAAATACCCGAAGGTTTAATGAGAAGAGAAAATGAAGTTTGTAGACTGCATAAGGCAATTTATGGCCTCAAGCAAGCTGCAAGGTGTTGGTTTGAAATATTTGAGAAAGCATTGATTGAAAAAGGCTTTGTAAATTCACCAGTGGACCGTTGTATATATATTCTAGATAAAGGGGATATATTATCAAATATATTTGTTCTTTTATATGTAGATGACTTAGTAATATCTACCAAAAATGAAAAGGTGATGAGGGATTTTAAATTATATTTATATTATATTTAATGAACAAATTTAGAATGACTGATTTAAAAGAAATTAAATTCTTCTTAGGTATAAAAGTTGATAGAAGTGATGGTCAAATCAGTCTTAGCCAATCTGCTTACATAAAATCAATAATTTTAAAATATAATATGGAAAATTGCAATCCGGTAAACTGCCCTCTTCCGACTAAACTTAATCATATTGCTCTAAGCTCAGATGATAAGTGTGATGCCCCATGTAGAAATGTAATAGGTTGTTTAATGTACATCATGTTATGTACAAGACCTGATTTAAGTACGGCTGTAAATTTTTTGAGTCGTTATTGTGAAAAGAATAACACAGAACTTTGGCAATGCCTGAAGAAAGTTTTGAGGTACCTAAAAGGTACAGTTGATTTAAAGTTATCTTTTCGGAAAAACTCCAATATTAAAGAGTTTTTGGTTGGCTATGTAGATTCAGATTGGGGTGGCAGTGAATCTGATAGAAAAAGTACTACAGGGTACATATTTAAAATGTTTGATTCTAATATAATTTGTTGGAATACAAGGAAACAAAATTCAGTAGCTGCATCATCAACAGAAGCAGAATATATGGCCTTATTTGAGGCAGTTAGAGAAGCCAAATGGCTAAGTTCATTATTAATAAGTTTAAACATAAATATAGTTAATCCAATTAAATTATATGAAGACAATCAAGGATGAATAAGTATTGCCAATAACCCCTCATGTCATAAATTACCATAGATATAAAATATCATTTTACAAGAGAACAGGTTGAAAAGAACCTAATTGAAATTGTTTATATTCCTACAGGTAAACAAATCGCAGATACTGTCAAAAAAGGCTTCAAACGCGGGCAACAATTCGATTATCGATTTTTGTTTGTTATATGGTACCCCCCAACATCGACCAAGTTCAATGGAACACCCTTTTGTTTGGTTGGAGGCGTAAAGTACAAGTTATTTTGCGAGCCGGCGATTTTTGCTATCGAAAATATGGATCAAAGGTTTGCATCAAATTTGTGTAAAAATAAAATTAAGTTTTCGAAACACTGAAATGTGACAGGGCAACGGGAAACGTCTGGTAAAAAATGTGTACAAGTGGTACAAACTCTTCCAAGATGGCCGGAAGATGCCAAACCAGCCTCGCCTACGCCCAAGCACGTCAACAACTGATGAAAACGTTCAAGCAGTGACGAAAATGTTTGGAAAATCGTCGAATCACTATCAGAGAAGTTGCGAAGATGTCGGTATATCGCTGCTCGTGCCATGAAATTTTCAAACGTTTGGGTATGAGTCGTGTGCAGCGAAGTTTGTCGAAATTGCGAATTTTGACCAAAGAACCGTCGCATGAGCATCGCTCAAGAGCGTTGAATGACGTCAACGACGACCCAGATTACTCAAAAGGGTCATAACTGGTGACGAATCATGGGTATATGGTTATGATATCGAAACCAAAGCCCAATCGTCCCAATGGAAGAGCCCAGGCGAGCCAAGACCGAAAACAAAAATCCCGAGCTCGCAAAATAACGAACTTTACGCCTCCACAACCAAACAAAGAGGATGTTCCATGAAACTGACAATTGGGAGTGTACCAATATAACAAAACAAAAACGATAATCAAAAATTGCCCCAAATTGAAATCACCTACTTAACACACCTCGTATGCTGACTAAGCCATTACCAGCACAACGATTTCGTGATCTGAGAGATCAAATGAGTTTGATATGAATAAACGGAAAGAAATGGATCTTACTGAAAAACCGAGAGGCTGTCCTAATTAAATCAATTTTAATTTTGATTTGATATGAAATGGATCTCAATGAAAAACCGAGAGACTGTCCTATTTTAAGTTAATTTTTAATTTTGATTTGATATGAAATATTGTTAAACGTAAATTTAATTTCAAACAGTCTGATTGGGTTTTTGTGGGTTTTCCCCAATCCATGCAACAAATGTTGGACTGCAATTGTAACTCCCCACACTAAAGCAGAAACTGAAATTTTCTTTATACTAAGTAACATGTAAAGTATATATATATGTATATCCCATTTTTGAGGAGGTGTGTTGAAATATCACACTCATAGTTGAGATGATGTATTTCTGATATTGAAGTATTGCATAAGTTGAAACGGAGTATTTCAATGTAGCAAAAATGATATATACATATGAAATAGTAATCGATTGTTTTGGTGTATACAGCCTTACTACAAAAGCTTACTTCCTCTTCCTCTTTTGTTCTGGACCTCTGAAGAATATAAAAGTCTCTATGCAAATTGAAATCGACAAATGTGTTATTATTTATTTAACCTTACAAAATATTCATTGGAACGTGGACTTGGAATTATCAAGGGACTTTACTGGGAAACGCTGCCAAATCGGATTGATTTATATTTTCCAATATTTTCAATCAAAATTGTCAACCGTTGTTCAAGCTGTATGAACGCTTTCCCGATTTTTTCAATGATCCACAAATATTTGACAATGAGTATCGAACAATGAAAACTGACGACATGGTTAAAATGCTTTTGACTAATAATCTCAATTGCGATACATTCTGGTACGAATTGAGTCAGTTAAAAGATATAAATAATTGCTATAAATATTCAAATATTTCGAAATTTGCTCAATCTACATATGTCAATTTTGCCCGTTTCTAATGCGTCCTGCGAACGCATATTCTCTCAAATTAATTTAATCAAATCGAAAAATCGTATTACATGTAAAACAATCATTGCGCGAAAATGGGTGCAATAATTTTAAGCCCAATGAACAAATGTTATGTAAAGATCTCAACAAATTTAATTTAAGCAGCTCTGACGAAGAAGGCTAGTAAATATAATTAAATGTAATACTCTGATCTTAAAAGAAACTTACAAGACTGGACAAAGAGGTTCCTTTATTATTTTATTTTAAGAAAATGTTACAAAATGAATTTTAAGCATTTAATTAATTTTAAGACTTTAAATATATATTGGAATATGGAATTGAATACGAATGCATATTGTTTTTGTTTAATGTTGGACTGAAATATTATTAATCTTGTAAAATGAAATAAAAAACAAACATTTTTTGCAATGGAAAAAAACCTTTTTTTCTATATATAATAAGTCAATTATTATTTTTACATATTACCAAATTGGTATTTCTCTTTTGGTCCGGCGCGGTCACGCTGCTTCCTCCTCTACGAAAAGGAAGTAACGATGGATGACTACCAGCGGCAAATTACGGCAAATCGCCCTAAGCGAAGCCAGTGTGACATCTGTATGGACCCCATTTTCTACTTCTCCCTGCACAACGTCGTCTATGCAGACTGCTGCCACATGGGATTCGCCCATAAGACCTGCATGCGAAAATACGCCCTAAGCGCAGGATATTACTTGCGCTGCATTTGGTGCCGATCAGTTAAGTTTCGAGAGACCGTGCGCTTGCAGTCGATTTTCGTGCCGGATCGCGATGCAAAATGGGAGCTGCAGAAGAACGCCTATCGAGAGCTTCACGAGCACAAAGTGAGCTGCGACTTGATAGAATGCATTTGCCCCAGGGGCAGGGATCACAATAATCAGAGCTGGCTAACTTTGGCCTGTAAGCTGTGCGCCTCCACGGGCGCACATGCCAAGTGCTTGGCGGGTACGCTGCGCCTGAACAGGCAAACCCAGCCCACCGAATTTAAGTGCGATGTGTGCCTGGAAAAGGAGCGAAGGCTTTCCGAGGGCCCGGCCCGTAATCTGGATCCATCAATAACAGGAACAGAGGGCCACGTGGATGGATCATTTTTTGTTATAAAAGAAGAGAGCCCCAGATGCCAGCTCTTGGCGGTTACATGTCTCCCGTGTTCTCCGAAGACAATGGCACGGACATAAGCAACTCTAGTAAAAGTCGCTCCACTTCCAGGCACCCAACGCACTTAAATTCGGTGGGCTGGGTTTGCCTGTTCATGCGCAGCTTACCCGCCAAGCACTTGGCATGTGCGCCCGTGGAGGCGCACAGCTTACAGGCCAAAGTTAGCCAGCTCTGATTATTGTGATCCCTGCCCCTGGGGCAAATGCATTGTATCAAGTCGCAGCTCACTTTAGGCTCGTGAAGCTCTCGATAGGCGTTCTTCTGCAGCTCCCATTTTGCATCGCGATCCGGCACGAAAATCGACTGCAAGCGCACGGTCTCTCGAAACTTAACTGATCGGCACCAAATGCAGCGCAAGTAATATCCCGCGCTTAGGGCGTATTTTCGCATGCAGGTCTTATGGGCGAATCCCATGTGGCAGCAGTCTGCATAGACGACGTTGTGCAGGGAGAAGTAGAAAATGGGGTCCATATAGATGTCACACTGGCTTCGCTTAGGGCGATTTGCCGTAATATGCCGCTGGTAGTCATCCATCGTTACTTCCTTTTCGTAGAGGAGGAACCAGCGTGACCGCGCCGGACCAAAAGAGAAATACCAATTTGGTAATATGTAAAAATAATAGGGATGTCAAAAATATATCAAAATATCAATATATCGATATTTTTTGGAAAAAAAAAATATTTATATCGTTATATTTTTTTAGCCAAATATCAAAATATCGATAGTTTATTTTTCGATATTATTTGATACTTGCATATCTTTCTCTCATGTACATAAGCATGCCTCACACCGACTGGGACAGCGATCTGGTGGAATTCTGGTACTCCCAGAAAGACAATTTACCAAATCTTTCCAGTGTTGCACTAAGCTACCTAATTACCCCGGGTAGTGGTGTCGTCAGAGCGGTTAGCGTCGGCTATTAAGTGCGTTCTCTGCGACAAAAGCAGCCGCATGACCGACCGACACATAACGGAAAGAGTATTTTTAAAATCCATATGCAAAGACTTATGAAACTAATAAAATAACAAATGTAACAAAACGTATTTCATTTTTTATATTTTTCTAGTGCTTTTACTTTAATTTTAGGGCAAAAGTCTTGTTTCCTTGTTGTTAGCTTATTTAAGCGGCTAAAATTTTGAAATTCAACTGAAAAAAAAATATCAAAAATATCTGATATATCGATATTTTTTGGCGATATATTAAATATCATATCAATATTTTTCTTAAGGAAAATATATCAGCGATACGATATTTTAAAAATATTTGACATCCCTAAAAAATAATAATTGACTTATTATATATAGAAAAAAAAGGTTTTTTTCCATTGAAAAAAATGTTTGTTTTTTATTTCATTTTACAAGATTAATAATATTTCAGTCCAACATTAAACTAAAACAATATGCATTCGTATTCAATTCCATATTCCAATATATATTTAAAGTCTTAAAATTAATTAAATGCTTAAAATTCATTTTGTAACATTTTCTTAAAATAAAATAATAAAGGAACCTCTTTGTCCAGTCTTGTAAGTTTCTTTTAAGATCAGAATATTACATTTAATTATATTTACTAGCCTTCTTCGTCAGAGCTGCTTAAATTAAATTTGTTGAGATCTTTACATAACATTTGTTCATTGAGCTTAAAATTTTTTTGATTAAATTAATTTGAGAGAATATGCGTTCGCAGGACGCATTAGAAACGGGCAAAATTAACATATGTAGATTGAGCAAATGTCGAAATATTCGAATATTTATAGCAATTATTTATATCTTTTAACTGACTCAATTCGTACCAGAATGTATCGCAATTGAGATTATTAGTCAAAAGCATTTTAACCATGTCGTCAGTTTTCATTGTTCGATACTCATTGTCAAATATTTGTGGATCATTAAAAAAATCGGGAAAGCGTTCATACAGCTTGAACAACGGTTGACAATTTTGATTGAAAATACCATATAATACCATAAAATCTAAGAAAAATGCTACTAAATTCCTATATACCATTAAAATACTTTTTTTGAATCGCTGCACTTTTCAGTTTTGTGGACAGTTTCAAAGCTACTGTTTCGAATGCAAGCCGATGGATGACTACCAGCGGCAAATTACGGCAAATCGCCCTAAGCTAAGCCAGTGTGACATCTGTATGGACCCCATTTTCTACTTCTCCCTGCACAACGTCGTCTATGCAGACTGCTGCCACAAGGGATTCGCCCATTAGACCTGCATGCGAAAATACGCCCTAAGCGCAGGATATTACTTGCGCTGCATTTGGTGCCGATCAGTTAAGTTTCGAGAGACCGTGCGCTTGCAGTCGATTTTCGTGCCGGATCGCGATGCAAAATGGGAGCTGCAGAAGAACGCCTATCGAGAGCTTCACGAGCACAAAGTGAGCTGCGACTTGATAGAATGCATTTGCCCCAGGGGCAGGGATCACAATAATCAGAGCTGGCTAACTTTGGCCTGTAAGCTGTGCGCCTCCACGGGCGCACATGCCAAGTGCTTGGCGGGTACGCTGCGCATGAACAGGCAAACCCAGCCCACCGAATTTAAGTGCGTTGTGTGCCTGGAAAAGGAGCGAAGGCTTTCCGAGGGCCCGGCCCGTAATCTGGATCCATCAATAACAGGAACAGAGGGCCACGTGGATGGATCATCTTCTGTTATAAAAACGGAGCCCCAGATGCCAGCTCTTGGCGGTTACATGTCTCCCGTGTTCTCCGAAGACAATGACACGGACATAAGCAACTCTAGTAAAAGTACTATTACACATATAATATTACTATTACTAGAGTTGCTTATGTCTGTGTCATTGTCTTCGGAGAACAGGGGAGACATGTAACCGCCAAGAGCTGGCATCTGGGGCTCCGTTTTTATAACATAAAATGATCCATCCACGTGACCCTCTGTTCCTGTTATTGATGGATCCAGATTACGGGCCGGGCCCTCGGAAAGCCTTCGCTCCTTTTCCAGGCACACATCGCACTTAAATTCGGTGGGCTGGGTTTGCCTGTTCAGGCGCAGCGTACCCGCCAAGCACTTGGCATGTGCGCCCGTGGAGGCGCACAGCTTACAGGCCAAAGTTAGCCAGCTCTGATTATTGTGATCCCTGCCCCTGGGGCAAATGCATTCTATCAAGTCGCAGCTCACTTTGTGCTCGTGAAGCTCTCGATAGGCGTTCTTCTGCAGCTCCCATTTTGCATCGCGATCCGGCACGAAAATCGACTGCAAGCGCACGGTCTCTCGAAACTTAACTGATCGGCACCAAATGCAGCGCAAGTAATATCCTGCGCTTAGGGCGTATTTTCGCATGCAGGTCTAATGGGCGAATCCCTTGTGGCAGCAGTCTGCATAGACGACGTTGTGCAGGGAGAAGTAGAAAATGGGGTCCATATAGATGTCACACTGGCTTCGCTTAGGGCGATTTGCCGTAATATGCCGCTGGTAGTCATCCATCGTTACTTCCTTTTCGTAGAGGAGGAACCAGCGTGACCGCGCCGGACCAAAAGAGAAATACCAATTTGGTCTCAAAAATATACTTCAAAATACTATTTCATATTTTACAAAATACTACTATAAATACCATAACAAATAAATCGCCTGGAAATTCAAATTATAATATGTAATATGTAAAAATAATAATTGACTTATTATATATAGAAAAAATAAGGTTTTTTCCATTGCAAAAAATGTTGGTTTTTTATTTCATTTTACAAGATTAATAATATTTCAGTCCAACATTAAACTAAAACAATATGCATTCGTATTCAATTCCATATTCCAATATACATTTAAAGTCTTAAAATTAATTAAGTGCTTAAAATTCATTTTGTAACATTTTCTTAAAATAAAATAATAAAGGAACCTCTTTGTCCAGTCTTGTAAGTTTCTTTTAAGATCAGAATATTACATTTAATTATATTTACTAGCCTTCTTCGTCAGAGCTGCTTAAATTAAATTTGTTGAGATCTTTACATAACATTTGTTCATTGGGCTTAAAATTATTGCACCCATTTTCGCGCAATGATTGTTTTACATGTAATATGTATATGTGATACATTTACATTTTTAAAGCGGTTTCGATTTTTCGTTTTGATTAAATTAATTTGAGAGAATATGCGTTCGCAGGACGCATTAGAAACGGGCAAAATTAACATATGTAGATTGAGCAAATTTCGAAATATTCGAATATTTATAGCAATTATTTATATCTTTTAACTGACTCAATTCGTACCAGAATGTATCGCAATTGAGATTATTAGTCAAAAGCATTTTAACCATGTCGTCAGTTTTCATTGTTCGATACTCATTGTCAAATATTTGTGGATCATTGAAAAAATCGGGAAAGCGTTCATACAGCTTGAACAAACGGTTGACAATTTTGATTGAAAATACCATATAATCCCATAAAATCTAAGAACTGAAACTTACTGTAACTGCTGCAAAAAAAATATTATTTGGTCACACTTGTGGGTTTAGTGCAAAAGATAAATAAATAAATATACTATTGAAAATGGACAGAGAAAAGCTAATTGTGTCCAATCAAATAGGCTACCTGATATTAAAGGAAGATGGAGCAGTTCTGGAGTCTGGGGGAGAGCTCAAAAACGATGAGCGCAGTGCAAACGTGATAATGGGTCTTCTAAATCTCACAGAGAGGTGAGTCTTAAAACAAAGATTGCTGGCAATTATTAATCATCACTCCTGTTTCGCAGTATCGACGAGTCCTTCATGCCGAACTCGAGCTGCGAACGGATCACCATCGACTACGAGCAGCACTACTACAGCATCTGCATGTCCAATCGTCGAATATACATAGTGAAGATCAGCAAATCCCAAAACGGAGGGGCCACCACGACCACGAGCTCCTCTTCATCCAACAGTGTGTATAACGATGCCAGCGATTCCGGGGCAGTGCTGGCTTGAAATCCGTCTTCGGATGCCCGATCCACTTGCGGATTTTGCTGGCAGGGTATCGGGCAAAGACCCCACAATTGGCGCACTCCCATTCTATATCTAATCCTCCTCTTTATTTGTCAAAAAATACATCATCTGTGAGCTCCTGCTCGAAAATGCGTCTCGCTTCCTGGGTGACATCGAGTAGAGTGGCCTTGCTGTTGCACAAGATCACATAGTACTGTCTGTAGTTACAGCGCCTCTTAACAATCCAGTAGTCGTTGGTGGTCTTCACCTGAAGCTCCTCTGCAGGAGAACTGTCCATCTCCCCTCTGCCACTGGGATTGGCCAGATCAGCTATAATGCTAAAGACATTGCGGGGAAGTCCCTGAGGCAGGTGCCGCTGAAGGTTCGTGTGATGCTGAAGACTCTGTTCGTTGATAAACAGGTATTTGGGTGCATTTTCACTGTTGCTGGTCGTGTTCTCCTGACTCGCAGCACCCACTAGCTCCTTGTTCAGCTCGCTGGTTATGTCTCGGGCTAGGGAAGTCAGTTGGGGAGCCATGTAGGAATGGAGCTCATCATATAGCTCTTGCTTGGGCTCGGGTTGGTCCGCTGAAAAAGAAAGAGTTTTTAGCAGGAAAACAAGGTAGTTTAAGGGCTAAATAGGCTACAAAATATATGTAAAAATCATTGGGAAACCTACCATCCAAAAATAGGCAGAGAGTTATGTGCAGAGCACGATAGATGAGCAGGTAATAGGGCTTCGCTTGCTTCTCTTCCAGCGTGACATAGACCTTCAGGGGATGGTCCTCCAGGTTCTCCGCCTCCTTACCATCACCCTTCTGTTGGCTCCTTACAAATCCTCCAACCTGGCACTCACTTATGCTCCTCTTTAGCGACTGACTCACTGCAATGGAAGAGCTGCTGGCCTCTACTTTCAGCACATGCTGCACCACATAAGAGTGCAGGCTGTGCAGATCCCCCGGATTGAGTTTTCCCCCGCAAAGGACCTGCTCCTGGTAGAGCATTATGCTCTCTTTAATGGCGGGAAAGGTCTCGCCCAACGTCCCGAAATTCTGGGCCCGCAAAAAGAGTGATTTATCCAGGGGAAGATATTGTGTGGAATGCATCATGTCGATGATATCACAGTGCGAGGGCTCCTTTAAGTTCGTCAGGTGGTGGCCATAGAAATGTAGGAGCTCTTGGCAGAGTAAATCCCTTCGCTTGGCGGGATTTGGTTCCCCAGATCCAAAAGCGGAGAAACTTCCATGTTGGAAGCAAAACATTTGATAGCACTGTCGTAAAATGGCCCTGTAAATCCTGTCCGAGATCTCAGCACCCCGATAATCGGCCACTTCAACGCCCTCCTTTAAGCGCACCTCCTTGGGAACATTCAGGACCAAAACAATCCAATATCCTGGCTCTGGCTGGTAAAAAAGTTGTGTGGTTTTTTGGGTGTGCAGGGCTTGACAATCATCTTCAGAGGTAAAAGTACTGGAAAACAGCCCAATCATTACAATTACTCACTTCCCCTTAAGCATATAGTCCAATAAATACCCTGTAAACCTTATAATGGCCTCACTCAGTCCCACATCCTTTATTTTCGTGTTTAATTCAATGTCATTTGGATGGTAAAACAAAACCTTCTTGTGTTCCTGCAAGAAATTACTCATTTTAGGGGCGTTTCCTTAGAATTAAGTTCAGAAAACTCACCTCGCCTTCTTGCTCACCAAAACTCGAGTTAAATATGTAAAAACTACGCAATGTAATTTCGACGCGCTGCAATAATTTAGCCATCTTTCAGAAATTTATCCCAAAACTCTTCATTTGGCAAAATAGGTAAATAATAATAATACACTAACGCGTCCTTTGTCAATTAGGGCTGCAATCACACAGTCCAGTATTTTTAGTATTTTCTGGCACTACCAAAAATACTTTAAGGCGATAAATTTAAAAAACCTCTTTTAATGAAACACAAATTTAAAACAATGTTATTTATTTCGATTGTGTATTATGAATTTGAAAATAAAATTTGGATTTATTTAAGAAGCATTGAAGTAGTATTGATTTCTTGGTCTGTACTGAAATTTGGAATTTTGGTCTTCCCGCCTCTTCCAAAATTAAAGAGGCGTGGCCGTTTATAATATCTATTGCTTGAATGAATTTCGAGTTGAGTGTGGGTGCTAATTGTGTTTATTTGGAAATGTATTCAGTTTAAGCCTGGATTCCTCCGCGGAGACGGAGCACCAAGTGCAAAGTGGACTCCTTCTGGATGTTATAATCGGACAGAGTGCGTCCATCTTCCAACTGCTTGCCGGCGAAGATCAAACGCTGCTGATCTGGGGGAATTCCCTCCTTGTCCTGGATCTTGGCCTTCACGTTCTCAATGGTATCAGAGGGTTCGACTTCCAAGGTGATGGTTTTTCCGGTCAAGGTCTTTACGAAGATTTGCATGCCACCGCGAAGACGGAGAACCAAGTGAAGGGTGGATTCCTTCTGGATGTTGTAGTCGGAAAGGGTTCGTCCATCTTCAAGCTGCTTGCCGGCAAAGATCAGACGCTGCTGATCTGGGGGAATACCCTCCTTGTCCTGGATCTTGGCCTTCACATTCTCGATCGTGTCGGATGGCTCCACCTCAAGGGTAATGGTTTTGCCAGTCAGGGTCTTCACGAAGATTTGCATGCCACCGCGGAGTCGGAGAACCAAGTGAAGGGTGGATTCCTTCTGGATGTTGTAGTCCGAAAGGGTGCGGCCATCTTCCAATTGCTTTCCAGCGAAAATGAGACGTTGCTGATCTGGTGGGATGCCCTCCTTGTCCTGGATCTTGGCCTTCACATTTTCAATGGTGTCGGAGGGCTCAACCTCCAGCGTAATGGTCTTGCCAGTCAGGGTCTTTACGAAGATCTGCATGCCACCGCGGAGTCGGAGAACCAAGTGAAGGGTGGATTCCTTCTGGATGTTGTAGTCGGAAAGGGTGCGGCCATCTTCCAACTGCTTTCCAGCGAAAATGAGACGCTGCTGATCTGGGGGAATTCCCTCCTTATCCTGAATCTTAGCCTTCACATTTTCAATGGTGTCAGATGGCTCCACTTCGAGAGTGATGGTTTTTCCGGTCAAGGTCTTTACGAAGATTTGCATGCCACCACGAAGACGCAATACCAAGTGAAGGGTCGACTCCTTTTGGATGTTGTAATCAGACAACGTACGTCCGTCCTCCAGTTGCTTGCCGGCAAAGATTAATCGCTGCTGATCTGGGGGAATACCCTCCTTGTCCTGGATCTTGGCCTTCACATTCTCGATCGTGTCGGATGGCTCGACCTCAAGGGTAATGGTTTTGCCAGTCAGGGTCTTCACGAAGATTTGCATGCCACCGCGAAGACGGAGAACCAAGTGAAGGGTGGATTCCTTCTGGATGTTGTAGTCCGAAAGGGTGCGGCCATCTTCCAACTGCTTTCCAGCGAAAATGAGACGCTGCTGATCTGGTGGAATGCCCTCCTTGTCCTGTATCTTGGCCTTCACATTTCAATGGTGTCAGATGGCTCCACTTCGAGAGTGATGGTCTTTCCCGTCAAGGTCTTCACGAAGATCTGCATGCCACCGCGAAGACGCAATACCAAGTGAAGGGTCGACTCCTTTTGGATGTTGTAGTCGGAAAGGGTTCGTCCATCCTCAAGCTGCTTGCCAGCAAAGATCAGACGCTGCTGGTCTGGGGGAATTCCCTCCTTATCCTGAATCTTAGCCTTCACATTTTCAATGGTGTCAGAGGGCTCCACTTCGAGAGTGATAGTCTTTCCGGTCAAGGTCTTCACAAAGATTTGCATGCCACCGCGAAGACGGAGGACCAAGTGAAGGGTCGATTCCTTCTGGATGTTGTAGTCGGAAAGGGTTCGTCCATCCTCAAGCTGCTTGCCGGCAAAGATCAGACGCTGCTGATCTGGGGGAATACCCTCCTTGTCCTGGATCTTGGCCTTCACGTTCTCAATGGTATCAGAAGGTTCGACTTCCAAGGTGATGGTTTTTCCGGTCAAGGTCTTCACAAATATTTGCATGCCACCGCGAAGACGGAGAACCAAGTGAAGGGTGGATTCCTTCTGGATGTTGTAGTCCGAAAGGGTGCGGCCATCTTCCAACTGCTTTCCAGCGAAAATGAGACGCTGCTGATCTGGGGGAATTCCCTCCTTATCCTGAATCTTAGCCTTCACATTTTCAATGGTGTCAGATGGTTCGACTTCCAAGGTGATGGTTTTTCCGGTCAAGGTCTTTACGAAGATTTGCATGCCACCGCGAAGACGGAGAACCAAGTGAAGGGTGGATTCCTTCTGGATGTTGTAGTCGGAAAGGGTTCGTCCATCCTCAAGCTGCTTGCCGGCAAAGATCAGACGCTGCTGGTCTGGGGGAATGCCCTCCTTATCCTGAATCTTGGCCTTTACATTCTCGATCGTATCGGAAGGCTCCACCTCCAAAGTAATGGTCTTGCCAGTCAATGTCTTCACAAAGATCTGCATTTTGGATTATTCTGTAATTAGGAAATCGAGAGATGGAAAATCAGTATAAATTCAGATCTGTTCGGTGAAAATTACACAACTGATGAAATTTCCTGTCTGACTGACTAATCGGAATGGTAATTCCAATTACTCGTCGCCTGCTTTCCCTTCAGATTTTAGATTCAAAGTTTTTATCGTTTTGTCTTCCCCTTCCTTCCTATATTTCTAGCAAAAGCAAAGGAGAATGAGGGAAACAAGGGAAATTGAGAAACCTTTGTTCCGTTGCTTCGTCACTTTTTGTAGTTGTATAAGTGTGTGCATGTATACGCAGCTGAAAATGCATACATACTCTTTTTTTCGTATGTATACTGATGACGTCACCTCGTTGAAAGTAATTCGAAATTTTAAGACGTGGCTTTAATCAAACAAATGTTATTTGTTCAGCTTATAAAACACAAATACGTTTAGCAAATCCTTGAACTTCTTAAACTAGTAATACAATACACACTAATGTGTAATTGTATGCGGGACTTCTCGAATATTCAGAGGCGTCACTGCGAATTTCATGATTGCCAATAAATCTTGCTTATCTTGTTAAATAAACACGCAAGTTTTATTTATAGAATTGTTTGTGTTTTGATGCCAAAACTAATGTTAAATAAGAAATGCGTAGCTGCCAATTTACAAATTTCTAATTGCGCGGAGGGTTGAATAAGAACAAAATGGCCGAACAAAGGCCTTGAAAATTAATTTTTGTTGCACTTTGGCACTCTTTTTTTACACTTATTCTTATAACTAAGTGCGTAAAGTAAACTTACTTTTTCTTGCAACTTTCGACGGTATTCTTTTTTTCTTTCTTTTAATCACCAACTAATTAAATAATATATACTTTCTGTATGAGTGCGATTGTTCTGTTTGGTTGTACTTGCTGCTGCAATTGTCAAATGGTTTTTGAATGAGACCGTTCGCGTAACAGGCTTATATACCCTCGAGTCAACAAAAAAAGTCCTAAAAATTGCTACATTTTTAAAACATATGCTATATTTGTAAAATACACCAGTACACTCAAACTAATCATGGAAGATAATTTTTTAAACAATTTCAACATTTTAATATATGCATTAAAATTATTGAGTTATTATTGGTTTGCGTTGTTATGAATAAAGAGTAAATGGTTTTTTTTATTAACTCACCAAAATTCAAAGTAATAAAATATTTTAAAAGACAATTTCAAAACAAGACCTCAATATCGTATTATCGTACTGACTTGACCGGCTGAATGAAATTCCCAGCCAAGACAAGCTACCTTTACTTTGACACTAAATTCAGGGCCACACTTGATCTAGACTTACGAAATTCCAAGGTCTTATTCCAAACAAAAGAGAAATAACTTTCCACCTTTGCTACTTAGATTTTCTATGACTTGTCGTCTTTACCGGCAAATTAGTTTTGAAACTCGCAGCTTGACTGGAGAATTTTGTAGAAAGTTGGTGAAAAGGTGTATAAAAAGTGTGATGTGTTGATTGTTGAGACAACGACTGCTTTAAATATATGTTTGGTTCTATATTATAGATTTGAATTTTTGAAATACAAACCAATTATTAACGTAAGTTAATGACTGAATATAAAAAAAAGATTCTAAACTTTAATTGGCCAATTAGACTTAAGCTTATTTAAAACGAGGACAGAAGCTAACTTCGGCAAGCCGAAGTTTTAATACCCTTGCAGACTTTGCCGAAATTGCTAAAACTGAAAAAGTAGCGAAAGGAATAAGGTATACATAAATAAAGTAGATTTGCATCGTTTGATGTCAATTGCTTTTATACTGCAAAAATGTCATATAAAAATAGAAAAAAAGGGATACTTTCGCAGCCTTTAACTATTTTTCCTACGGAAGCTATAAGAAATAGACGTCCGATCGGCAAGCGCTTTTACCCTAATCAAGATATGCGTAAATAAATAAGACTTGGAAAAATGTATGTCAGTAGCTTACACACTACGCGAAAAATTTAGAAAATCATCAAATTTGGACCGATTTCACCCTATTGTTCCTATGGGAGCTATAAGATATAGACGTTCGATCGCCAAGCTCTTTTACCCTGATCATGGTATGCATAAAAAATAAGATTTGGAAAGATTTATGTTAATAGCTTTTACACTGCGAGAAATATCTTCCATTCTTGAAAGTTATATCCGATTGTTCCTATGGAAGCTATAGGATATAGACAACCGATCGGGGCGGTTTTCAAACTTGATCTGCGTACACCTGTTTTAAGACAACCGTGAAAGTTTCAGATCGCTAGCTTTTAAACTGAGCTCGCAAACGGTATTGAAACAGACTGACAGACGGACATGGCTATATCGAATCCTCTATTGATCCTGATCAAGAATATATATACTTTATGGGGTCGGAAACGTCTCCTTCACTGCGTTACAAACTTCTGACCAAAATTATAATACCCTCTGCAAGGGTATAAAAATTTGATCTTATAAAAGTTCGCTTAGAATGGAATTTTTAGAATACGGCCTTGAATATAGCTGCAAAAAATAAAGTATTTTTTACTCTTTTGAGTTACATAATAGACATAATCTAGTCTTCACTCTTATAAAAGTTTAAAATTCCCACTGCTGAACTCGGCACATTATTTGTAAAATTTGTACTTCTGGAAAAAGAGAAATAGAGATATTCTTATTCTTTTCAAATTTCCTCTCTTTTTTTAATACAAAAATTAGTTATTTCCTTCATTATAACTGGTTAAGCGATAATAGATGGGAATATAGTCAAGAAAACAAATTCTTAATTAAATAAATTCACAGCCATACCTCAACTAGTGGATTTTTCTACCCCCAAGACACGGTCACACCCTGCCCACCTGCTATCGGCGATTTTTTTCAGTTTTCGATTTCGGGCAGTACAGATTGCAAACGCACCGGACGCAAAATGGAGCTGGAGATACTGAACGCGAAGAATAGCAAGCCCTATGGAAAGGTGAAGGTGCCCTCCGGCGCCACGCCTATCGGGGATCTGCGCGCCCTAATCCAGAAGAGCCTGAAGCAAGCTCCGGATGCCAATCGGCAATCGCTGCGATTGGAACTCAAGGGGAAAAGTCTGAAGGATACGGATACCCTGGAATCCCTGTCCCTGCGCTCCGGCGACAAGGTTTATGTGAAGGATCTGGGTCCCCAGATCGGCTGGAAAACCGTCTTCCTGGCGGAATACGCCGGCCCACTGATCGTGTACTTGATTTTCTATTTCCGGCCGGAGTTAATCTACGGCAAGTCGGCCACTTTGCCGATTTCCCTCACCACCCAGTGAGTATATTAGAAAGTCGCTGAAATCTTTCGATTTCCGACCGAATTGACCTCGTCGCTTATGCAAACTAAAACGCAACAGCTCTGCATAATTATCCACGAACTTTGGATGGTGGTTCACCCAGTAACCCGCTTTCTTTTATTTTTTCAGCATTGCCGCCGGCTGCTATACGGTCCACTATGTGAAGCGTCTGCTGGAGACCATCTTCGTCCATCGGTTCTCACATGCCACCATGCCGCTAAGGAATCTCTTCAAGAACTGCACCTACTACTGGGGATTCACGGCCTATGTGTCCTACCATGTGAACCATCCGCAGTTCACGTCGCCCTGCATGTGCACTGTTTGGGCTGCTCTCGGAGCTTTTGCTGTACGTATTTCGGTGTTTATTTTATGGATTTGGGTTATGTGTTACGGTTATATGGGGATTTTTTTCCATTTTCAATCCCCTTTCGATAAAAATGAACCATTGTTTTCCAAAGAAATATCTTTTATTTGGGAGCTACAGCAAAAATTAACATAAATTGACTCAACTTACTAGTATTACTAATTTGTTTCTTGCTAATTTTGATTAAGTAATGTTCATTGACAAACTGATAATCTGTATAGATTTAATCATTACTTATCACTTTAAACTTTTTAAAATAGTTGACAACAATGTTTAGCATATTAAAGGCTGGGCCTACCTATTTTTAATATTTAATTAAAGCTTATTAAAGCTTATTCACAAAAATTCCCCTATATGCAGTAATAGAAGAAACAAATTATTTTAGATCTTCGTTTTGTTTGAATTTAAGTTAGTCAATATCAAGGAAATTGTGTCTTAATCTGTAATACGAAAATAATTATGCTATGGTTGTAATATGGTTAAACTATAAATTACTATTGATTATTTTTACTATTGATGTGTTCGTTAAATAGTCTCATAGTTTTCTATTTAATTAATGCCATTTTATGGAATTAAACATAACTATTGAACCTTGTAAACAAAAAGTAGATTAGCAACTTTGGCGATAAGACAACATACAAAAAACGCAAACTGAAAACGTTTGATGAGTTAAAATAATTATATAACATTATCGCATAAAAGATTGCCTTAATTTCCAAGAACCAAAATTTTCCAACTTTTATTTTCACAAACTAACCGCACATTTTCGACTTTCAGCTCTGCGAACTGGGAAACTTTTCGGTGCACATTGCCCTGCGCAACTTGCGTCCGCCGGGAACCAAAGTGCGCAAGATTCCCGTGCCCGATGCAAATCCCCTGACCAAGCTGTTCAAGTGAGTAGACCCCATTCATTATCAAAAAAAGTAATTTAATTGCCATTTTCCGAACTCTAGCTTGGTTTCGTGCCCCAACTACACCTATGAGATCGGTGCCTGGGTTTCCTTCTCGGTGCTGACTTCTTGCCTGGCTGCCTATCTGTTCGCCTTCGCTGGAGCTTTCCAGATGACCGTGTGGGCACTAGCCAAGCACCGCAACTACAGGAAGGAGTTCAAGGACTATCCCCGCCAGCGCCGTTCCATCTTCCCGTTCATCCTGTAGGATGGATGTCCACGTGACGCATTCGCTGTATTACCTAATACCTATTCCACATTATACATTTACACATTTTGGCTAGCGTTTAACAGGGTAGTTGTCTAGTGAACTTTGTGCTTTCGTTGATTTAAAGCAAATACAAATTGGAGAAGCGTAAGGTTGGCATGTGCATTTTTCGTTGCTTTATGGACTTTGAACGTATGGGCAGTTTGGTGGAGCGCGGGTAATCAGTTATTGTTTATTTGGCGCACCCTGCCAGGTGCCATAATTTTAACAAGAAAGGAAAGCTAACTTCGGGCGGAGCCGAAGTTGATATACCCTTGCAGAATATTCTGTAAATTCTCCAAAATTATTTATATGATGCATTCTTAATACTCATAAAAAATCCCAACTTCCTCACTTTAAAAACACCAAAGTTATGGCATTTCCGATCGTTCAGTTATATGGCAGCTATATGATATAGTGGCCCGATCCGGCTCGTTCCGACTTATATACTACCTGCAATAGAAAGACAACTTTTGGGAAAGTTTCAAGCAGATAGCTTTAAAACTGAGGGACTAGTTTGCGTAGAAACGGACGGACGGACAGACGGACATAGCTAGATCGACTCTCCTGGTGATGCTGATCAAGAATATATATATTTATACTTTGAAATTATAATACCCTCTGCAAGGGTATAAAAATATGTGGCTAGGAGTTTATTGGTATAATTAAATTTTGTTTAGTTTTAATTTTGTTAGCATTAACAAAGTAGATCTTAGTTACCCCTTAAAGCAACATATTTTGAACTTTTTGAATAATTGAAGTAATTTTTTGCATTTAGTAACAATTTAAGTTCGACCTTTTCTACAATTATCTTTTTTTATGAAACTATATAAAAGCCGCAATCCTCATTATTTTCGCCAGCAAAAAACTTGCGGTCAGTAAAATTAAGCAATCTGATAAGAAATATAATTAATGTTTTATAAAAGTATATATATATATAAACCACAGATTTAGTTTGCATTAGTAATTAACTTAAGTTTAAGACAGGCGCCTAACAGAGTTGCCACATGGGTGAACTTTAAACTGCTTGCAATGTGTAACGAAGCGAAGTTGGCTGCGGTTGGTAGTTTTATTGTTTACGTTAGAGCTGGAAAATCAGAAAAAAAACTTCGATGTATCGATACATCGAATTCTATAATAATTTTAACGTATATTTTTGTTTATTTTACTATATTAATCAAAAATGTGTTTAGCTTACCAAGATTCTTTCCTGCCAAGCAGTGATGGGTAAAAAGGAAACATCGAACATCGATGTTTGAAAACCTCGATGTCTCCCAAGTTTTGGAAAACATCAATGTATCGATCATCGACGATGTTATTTCCAGCTCTACTCGAAGCGCATCAGATCAATCGGTTTGTAGGGCGTGTTTTGAGGAAAATTAAATGCCGTCAATTGCCAACAACAGCAACAAAAGGAGGTGTCGTACTGGGAATGCCGCAGGGCAATCAACCCGTCGGCACCATGTCCAGTCTCGAAAGCGAGGAATCCGACCCCACCGGGCAGTTGGTCAGCGGAAATCCCCAGCAGCAACAGATGGCGCCGCCGCACCGCAACCGAATGACAGGAAACGACAGATCCAGCAGCAACTGATGCTTCTGCTCCATGCGCACAAATGCAACCGCAGGGAGAACAGAGAGGTCTGCAACGTCAACCACTGCAAGGCGATGAAAACAGTGCTCGCCCACATGGGCACTTGTAAGCAGAGCAAGGACTGCACCATGCAGCACTGTGCCTCTTCGCGCCAAATCCTGTTGCATTACAAGACTTGCATCAACAGGGACTGCATCATTTGCTTTCCCTTTCGGCAGAAACTTGTGGCTTGTCAAAACGCGAATGTGCCACCTGGTGGCGGTCCGGCAGGAAATGTAGAAACAGCGGCCATTGGCGGCGGAGCGGCCGAAGCAGGTGGTAGTCTGCAGCAACAGCAACCCGTCACCTCTCAGCAGCAACAGCAGCTGCAGGGAGTCGGACTCGTTGGAGCAGGCGTTGTGGCCAATGCCGGTGTCGTCGCTGGTGACCCAGCAGTGGCTGGCGGTGGCGCCGGACAAGTAGTCGGTCCTGGTGGCGCCAACCGCGAAGAGGACGACGACCGAGCACGACAGATAAAGCAGCAACTGATGCTTATACTCCATGCGCACAAATGCAGAGAGGATTGTAACGTCAACCACTGCATGGCTATGAAAGCAGTGCTCGCCCACATGGGCACTTGTAAGCAGAGCAAGGCCTGCACCATGCAGCACTGTGTCTCTTCGCGCCAGATCCTGTTGCATTATAAGACGTGCATCAACAGGGGCTGCATCATTTGCTCTCCCGTTCGGCAGATACATGCGGCTTGTCAAAACTCGAATGTGCCACCTAGAGTCGGTCCGGCAGGAAATGCAGAAACAGCGACCATTGGCAGTGGAGCGGCCGAAGCAGGCGGTAATCTGCAGCAGCAGCAGCAACACCAACAGCAACCCGGCACCTCTCAGCAGCAACAGCAGTTGCAGGGAGTCGAACTCGTTGGAGCAGGCGTTGTGGCCAATTCCGGTGCCGTCGGTCCTGGTGCCGCCAACCGCGATGTGTTCGACGACAAGGAACGACATCCAGCAGCAACTGATGCTTCTGAGCCTTGAACCGAATTTATAATTATAATAATATATAACTCAAATATGCATTCGAAAAAACGATTTTTTGGCACTTTTTGCAACCCATTTACATGATTGAAAATGACGAAAAATCGACCCCAAAATAAAAACTATTTTATTTCTTCAAGTAAATATTTTGTATCAAATTTGTCCTGAACTGCTATTTAATGATATTTCTAATTGAATAATTACTTTTAAGAGTGAATAAAAATATAAACAGAAAAAGGCTTATTTATATCTAATTCCGCTATCTAGCTACAAATTAGTTGGAGCGGCAGCGCTGCGCCGCAGACAAATCTTTGGAAGAAAAAGACGAAGAGAGGGCTAAGAACAGCAGAAAAAAATTGGCGCAAATTGTACACTTGACGCTAGAGGTGCAAAATCATCGATGTTTACCTACATTGATGTTTTTTCACCTGCCAAGCAGTGATGGGTAAAAAGGAAACATATAATATCGATGTTTGAAAACCTCGATGTTTCCCAAGTTTTGGAAAACATCGATGTATCGATACATCGCCGATGTTATTTCCAGCTCTAGTTTACGTTTTGCCGGCAAACAGAAATAGGAATTTGTGCCCATAAATTAACCATGAATCTGTTCGAGGAGCTGGACACCTTGGACCCCTCCTCCAAAACTGAACCGCCCCGCATTGAAACACCCACGGCGCACAAGATAACCGTGTTAATACTGCTCAAACAATATGTGATTGTAAGTGCTCCAAGATTGCGGCCTACCAAAACCTAATTACCCAGTTTATTCTTTACCCCCGCAGAACAAGAAGTCCTGTTTGGATACTGGGATATCTATGCGCACCCAGCGTCGTCGGATGTTCTATATGCTGGTTTTCAAGTTGGTCCAAGAGTCGGATAAGAGCTACAATGAGCTCCATAGCTTGCTGACCACCGGCAGATACAAACTGGACACCCTGATGTTGGAATCCTTCGAAAAAGCCATGTCCGAATTCTGTGCGGGCAGCATTGAGTCCTTGTTCGATTTCACAGAGATCCAGAACATAGATGAGATTCTAAACGAGAACTACGGCATTAGCCAGTTTAGCATGGTGGGCGTTTATGTCCGGAGAGTGGGCGTGGTCCTGGAGCGTCTCAGTTTCCCGGAAATGATGGACATGTACAAAAACATCTGCTCCTATTACGAAAGAGGAGTTCGTGCAGCAGCGTCTGGTTCCAGAATGACCATAGCTGGTGGTATTCTCCACAGGGAAGAGACTCCACCTCCAAATCCCATAGCTGAAAAGCCTGCAGATCCTGAAATTAAAAAGAAGGAAGGGACTACTGCTCGTATTGCCCAAGAACGCAACCCACTCAGCAAGTGGGCCCCAAAACAGGCCAAGTTCTTCATCAATAAACAGTCGGAACTGCTGGAAATCAATGAGAGAAAGGCTTTGCCGCCTTTGGAGCTGCAGAAGAAGGTCCAAGAAATCATAGACGACCTGCCACTCTCAACCACTCCCTATTTCCTGGGCTACATGAACCAGTTGAGAGTCAGGGATTACTACAACGCACTCTCTGCTCTCCACAGAGCTTTGGACAGGAGTCCTGTGAGGCTGATGAGCCAGGAAAAGGGTTATCAATACTTCTGCGTCAACCTAGCGGTGCTACATGCCACTTTTGGTCACCGTGATGAAGCTCTAGCGGCGCTCAGGGAGAGCATCATGCTGGCCCAGGAACACGGCGACAAAAGGAGTCTGAATCTGGCCAATACTTGGTACTGCCTGCTCAGGGATGAGCTGCCCTTATCCGCTGTCCAAAAGAGTGTGCAAGAGGCCAACGAAGTAGATAGCTCTCTGCTGCAGAACTACACTTTGGCGCTCCACTTCGCCGTTAAACTAGGAACAGTGGCTGGCTATCAGCCCTTGAAACTGTTCGATCTTCTCCAGCACAGCGATAATCTCACAAATCGCAACAACTTTGCCGACCACTCTTCAGAGGCTCTTGCCTTAAGGAGTGCAGTGTGGTCTGCTTATGGAAGACACGAACTGGCTGCTCTGTACTCCCAAGTCCTTCTAGCAGCCAGAGATCGTTTTAGCAACGGAACTTCGGGCTTGGGCAGCGCCCTAGCCAGCTATGCCCTGTGGCTTCAATTGCAGGGGGAGTTCCAACTATCCAAAGTACTCCTCCATCGTGCTAAAGAGCGTTTCCCACGCTTACCCAGCGCCGAGGGCTGGATGATCAGCCAATGCCATGTGGTCATCCAAGCGGGCATTTACCAGTGCCGCTGGCACGATGCATTGAAAGCCTGCGACCAGCTGTATTTGCTAGATCCCTCAGATGCCATACTTCAAAGAGCTTCTATATACGTCGCTAAGAGGGAGTTCTTCAATGCCAGACGCCTCCTGGACAAGCTGGCTTCCCAGGGTAACCTGCCTTTTCTCCTGCGAATGAGGGTTCAAGTGTTACTTGGCTATTGTGGCATGGCGGATGGACGTTTTTCAAGTGAGACCACCATGCTTCTACTCCGCGTGGCAGAGGATATGGCTGACTCACAGATGGATTACGAGTTGGCCTTGGTGGACCTGCTGTTAGCCCAGCAACTGCTGCTCCTCGGGATGCCACAGAAGGCCTATCAGGCCATTAAGCGCTGCATGCACGACATCCACATCAATGGTGGCTTGTACGAACGAGCCAAAACCGATTTCGTGTTCGTGCGCTGTCTGCTGGCCATCAATCAAAATAGTGTGGAGGAGCGAAAGGCCCAGCTCCTCAAATCTCTAGACATCCTAGAGCGTGCCGCAAAATCGTTTAAAAAGCTCTCTGCTCATGCCAAAGTTTTGGATGTGTATGTGTTCTTGGCCCAGCGATTCAACGAATTCGGGGAAAGGAATTTGCGAAACAAGTATGCTGGAGAGTTCCGGCGTTATTTTACGGACCATCCGATCCCAAGGGAATATCTGGGGAGTCCCTAGACTTGAAGTAAGTGGTTAAACTCTCAATAAAATTATTTTTACGGCTATATGGAGAATTTCCAAGCTAATTTCCATTAAAATTAATTCGGTTGTTTATGGGGTCAATCCTTTTGATCACTCATTTTTTTGATGACTCAAAAACAAAGAATTGAAATATCGTAAAAGCTATTAAAACACAGATTCATTGATATTTAGCTATTTAAATTTCACCTTTCGTTTTCTGTTTTAAATAGATCCGAAAAACTTAAAAATCATAGGGCAAGAATGTAATCTAATAATTAATATCTGCGAGAAAACTAATTTTCTAAAATACTCTTTTTTTTTGGGGACCCATTTTTAATTCGACGCATTCTTTTACTCAACATTTACCCAAAACAATATTACAAACAAGTACTGCGAACAAAAGTATGAAAACAAAACTTCAACAATTTGACTTTTAACTATTAATAAACGTAGTTTTATTAATTGGTTTAAACCGTAGTGGTTGCTTTGTTTATACACTGTAAGCCAACTACAATGCTAACACCTATCTGAAGTTTTGCAACTGTTCGTTTCGATCGAAGAGGACGTTTCCTTGGGGCCGGTAGTTCCGTAAGTGTGGATGCGTAAATGCTGGGCTATGGAGGGGCATTTGATGGGTGACTGCTTTTGCCCACTCGGGACGTCCTCAGCCTCTCGATTTCGACTGGGATTGATTGGTATCGACAAACTTAAGCTAACGTGTGGCAATTTCCGGAGATCCGCTGCCGGTTTTCGTAGAACTAATATGCGTATGTGGTATGGTCTCTCTCGGTTAACGAATCAAGGGTAAGCTGGGCGAGGAACCTCCAGGGCCCATCGCGCTGCTGGGTCCAAGAAGCACCTGCTTCTGCTGCGACTTCTGCAGCTCCTCCATCTGGGCGCGCTCCGTCTCGAAGATGACCGGGGCGAACAGGATGACCGAGCTGGTGAAGAATATCCAGCTGGCGTTGCACGAGAACGTGTAGAATCCCTTGACGCCGTTCACGGTGGCTTTGCTCACAGCTTCCACCGCGTTGCGCAGTGGCTCCGGGAACATCTCCGTCAGGCCCCAAAAGCGCTCGGCCGCCGACTCTTCGGGTTCCTGTGTTTGAAGGAAGAGTGGGTTAAATGGATTCCTTCATATTTTCTCTTAGCTTATTACTAGTACTTAGTACTCTATACTTTGAGTTTAAAAAAACCATGAATAATTTTATACTCAACTGCATACAAAAAATTTTAGATAAATCATCTTAATTAAAAGAGCTTTATCAGATACATATTTGGATAATAGTTAACTATCGGGAAATTCAACAATAAAAAGATTAAAATTTTGTTGTCTTCGCTACGATAACTCGTCGTTGTTGAAAATGTACAATTAGGCTGGTCTAATAATTGAATATAATAAACCTATATTATCAAATTTTGTATAAATTGGGAAACTTAGAAAAAAATTCAATTCTAAAGCTTATACAAACACCTATGTGAGTAATAATAGTTGTTCATTATACTTCGGATCCATAAAGGCAATTCCATTATCAATTGATTTTCTTGACTACAATTTTGACTTAACAGTTGATAAGTATCATTATGCCGAGACAATTTAATTACTGAGTAAAACGTTCTAAAGATTTTTTTTAATTTAAAAAAAATAAAGAATGAATATTATAGTGATGACAATGAATTTTTACAGTAGACTAGCACGTTTTGGCTAACAGCTAATACATTTCTAAGCCAAAAAATAATATTAATAAATCAAATGGAAAGCCTAATTGAACTGTTTTCAAAGTGAGGATTCCTGAAGACAAATTCCATATTTAAAATAAGCCCTAAGATGTCCTTATGGTGTTATTTGCCTCCTTAAGATTGAGGTTAGATTGCGCGTTGTGTTTACAAACAGGGTCCACTTACATCATCGTAATTCTCGCCTTGTGGCTCATTTGAAGTCTGTAAAAAAAAGGAAATTAGTACAGGGTATCGAAAAGTCGCTTTTATGGGACAGCTGCTGCGATTGACCGACAATTACGTGAGCACGATAAGAATTGAGGGAAGTCAGGGTGTTCAAGGGGGTAACAAGGGGGCTCCACGTTTTTACTTACGGCCGCCACTGCCCGCCGCTCGGGCGTTTCGTCCTTGCTTCCGCCCAACGAAGACATCCCGCTGTCCTTTTCAATGAACTCGATTTCAGGATCTGAGTCCATCAAATCCTCGATTTTCACAGTTTCGGTATCCACTTTTGCGGCTTTATGTCAACGCACACGCTCGGAAAATCGAGGGTTCGGCTATGGAGCAACCCTTTAAATGGACCCTGGAAGATCTTATCACGGAATTTGATCGCAAAATGCAGTTCGCACTGGCATTTAATTAAGCCTCAGCGGATCTTTCGTTCGCGGTCGCTTAAAATTTCAATAAAAATTGATTTTATACCGTGCTGCTCCTCGTGAGCTCAGTGGTGGACTTTTAGCGATAGCCGCCAATTGCTGATATCGATATATCGCACCGGATTTGTGAGAAATCTCCAAACGCGGTTTTTGAATTATGGTATTTTTGAAAGAGTATTCTAACCTTTTTGAAAAGCTTTTTTAATTGCATTGCATTTAACTACCAATTAATATTAGAGAATTTTTGTTTTTGTTAACAAAATTAACACCATAATATAGGTACAAAAACTGCAGTTCCCACAAAAGCAAACTAAAATCCTTTCACTGGTATACTTACCTTTCTCTCAGTTTCACTCATTGTCGTTATTTAACCGTGTTTGTCGTCTTCAAAAAAAATATACACAATATTTTGCGCAGAGCCAGAAATTTAGAAACGTTGTCAAATCGAACAGCTCAATTTTACAGGTACTACGATTTCTGGATTGGCAACTGTCAAGGATGGAAACGCCTACTATAATAAATTTTAGAATAAAACATTTATTGAGCGTTGGTGTACTGTTATTTATTATGTCACATCTCGTTTTCCGACTCGCAATCGCATTTATAAATTATGAAATCATTAATACCTAAACCAAATGTCTACCACTTTAAGTACGCATACAGATAATGTCTTAGTTGTTTTGTGTTTCGTGTTATCCAGTATCTATATATATATAGAAGATAATATTAGGTATGTAGTTTGACGGTAAACATAAACAGTTATCATGTATATAAGTAGTATATTGTTGGGTAGGTATATAGTCCTGCATATAGTTGTTAAGCACATTTAGAGGTCATAAAAAACTACTTGAATTGAAGTACATTTATCGGGTATATTCAATATTTTGGGTTAGAGTTTAGTTTGATTCGGTTTTCGATTTTAATTAGGTTTAAATTTGCTTTGCCTTTGCAGTCCTGTTGTAAATACCATACAAAAAATGTGGTTTCCTTGTTTGCATTCCTTGTTTTACCCATTTTGCGATTTGTACCATTGACCTGATTTATTTTTTCTTTACCCAACTTTATCCATATAGTGTTTAAATGTAAATATATACTTTTAATTCTCGTTTCACTGAATTTTCAAAAGAGCACTTTTGTTAAATATATATTTTGTTTGATTTTGATTTTCTGTTCTAAATTTGTATCAAAAAAAGGCTTACGAAATCAATAAAAAAATTATTGTTTGAAACCGCAATGCCTTAAATCGATGACTTGTAATTGTTATACAAAATTTGTTGCTTCTCGTTAAATTATCTATGGGACGGCAATATGCAATGGACTTGAATTTCGAAAACAAATTAAATTAACAAATAACTTTAAAAAGAACGCAAAACAACATATTAAAATGTAAAGTTTGAAGACTTTGAACTATGTATACCAAGAATTCTGAAATGTTCCATTCATTGTTGGTTATTGTTAATTTACGTTTTCATTAACATCTTATATAATTTTTGCTGCTCGGCTCATTTGTATTTTGTGCCTTCATAATAGAGCTCAGAAAACACAAATGCACCATCGAGAGTATCGATTTTATCAAACTATGGTATTGTTTAAGTGGATAAATGAAAGAAAACATATTTATAAACATTACATTTCCTACCGATTTTGCTTAGCTCTGTTTTAAATTTTAAAAAACGTTTTTTTTTATTATTAGCTTTGTATAACCGATAACGCCGATGTTTTGAGAGCTCTACAAAGACACTTCCCAACTGAAATTAAATCTTTTGTTTTCTTATATAAATTGTTAACATTTATTTCCTTATTCTAACAAATTTGAAACAGTTTTTGTTTGTTTTTGGGGTATTTGAAACGCGCATACATTGAAAGCAGCATAACTACAATAAAATACAAATATATGAATCCACTTGCTGGCCTTCGCCGAATTAAGATATATTTTTATTGTATTTTTTTTTTAATTCTCCATTTGCCTGCTCTTTTTTTTTTGCAGCACCCTAAACACAATATCACTCACGCGCTCAGACTTATCCGAATATGCAATTTATATGTTAAATGTTTATGGGTTGTGTTGTCTCTGTATGATTTAAATTATTTTCAACGCAAATCGTTTACACAAACTGTCTAAACATTTCCATTTAAATTTTTCCAATTGAATCAATAATTCACTTTTTTACAATCGACAAAACTTTGAAACTAATTTACATATGAATATGTTTGTGTGTGTATATGTGGGTGTTGAATGAAACGAAAACTTTACGGGTGTGTGTGTGGCCTGCCTTGCACTTTTTTCGAACCCTTGTATAAATAAGTTTTTTATTTTGTATAAAAATTCAAACAATTGTGTTCTGCACATTTTGTTGCATTATTATTTTCTGCATGTCTGAGTATATTCTTAATAGCTTAACAATTATGCTGAAGGGGTAACTCGGGGTGCATTCCACTCGAAATTTTCGGGGTTTCAGTTGACCATGCCTCCATGTTGGGCGTAAAACTGCTTAGAGCAAAAGTCTCGTGAATTCTGAAATTAAAATGGGAGAAGAGTCTATTAAATATAATTGCTGACGCTAAAAATGTAATAATGATAATATAACAAAAAAAGTATAAAATATTAATGACTTAAAATAATTTACCTAGGCATGGTTTCTATCTTTAATCTTTAAAGAATCTTTAAATGTGCTGAAAAATTTAATGAATCGAACTGGAATCAAAACTATTTCCCTATTTTTGGATTGTTAAATTTAATTTTTAAAAACCAGTCACTTTTCAAATCAAATTTAATGGAATAAACCTAATTTTCGGAAGGAAGAATATTTTCCTTGACAGTTTTGTCCACCGAGGCAAAAACATTTTACAGATGAGATAGCCAAACTATATAAGCTGTCGCCTCCGGGCAATCACGCCTCCGAAAGAACGAACTACGACTTTTTTTATTATTTTTTATGGGCGTGGTTTGCCGGAGGAGGCGTACGTGTTGCTCCGGCCAATCGACCCATTCCTCTGGCCAACCAACACTGCAGTGTCAGCGAAAACGGAGCGGACAACGTTGCGTATACCGAACAAACGGATAACGTATACGCAATGTTGGCCGTTGTCGATGCCGGTGTGCAAAGTAAATAGCGTGAAGGCAAAGACAGCAACAGCAGCAAAATGAGTAAATAAATTGCAGATGCCAGCAAACAAATGCGGGTTGCGGGCTGGGCCTTTCGAACTTTGTGGGTGGTTGGGTGTTGGGCTGACATGTCAATGCGTTACAAGGTCAAAGTATCAACTAGCGAGGCGATGGCATATGAACCTAATGATACAAGGGATTCCAGGCCGGGCAAACAGCACAAAAAAAAACCAAGTACAAAGAGGCCACTTCAGTCGAGCATGTCCCCGTATTAGTTTAAGTATATTAAACAAATTTAATGCCACGCAAGGGAACTCTGTGCTGTCCTTTTTTTGCCATTAGTGCAGAATAATACGTGGGTGTGGCATCATGGAAAAAGGGGGGATTCTGAGGTGAGGTGCTGGCACTTCATTCTGGGTCAACTGCATTATGGACTTTTCCTTTCTTGTATTTATGTAGCTATTTTCTTTATCAAAAACTTTTTATGTCTGCGACTAGGGTTCAGCTCCAGACCTCAGGTCAATTTTGGAAAACAACACAGTTGACGACTACAAGATACCTTTTGGAAATGTGGCTCAGACTTTAAGTGAAAACAATCGTTTTATTTAATGTTATGAATTAGAAAATTAATTTAGAAAAATTAATAGGAGACTTCAAATCCCCAGAGAATTGCTACCCTAAAAATATTTTCTGGAATAAATGAAAAGTTATCTTATTTCATATAAATCGTGAATGATTTTCAATAAATTTTTATTTTACACTTCTTCTCAGTACTTAAAAAGGTGTTTCTGGAAGATTGATAGATTTTATGCACCGTAGAGTACTAAATATCAAATTTAGTTACTGCACCATTTAATACTACTTCTAGTTTTAGGGACTCAATCCAAGAAAACCCAATAAACCCAGCAAAGACCCGAACAACGGTTATAAAAACTTTACGAGTAAACAAACAAATAAACCTTCGGCCGCATTAGGTGAACTCCTGTTGCTGTTACTTGAGGTTAATAAACTTTGTTTTTGCCGTATTTGTCTAGCTGATTTATGGGCATACGGTTTTCGGTGCGTGGGACAAATATTGACACGAGCTAGCCGTATCTTATGCCATCACTTTATTAGGGCTCAGACAGGCGCAGCTGCAACAGGATCACAGCCTTTGGAGGTTATTACAATTATAAATAACATAAACAGTACTGTTTCTTTGAAAATAAAATGGTTTTCCCATAAAAGCGCTCCAAAATCGTATAACTATTGATATAACAAAGGGATATACGAGTATTAGCGATTTTGTTTTGAGAATATCTTAAGATTCAAGCATTTTAGCTTATTTTAGGTTATTTCAAAAAATTATTAATAATACTGAGCTTTAAACGAACAGTTTAACGATTATTATGAATTGTAGAAACTGGAAGTAGAAATGTGTTCAGTGTAAACAAAATTTAAAATTTTATTTTGTTAATAAAATAAAAATTAGCAAGCCAATCTGAAATCATTACAAAACTATTGATTCAACAAAGTGATATACGAGTATTAGCGATTTTTTTTGAGAATATATAAAGATTTTAGCTTAAAGATATGCAATGATGAATATTTATCTGGTTATTTCAATAAATTTATAATAATACTGAGCTTTAAACAAAGAGTTTATGAATTGTAGAAACTTGAACTCATATTAAAATGTGTCCAGTGTATAAAAAATTTAAAATTTTATTTTGTTAATAAAATAAAAATTAGCAAGCCAATCTGAAATCAATAAAAATTCGGATTTGGGACTGCTTTTTTTGGACTGTGCACACATGTCCTTCCGTGCGAACGCCTGCGTCAGCAGTGTCCTTTGTCCTTTGTCGGCGGCTGCACTCGCACGCACTCACTCACTGACTCACCCTCGTAATTGATGCGCCCGTCCTGGTCCAAGTCTGCGATGACCAGCAGCTGCTCCAGCTGCTGCTCGTTCAAGGGCTCCCCAATCATCTCCATGGCGGTCTGCAGCTCGTCGCGCGTTATGAACCCATTGCCATCCCGATCGAATACTCTGCAGGACGAGGGGGGGGGATTAGCAGGGAGTTCTGCGCACTAAGTGTATAAGTACGAGCGCCAACATACCTAAATGCGGCTATCAAGTCCTCGGTGACATCATCGGCCTCGTCCACCGGCTTGCTGTCCTTGCTGTCCTCATGTGACTGCTGGTCGTCTCGCAGCGCCTGGATCCTGCCCACCCATTGCAGGAACTCGGCCTCGTTGATTAAGCCATTGCCTGCGAATCGGAAAAGGGGGATGTGCGGGTGAGAATCGGTGTCTGAGGAAAATTCTGGTAAATCAAGACAGTCAGCAAGTGCAACAGCAGGCTTTTTTAGAGAGTAAGAGACCACACTTTCTGCTGCAGTAATTGAATGCACACAGAAAAAAGGTACGAGATGGGTTCTAGTTGTATTGCTTTTCCTTACTAAAAATGCACCTGTACAGTCAATAGTCCAAGGAAAATTCTCGGAAAAGTGCACAGTAATCAAGTGCAAGCAAAGTGTTTTCCGGGAAGGGAAGGGAGATTTTCTACGTGCAATAATTGAATGCACTCAAAAAAGAAGGGTCATATATTTATTTAAAAAAAAACAGAATTTAACAAATTAATTGTTTTAGAACAAATTTTCTTAATGATTGTTCAAGTTTTTGGAAAAAATACAAATACAAACATTGGCTCAAGAGTCCCAATTTTCGGTCAAAAAGATCAGTACTTTGGCCGTAAGAATGCAAAAAAATAACCCAATTTTGGAATTCAATACCTTGTTAAACTCCTCATGAAATTTTCAATTAATCGTTATTCAAAGCTGAACATTTTAATTTTTGTAAAAACAACATGAATGTTATTATTATTAAAATCCAGAAATATAAAATAAATAAATATATTCGAGTTTCGGTTTTATGATCAAAACCTTTGGAAATAATGGTCAGATCTTGAAATGTCATGCCTCGTTTAATTCGTTACAAAATTTCCAATCGATTGGCATTCTCAGCTCAAAAATTGTATTTTGGCCCAATTTTGGCAAAATAAATAATGCGAAAATCGCTAAAAAATAAAATTTACCAAATCCACCTGGATTATATTGTATAGGTTCTCAGCTGCACAAAACAGTCATTCTTTTGGCTGTGCGTCTTATTTTGTCAAAGTTACGTCAAGAAACCCCTTAAAAAATGTGTTTTAAATATATTTTTTGATGGTCAAAACCTAAAAAAAAGGCTGCTCAATTTTTCAGTTTCTTAATCCAAACCCTTGGATATAATGGTCAGATCTTAAAATGTCATACCTTGTTGAATTCGTTACAAAATTTCCAATCCAATGGTATTCTCATCTAAAAAATTTAAATTTGGCCCAATTTTGGCAAAAAATTAAGTGTTACCCCTTATAAAAAATGCGAAAATCGGTCAAAAAATAAAATTTACCAAATCCACCTGGAATTGATTGTATAGGTCCTCAGCTGCACAAAACAGTCATTCTTTTGTCTGTGTGTCGTATTTTGGCCAAGTTACTACAAAACACACATAAAAAAGGTGTTTATAAATAATCGACCAAAATCCATAAAAAATCATCTCGATTTTTCGGTTTTTTGATCAAAACCCTTGGAAATAATGGTTAAATGTTGTTGTAATTCAGGATAAGGATATCAAGCGCTGTGGTGAACTAAACCAGACAATGCATTAATCGGCTGTGATTCTAGAACAGGACTTAAAAATCAAATTTTCGAGGACGAGCTTACTAAATTGTAAATTCCTCAAATAAGCATAAATATTTTCCGTGTAAGTGCTGCTGGAAACATTTTGCACAAACACTTTCTGAGCACAAAAAATGCATTTTCATTGTTGGGAAATGTTTACACGCCTCAATCCTTAGCAACGAGGACATCCTTTGTTAGGGCAGGATATGCTTGGAGCGCTTCCTCCTGCGCCAATCCTAATGCTGCCCAGGTGGTGGCATTGTCAGAGGCATTTCCGGCTGAGATCTCGGGGACCATTAACATTCCGAAAAGAATGGGAAGACGAAAAATCAAAACCAAAGCCAAGGGAAAATCCCATGCCGAAAGCTGCAAGTGAGCGCTCTCAGTGGGAATGTCTCAACTTTTCTCTGCCGCTGAAACTTTTATAATTAAGCGCAGAAGATACGCCGCCCGGAAAACCTTTTGCGCTATGCTCTTCGGCCTTGACCTTCACCATAACTACTGAAATATATAAAAAATATAAAAAGGAAAACAACTCCCACTGTGTGAATGGCAACGAAAATGAAGTCCGAATCTGTGATAATCTCCGCTGGCATAAATTTGCTGGCAAATGCCAAGGGATATAAAAAAAAGAGGGTTGTACATCATTCGCATTTTCATCTCTAATTGCAATTTGTTTGACCAAACCGCGACCATAATTAGAATTGCTAATTAATTTGTAAGTTGAAAGCAAAGAAATAGACTTGGGAGATATAAATAAATTAATTAAATGAAATGGCAATAGAGAACTCAAGGCAGTGGGTTTATACCCATAGAATGTCTTGATAATTTTGGGACTTATTTTGGGACTTTGTAATACTCCGAATAACAAAACAATTAACTCTTCAACAATTGTTTTCCAGACTTTAAATTTAATGTATGTCCCCTCTTCGTGGCCAAGACAACTAAAGACTTTTTGCTAAGTACAAGCTAGGGATTTCGTCTACTACGGGCAGTAAAATAATTGCTGGTAATTACCAAACGAGCCAAGGACATTCTCCCCCGAGTAACATTTTGTTGTTGGTCCTTTGTTGGCATCAAAAACGCATTTGGGGTCAAACAACCGGATCCGCATCAATTAGACAGTGCAACCAAAGAGTTCCTTGGCCCGAGGCCAGCTAACAAAACAAAGTTCCACACTCAACTCTCGATGAATATAAATATTGCTCCATCGTCAACATATCAACATATCACGATGATTGCTTGGGGTATTTGCTCATATGTTGCCACCCAACTTGGTCATACATGACCCATTATTGTCATCCAAACCATCTTCCCCTATTTGCCATTTTCCTGGCGCAGTTTTTCCTGCTTTTCTTATTGGCCTGACATCTGTGTGACATTTGTGTGTCGGCGCTGCTTGGAAAATATTTTCATTTGCGCTTAGCGGCTTTCATCCCACTAGTAGTTCCCATTCCAAGGATACAGGCTATGAATATAGCCTGGAGAAGTAAGATTTGTGCCATACAGAAATAGCAAAATCAAAATTAAAAAATTAAATTTTTTAGACTAATCAGAAAACATAATAGTTTCAATCATTGCAATTAACAATCATATATTTTTCAAAGTAATGTAACATATATTATTTCTTTAAAGGGAAAAAATCCGTATTTATTAGCATGAAAATAATAAAAACTAGGATTTAATTAGTAAAGAAATAAAAGTGATAATTTTTTAAACATGTTCCTAATGTAATGCCCAAAACAGGGTATCTGTTTGTGATTTTCTATTTGGACTGCATGTTCTGCAAGTTGCCCTTTTCATCTTAAGGACCAAGTCCCCATTCTTGAGAGGCCTTCCTCTCAGCTTGCTTCCTCTTATGTTTTTTTTTTAATGCGAAAACCAAATGCACATTATCTCTATCTCTACTTCTATCTGCGCCAATGTCTGTGTCAGCCTGCGAAAAGGACAAGTCCAAGGATAATGAAAATGGCTTGGTTATATGTATGTTGATGTTGACGCTGCCGCCATTGTCATCGTTTGTCGTCCTTTTTTTCTGTTTTTTTTTGAGCCATACGGACGAAGGCGAGGGCGTTTCTGGCTGCGACTGTTTGTCGCACATTTCGGTAATGTCCTGCATAGAACGTGTCCTGTGGAAGAGCCTCTGCCACATACATATGTCTGTGCCCACTTGCCTCGTTAAGCAGAGCAACAAATTTTCAAGCTTGACCTGCAGTTGCAACAATTTCTTGGCATTGATCGATGAGAGTCTTTCCCAGAAAGTTTATTCCAAAGACTGCTTTAACTTTTAAATGCAGCAAGCTAAATCAATCATGGAATTGAAAGTAAATAAGTCAAAATAACTGCGATTTAAGAAGAAGTGAAGGAAAATAGTAGTAGTGAAAATAATTCACAAAAGTCAATTCAATGAAATTTAAAAAAATGTACAAAATAAAATTAATTTAACTCCCAATTAATGATTGAATAAAACTTAAAACCTAAGTATGTTCGGCCAAAGGTAAAATGTAATATCTATGTTGATGAATATTTCTGCATATAAAGTTCTCTTTAGACTAATTTATTTTGATACTTTAAAAAAACTTTAAATATCTAACAGTTTTAGTTGAAGAGCTGTTTCTTTTCCCCAACTGTAGCTTGCCACCTTCTTTGGATGGGTCTATTTCAATCACAGATCCCTGATGCTTTGTAGGCTGCCCTCGATGAGGGACGTTCAATGACAACCGGCATAACAAATGGCCAATGCGGTTTGCCAGTGCATTCGGTGTCTGGACATCGGGGGGAGGGAGTGGAGGGGGGGAGGGAATTGGCGAGGTGTGTGGCAACAACTTCATGCCAAAGTGTAATCAATTATTGGCAAATGTAGCTGCTGGTTGTAGATTGTTGGCTGTAGTTTGCAGGTGACCTCATGCCACTGCGAACGGAAACGGAAGTTCACCCGGGGTTCTGGCAACGTATTTGTGAGGGAGGCATGCCACACCCCGTCCATTGAGCCACTTTTGTTTGATTGTTGCTCTGCAGTGAGGCGACACTTTGGCCACGTATTTGGGCTTGTAAAACCGGCAATAAGTGCCGACTAATACACAGGCAGCAACCCATGAACGACTGCCTTTGATGGCCAATAAATTACCTTGCAGTTAGGCTATTAATTAAATTCCCGAGAAAGGCAACGCTGCGTATGTGCAATGTCTGCTGGTGTCGGGAAATCCCCCCACATTTTCGGCCAATAAACGCAGTTCAAGGCTGCGATTTCAGGGTTTCAACTGAACTTTGAACTTAGCTTTTCCATTTTCGGGCAGTCTTTATTCCACTTGTTCTGCAATTTTCAAGGAATTTTCGCTGCCTGGCATTTTAAGCTGTATTTAATTTGGCTCCCGTCTTCTTTCAGCCATTGGTTATGTAAATTTCGGCCAGAGGTCTTCGTTGAAATTCGATTAGAGGGTCAAATGCACCAAGGCCATTTCGGTGGGCGGTGTGTTTTCTGGTGATTTTGGGTGGTTGTGCAATCGCCGCGACAGTTGTTGCTAATGTGAAGCCCAGCGGTTGTGGTTTTTGGCCTGGTCCAAACTAATTTAACCTGGCACACACAGAGAATCCCCGCGGGAATGGCTTTGACGCTTAACAACTTGGCTAATAGGAAATTTAATGGCCTACAGCTGGCGTTTATGTGGATTTTGGGCCCGAAAAGCAGGCAGCTAACAACCTGCCGCCACAACTCCCGATATCAATTAATTTTGTGGCCTAAAAGCGTGTGACAATTATTTTTAAATAGCGCTCAACGCTCGCTGGAGTAGTAAATTCTTAACTGCCGCCCAACATAAATTGTCAATTGTCTGCTTAAGCGGCAATTGACCCCCGAAAATAAGTGGAAAAACGAGCACAGAAGCAATGAAAATAGCGAAAAGAAAAACTGTTGCTTGCGTGCTTCATTCCACGGCATAAATAAGGCCAAGAAAAACCTCTGCCAGGTGGTCACTTAGCAATGTCAGAATGTCTAAATCAGCGACTTTCTGCCCAGTTTTTGCCCCCACCATTCTAGGCCTTCCTTTTCTCCCCCAGAGAGAGTGTCATCGAAACCCCTGGAATGTTAATGAAGCCATAAAGTGCACGCTTTAAGCCACATTCAACAAATTGACCGGGCCTTTATCGAAATGCTGGCCAAGTGGAAAACAAGAACAAAAAACAGAGCCAAGTGTCTCTTTGTCTTTGGTCTTTTGTGAGCATTTGTGGGCGAAGTTGTTGCCCTTTTATGTTGATTTGGTTGCCTTTAATGGGGTTCAAGGGCCTGCTAAACATGCATCTTAAATTAGAAAAAGTTTTCGATATGTCAAGCGGATATTGCAGATTATTTATATTGCCGATTAATTAAAACTTGAACTATGAAAGTGAGGAACTAAGAAATTTCACCTTTAAAACTATGAAAATAACATATTGAGCTGAACAATTATGCTAAAACACTGTTCTTGAAAAAACAAAACTGTCAAAATAATTCTGGAAAATTACACACAATTCTAATCAATTTCAGAAAGCAGCTACATTAATGACTATCTAAGTAACACAGCCTTTTAGTACTCAATATCTACTATCATTGGATAAATAACCAATAAAACCAATATAAGTTTGAGGCTTAAGAATAATCTATCCTTTGAAAAATCTACAATTTGCATTGAAAATGGTCCAAAAACTATTTAGAAAAAACCCTTTGAGATTTGTCTTAAAAGCCCTAAATTTCAGATCGGATTTAGTTGTAATGCCCGTTGCATTCTTCAGCCTTTTATTTGGTCTGTCTGGCACATGTCGCAGCCTGTGTTGCGAGCATTGTTTGCTGTCAACTTACAGGTCTCCCAGAGGCCAATCCACATGTGGCAAGGGGTGTGTGTTTGTGCAACACTCGCCTGCTGGTGGCACCCATCAAAACAGGTCCCTTTTGCCCCAGGACCCTCCTTCTGTCCTGTCTGGAGGGCTGTCAGCAACAGTTGCCTGCTTTTATATGATAAATGTCACTCGCCCGCAAACCAATTCCTGCGAAGACTCCTTCCATTTTCCATCTCCCATCCTTTTCGTCCTGAACGTGACCGAGTTTAAATTTACAGCATAACCAGTGCAAACTGCAGACCATCGATAAGAGCCCTAATGCAATGGACAAATATTTAAATTACCTGTGAAGCGATTAACCGAAACTCAATTACCAGTGTCGAACAAACAAAAGTGAAACAAATGGGCTTCGACAATACGCACTATCTTTTATTTGCGCAAACAAAACCAAACTGTCAGCTGGTGATTAAAATAAAGCCGTTTAAATTGTGACATTACTCTATTTATTATTATTAAAAGCATAATAATAATCATAAGGTCATAAATTCATAATAATTGCAATACGGTCTATTTATGGATAGGTCCACGATTGACGTTATCACGTAGTGAGAACGACAACAATTGCATATTAATAGAAAATGGAATTTAATTTTCTGCCAGGTTGCCCTAATTTAATTTTAATATGCGCCACTGGGCTAAATTGACGAATGAAATAAAAATAACATCAATTTACTGGATGCCAAGAATGCAACAGGGAAAAAGCCCCCATCGTTTGTCTTGTATATTTTTATCAGGCAAACGACGTCATTTTACAGCCTTTCTTGGCTGGGGAGTTTATATAACCAAAGCTGCATTTCCTAACGAGTAAATTAAATGAGAAAAGCAAAAGGAAACAAGACAGAAGTGGAAAAGTGGCCCACGGCGAATATCCGATTTCTTGCTTAAACTATATTTTCCAGTGTATAAACTGCGTTATTGCAGCGTAAATAATGAAAGAACTTCTTTAATATGTATTCAAGAAAATCCAATATACGAACTATTTTTTTTTATATTATTTATTTGTAAACATGGAACCCGTACTTTTAGTACCTTAACAATATAGTTTTGAATATGAATTTGAACCAAACCTCATACGACCTATTATTTTCCTAATTCAAATGCATAGCATACTTTTTTGATTCGGTTTTACTTTAAAGACTTTAATGCAAACATGAAAACATATATTTGTGTCATTTGGTTTACCTTTGGGAAATTAAAACCAAAAGCCAACTTGTTCAACCTGTTTATTTGTGGCTGGCCAGGTCTAAACTTGATTAAACGCCGCTAGAACCAATCGACATGCCTCGGTGGGTTTAATTAACGTTTCCCGACGGCCTTTCAACTGCCACCCGGCATTGTGAATTATTAAGGGGCAGACAAACAAACACTTTCACGGGGACAAACTGTTGCACTCAGTGGCCACAGGTTGCTGGCCAGGTGGAAAGGGGCTCATGAGTGGAATTAAGGGGCACTTACCCGAGTGGCTTGCCTCACGGATGAGATCGTGGATGAGTTCGTCACTCACGTTTATGCCCAAATTCTTCAGCATAAACTGCAGCTCGTTGGCGGTGACGCGTCCGTCGCGATTTCTGTCTAGTAGATCGAATGCTGTGCGTAGATCTGGAATAAAATACAAATGAGAGGAATGCATTAGTCAGAGGTATGGAAAATAGAATAGAATATTATAGAACAAGCATTCATCAAAAGGATTGCTAGGCTTTAGCGCAATCGCAAAACCCTTAAAAATATTGTGCAAAAAAAAAGGAAGAATTTTTCAAATGTTTTTTACCACTTATATTTAGTTTTTTATTAGACGATACCAAGTGTTCGTTCTCTCAGAAAAAACATGCACACCTAACATGTAATATATTTAAATAAAACTTAATTTTATTGAGTTTCATTAAAAGCCGGGTCAAGTTTTTCCTTAAACCTACAGATTCTTTGCAAACCACTTATTTAATCTGCCCTTTAGGACAGATTGTTCACAACCCAAACCTCTTTTGTTTGTGGTTTTGGCCAAGACATTATTACGTATGCGTGGTGTTAGCCACAACAAATCTACACAGGCGACACAGTATTTACATATCAGCTGGAATGAAATGACGCCTTAAGTCCTCACAATTCTGAAACGCAAATTTACCAATAAATATTTTAGGGGTGAAAAAGTAGGACAAACCAAAGAAAAAAAAGAGTCGTAAAATGAAAGCCCATTTCTGTGGAAATGCGTGATTTGTTTTTGGGGAAAAGTTCGCGTGCCTGTTTTTATTTGTTACTGCATTTGTAGAAATTATGGAACGCGCGAAAAACAAAAGCCATTGAAAAATGTTTATCGCCTTGGGGGGTTTTTCATGTTTTCCCACTGAGCAAACAAAAAATAATCGTTGCATGCTTCCAGGCTAAGACGGAAATTACTCTGGCTTAAAGGCTCATTCGGGATTTGAGCCGTTTTCTATTGAAGTTTAGGGCTGTTTCAGCGAGGTCCTTGCACAATAATTAAGGCCTTGCGATGGCCTTCTCTGCGGCACGCCAAGAACCGAAGAACCGACAACCAAGACCCCAGTCAATGCCTTGTGGCCATAAAATCAGATGTCTGGGCGCCCCAATGCCAAATCGATCAAACTTGCAGTTGGCCTGCCAGAAACAGGCCATAATATTGCCGCTTAGCCAAAACTTATAATTTTCCCAATCGCGCATAACTTTGCGTGCAATTTGCTATGCAACTTAGTTGGAAAATAAAGGGTAATGGAGTAGGGTAGGCAAACTATACCGATTTGAGATTGAACTTATTAAATTTGCAGGTTTTTTTATGCTACAGTTATAAGAATAATCTGGTAGCGATGATTACAGATAGAATTCTTTTGTAGAAAGACAAGAATACAAGTTATTCCGGAGTTTATAAGTTAATCAGCTTTATACGCCATTCTTATATATATTTCTTTAAAAAGTTTACCCAACTATACAGGAGCAATACTTTTTGAGCGTGTTATAAAATCAGAATGCGAAAGGAGAGCAAAAAGCAATATTATCCTTTGAAGGCAGTCGCCCGTTTCTGGCTAAATTCCGATGCAAAGAAAAAATGGAATAGGGAAAGAAGATATGCGAAAATTGCATGTAAATTGCTTTGGGCAAAAGCCGCTTTTCCACCAGACCACGCCCCCCCTCGTCAGCCCTTTTCCATTTTCCCCTTTTCCGGCGCATGTAGAGCACTTCCGTTGCCGTAGCTTTTGTTAATACGACCACACTCTTGAGCTGCGTACTTGTATAGTTTGTAATTGCACACGTGTTTATACTTCAGATATTGACACATTGACACCAATATTTCACAGTGCAGTGTCTGCAGCCCGAGCAGAATGGAGAGAATGACAGGTGTCGTCGGGAGAGCGGGACATATTGAGGTTAACCCATGGATCGGCGCATTTGATTGGCATCTAGTTAGGGTGATGTCGACGCTTCCACGGCAGACACTCGCATACGATATAAATTCCGACGCTCCAATTCAAATCGGTCTGTTGCTTATTTTGACTTTTATGGCTTTGGCAGCCGATTGATGGCTGTGGTGGTTTTCATTCAAATTTGCCAAAAATGTAGTATGTTAATGTGCGCAGTTTCGAAGAAAGTACCTAAAAATGTTTCCATGCCTTTAGGTTTTTGAAATATTTTTTCAAATAGTTGAAAATTATGTTTTTTTATACCCTTGCAAAGGGTAACTACAATTTCACTCAAAAGTTTGAAACGCAGTGGCTCATTTCCGACCCTATAAAGTATATATCTTCTTGAATTGATCAAGTCCTTCCGTCGAATTGTCCGTTTCTAGCAAAACTAGTGCCTGAGTTTTAAAGCTATTTGTCAGTTTAAGGTTGATCAATTGTTTGACCCATTTTCATGTTAGTTTTTTTAAGTTTCCGATGACTTGTAAAAAGCTGACCCACACTTGCACTTCTAGATTCCAAATTCAAGAGTTATGTGGAAAAAAAATTCGTAAACATAAATTAACGTTGTTAGATAAATAGTCAGATTTCACTTATTTTTTTGCTAGCTTGTAATTAAATTCCTGTGCGAAGGACTTCCTCCTTTTGCCTTTAACATAATTGTAAACCAAGCTGGATTCAGATAGCACTCAAGTGTTTGGACTAGCAATTAGCGAAAGTTGTGTAATTGCCTTATTGAACCGGGAGAAAGACGAACTTAAGGTTCCAGCAACTTGGCTCGACATTTCCATGACAAAGTCGAAGTGCGCTGTGGCAGAAAGTTGGCCATCAGTAAGTGTCGCTGCAACTAATTGAGGCGACATCTGGGGCATCCTATCCCGCGGAATTTGCAAGTATTCCTGGGGGTACGAATGCGAGTCGAAGACTTCCCTACTTTGTGCAACAAAACTTTTTCCGAGGGGGGGGGGTGGAAAAACATTTGTTGTTTGCCCTTGTCTGTTTTGGTTTGTCGTTTATTCTTTTGCGTTGTCAATGAACTTGATAATTGCATTGCATCGCTCTCGACGGACCCTTTATGCCCTCACTTTCTCCCCGGGGCCTCGTTTTCGGGGACTGTGTAATTGAGTTGCCAACAAAACTTGCCAACACTTTCGCCATCGCACAGAGGAACCCCAATAAATTGCACTTGCACACTGTGGCTGCTGTCGTAAATAACGCTTAAAAGTGCAAAGTTTTTTAGCTCCGAAACTTTTGCCATCCCACACATATATTGGCAAAAGATTTGCCAAGCGAAATAAAACGCTTCGGAGGGAATCGCTCTATGCATAAACCACAGCGGCCATGAAATGTGACTTGAAATGGGAAATGGCAGAGTTGGCCATTTGATTTCGGCCTTTGGGGTTTTATATCAGGGTCACGGATCTCTTGGGTTATTGTTTTGTTCACTAACTCTACATCAAGTGGCTTTTAATATACATTCAATCCAATTACATTGCTTGTTTTTCAGCATCAACTTTTGTGTCGAGACAGTTTAAACTATAAAACCATAGATAGTTCTAACTTTTAACAGATTCATATTTTAAATATAGCAAAGTTTTTAATTAAATAACATTTTTAACTTTAATATTATCCTTTCCCTTTAAATGACGTTAATTGTTGAGAGTCTTCCCAGTTTGTTCTTAACTCGTAATTAAACGTAGTTTATATTTTAACAATAAAGAATGGCTGTGAATAAATCACAAATTTATTTAGATTGCAAAATCTAGATTTGCCCTTTTGTTTTTAGAGTTTCCATGGCTATTAATAGCCTGGCAATAAGCTGTATTAATCCCCTTTCATGTTCGCACTGAAATCAAATTATCCATCACAAAGGACGCGGCTTGAACATTTTACGCGGGCTTTTCAACACTTCAAACGTGTCAAATTGAAGTGGGTGTGTGGGTGTTCGCTCAAGAGCCTCTATTTGTCACATACATTCATGGGGAACCGTGTGGGAGTTTATAGAGCACAGAGTTGAATATACATTTTTATATTAAAAGTCAAAGTAATATCCATTACTATTCAGTGAAGAACAGGAAAAGAGGAAACTGAAAACATGGAGTCCTGAAACTGACTTAGTTTGGTTCAATTCACAAATAAATTGCATTGTTGCAATAACAAAAAAAGGATATTTCAGGAAAGGGGCAATACAAAAATATAATCCAATTGATTGACTTTAACAAGAATGTTAAGTATTAAAATAATTAAGATAAAACTATATTTGCTTGCTCCTTTGTTAAAAATTCACTGATTAAAAATCACAAGACAAATCAAAACAAAATCGTTGACAAGCACTAATAAAGAATAATAGCAAAAGTCTCAACAATAATAATGAGAATGTGAAATACTACTGGACTTTGTTGTCGACTCGCAAAGATAAGATATTATGGACTATGGTAATTCACAGCGAAAGAAAAAAACAAAACACAACAGAAAGTTATCGTGTTGATTAGATTGGAAATTCCGTTGATTGTGTTTGATTGTTCTGCTTGTATTTTGTTTGTATTTTGTTTGTCGAGTGGGTGTATGTAATATTTGGCATGACACACGTCTATGTTTGGTTAAATTCCCCTCGTCTAATTTGTACTTTAAATATGGTTCACATGCACATGGCTTTATAGTGATAATTGCCAAACAATATCATGTGCTCGCTTAGCATTATCATAGAAATGTGTGACTGAGATAATTCCAACAGCAAAACAAAGTAGTTAATAAAAAGTGTGGGCTAAATTTATGATCCACAGCAAGTCTGGTATTGGCTTGCCCCTTTGGGGTCTATTAACTGAAATATTTATAACGTTCATTCGATTATCCGACTTGTGGGTATCATAAAAATAGCAAAACTTTGTGAACGAAATAAGAGAGTGAATTATTTTCCATACTTAGCTCACCTCGCACTTCACTTGCGATTTCTTTGTGATCCATTTCTGTTGTTTTCTGTTTTTTGCTTATATCTATATAGTATTTATAGATTTAGTGTTTTGTGTTATTTTCGACGCTCGTTTGTTTGTTATTAGCGTAATGTATCTTTTTTGCTCGCCGGCAATTATGACTTTAGCTTTTTTGCGGATGTGTGTACTTATTTTTGTCTCTGTTAACGGGGCGTATGAGTAACGCCAGCGATTTGTTTAGTTTTCACTACTTAAACAATGCAAAGGAAAATGGTTTTCGAATCATTACTGAATTACTGTTGATCTTGGCCGAGCAGCACACGATTATAATGAGTCTGATTGGTTTTGGCTTGGTGTTTTAATTGCAATTAATTACTGAAATCACGACTGAATGAGGTCAAAATGCGTTCAGGGTCAGGGTCTATTATTTTCCCTTTTGCTCCTTTCTTGTTTTCCCCACATCACGCCGACACTTGTCGGCTTTCCTCAATTTATCGCCCGTCACTCTCTGAGTTTTCCCAGACTTGATATTTCAATAATTATGCCGCCTGACAGCCATTTCTCTTAAGGCCAATAAATATACGTCTGGGGTGATGCAAATTGAAAGTTTTATGGCATGAACAAGAGAAATATGATGGCAAATTAAGCTGACTTAACTTTGTTTTGGATTTCTAAGAGGTGTTGTGGAAAATGGCATTAAGCTAGAGTGTTTCAAGCTAGAAGGAATATGGGATTAAATTAAGTCCTCTTTAAATTAGAAACAATTGGTAGATGAAAAACTGCATTATTTGTAATCTATATTTATTATTTATTTATCATCTTTTTTTATAATAAATAAAATTGAAAATAATATCTTTGGCAACTTTATAGCAATTCACTCATCCTGAAATATATTTGATGTCATAATTTAACACACTGAAACTAGCTTTCCATATCAAATTTCTATGTCTTGACTCATCATTTGTCATGGCAATTGTATCATTTGGCATAAAATATTGCATAGTGCACTGCGTAAAATTCTTAGTGACATAACAACTTCTTTTTGTGTCCTGATTTCAGTTCCTTGGCTTTTAACTTTTACCGGAGACTTAAGGACTTATTAACGGACACTTCAAGGCCGCACGTTACGCTTCAATTACGCGCAGTGAGTTCAAATTATTTGGCGGGGAATTGTTCATATCATTGAGAATTTTAAACACCAAAACAAAGGCCATAATTTTTATAATTTTAAACCTTTTGAAATAGGGAAACCAGCTGATCGGTCCAGAAAATTTAAAAAAACTGCTAGCAATTCAGTGAGTGTTAGAATAAAGATAGTAAGATAGCGCACCGATAGTTCGGTTTTTTGTTAGTTAATTTCAATCCGTCGCTACTTTGTGTTCGCGCCGACTTCGAAACTGAAACTGAAAGCTATAAAATGGAACGACATGAATGGCAGCCACATTGGCAGTAGGTTCGTATTCGCATTCGTACCCTCCCCCATTGATTCCCGTTATCCGAAGATGCTTCGGGTCCCCGAGACTTCGGGACTTTCTGGCTTCGTCCAAATTTCATTCATTGCTGGGGCAACTAAAGAATTCTTCTCTGTTTTTGTTGCTGTCTCTGTTTTCATAACGTTCTTCGCCGCGGAGAAGGCGGGAGAGAGCGAGGGGGTGGGCACTCTCTCCTCCGCATTGGAATGCTTTTCACTGTTTTCCCTGCCGACCCGGAATTCACGTGACGGCGTTCGCTTTTCTTTTGAAGGACTTTTCGGGTTTTTTGGCTGTGTTTTTCGTACGAAATATGATAAGTTTGTTCACTCTTCTGTTAGTTATGCATTTCATTATCATCTAATATTCATTATCGTTTCATTTTCGGCGCTTAAGAAGTTTTTAATTGGTGGTAACGAAAGTGGTTTGAAGCATCGTTATTTAGATAAGAGTGTTGATGATGAAGACCATACTTTTTAATAAACTAATGAAATACTACCGAAAATTGTCTAGAAGGTATTCTTGTTTTATGCTCTACAATATTTTTAACAATATTATTTATGCATTGCAAGAAATTGGATTGTTTTTTTGTTAACGTATTTTTAGGGTAAAACTGAGTTAAATTATAAAACAGTGTTTTAAAATGTGCAGTTGTTAAAAAGGGAACAAAACAACAACAGTTAATGTAAATACACTTATTTTAAACCCTATAATTACATGTAAAAGAAAATCAAAAATATTCTTTTATCTTATTACCTTAAATAACTTTAAAATATCACGTATACGCTGTTTACGGGAAAACCCCTTCGAAATAAAATCTTATAAGAATGCTTCCAGTAACCTTGCCCCAACCAAATAAGAATAACAACAACACATCGCATTGTGTGCAGCATGCATTTTTTGCACATGTTTCGGTGTTCTTGGAGGGGCAAATCAATTCTCTCGCCCGCTCTCTCTCTTACTTTCTTTGACTGGAACCGTGGGAGAGCCCACTGAGTCTCTCTTTTTATCGCTCCATTTCACTCACACCCTGCGCGAGGAAGCCCCATTTGTTTTGCTCAGCGAATGTGGGGAACAAAACAAAATGAAGGAAAACGGATTTTTGTTGTTATCGCAGGCAACGGCATTTGTGTGAATCTGCCAAACAAGTTGGAAAAAGAAAGGCAAAGAGAGCGCGGGGAACACAGTTATACGTAAGGCTTTATGCAACGCTATCGTTGCATTTTTATGTAATTCTCAATTAAATCGCATTGTCAACTTACGTGTTATTTCAGCTTATCAATGCGAATTAATTAAGATTTTTAAATAACCAATGTTTAATTTAATAGCATGGAAAACCAATATAGGTTAAAGAGATTTTAAAATAGTTTTTGGATGTTTCGACTTTAATTTTAGTAACAATTAAACCATTTGTATAGAACTACATACACAAAACAAGAACTCGGTAATTACGCTTGAATCTTTAAATACACAACTCATCCTGATACACAAAGGCGAGTTGAAAGAACTTTAAGGAAATGTTGGCTTCAGTTTTCCATTCCGACAAATGAGCTGCAATCCTTTAACAAAGTCGTGTCCACTTGTTCTACTTAAACTCATTTTTCGATTTATGGACCCCTCACGTTTCCCCTCGATTCCCCAGTTCGTTCAACTCTCGGCAATGCAAACAACTTTTTAATGAAAATTAATTGGGAAAACTTTGGGCAGCCAACAGAGTGAAATGCAAGCTAGGACCAACGAACTAACACCAATCAGTTAGCTTTGAAGACGGATGGATGGAGTTCACAATATGTGCAGCTTAATCACAGGACGATGGCCTTTTTATTGCAAAGCTATCTGATGTATAAAACAGAAACTGCGTCGCAAAAACTTTTCCCGAAGGCGTAAATTGTATTAGGCGTGGAGTAACTAACTAGGCGGGTCCAAAAACATCACGAACGCCTTTGAAAATCGTGGGAGGTACGCAAAAGAAGTCACGTGCCGCCGCCAGAGGGCGCCACCCACGGACAGTGGGCTGAAATCGTGGGCTGAAATTCTCAAAAAATATTAGGTTGATAGGGCCAATCCACTCAGGGAAATAAATAATTAACTATCCTTTTATTAATATATTATAACAAAATCAGAATTAAATGACTTTTACTTGGAAATTATTTTAAGTTAATGGTTCTTTGGGGAAATACAAGTCACAATACATATTACACTCTTAAATAAAATATGTCTTTTAAAGTACCTATATTTCTGTAAAGAATGTTGAGCTGGTTTTTTCTTTTAAAGGAATTTAAATTTAATATTTTCTCAAACATTTTTAAACTGCCAGATTTTCAAAACGAAATCTTTCTTAATTAATTTTTTAATATTTTTACAAACATACAATTTTGTTTATAATTAAATATCTATTGATTTATATATTTTCCAATTGGTTTACTTTACGAAATTCAATTTTTGCAGTTTAAGTGCGCAAAAATGCATCATAAATGTACATTTTACGAGGCAATTGGCATTAAAGATGCGTTTGCACTCAATGCTTTTTATCTGCGGCTTTTCTTTTTATGGGCCGTCAAAATTCACAAGGCCAGTCAACTGTTCTATAAAGAGTACTCTGTTCTGTTCTGTTCTGAATGCGAGTGCAGCTGGGTTCCGATTCAATGTCCTGCATTAATATGCAAAAATCAATCCGAGGGCCGCCGGCATCGTCAAAATCTTTCATACGCAAAACGTGCCCCCTAGACGAGCTTCAAAAGGGGTTGGAAAAAGGGGGTGGTAAAAGGATGGGGGTCAAGGACTAAGGCACGCACAAAAGCAGACTACGAAAAACAATTTTTCATCTCGTTCTGTTATTGAATCCATTTACGTGACCGAATTAGCGCTTCGCAATCATCCATATACATTTCACAGTTCATAAATGCGAAATTGCTTAACAATGCACATTCGAGTGCTTAAAAGCTTAAATGAATAAGTTTTATGGGAAAAACTCTTTGAGCCAACAAATAAACTGTGTTTGCTCAACAAATGCATTTATTTAATGAGCCCAATTTGTGCTGTGCGGATTATGGATTTTTAAACCAATTTGAAAACTAAGCGACTTAAATAAATCACATTTAAAGTCAAAATTGAAATTTTACTATCAACAAAAGCTCTTGTTTTTCACTTCTGTCTCGTTTCTCTTCGTTTCGGCTAATTGTCTTGCCCACTCATAACTCAAGTCGAGTAGCAAGCCGAGAATTCTGTAAACGAAGCCTAAAAAACTGCCAACGTTGCGTAACCATAAATCAAAATGCAGGCGTGTTCCAAAAAAAATACAAATAAATAAAAACTCGCAGAAAATATTACGGCTGCCTTTGACTGTCAGGTTTCATCAGCGGCAAAGTGGCAACAAATTAACTGCCAACCGCCCACTTGCCAAATACACAAACACACAGTGAGATAATTTTTCCAGAGCGATAACAGGGAGATATATAAAGCGCCACGGAGTTACACAGAAAACAATTACATTAGGCTGTATTTCATATATGTAAAAATCCAACAGGGTCTTTAAAAATCAGACGTAATAAAATTTGTTTAGACTCAATACCTAAATTTGATATTTATCACGGAGAACTGATCACTAAATCTAATTTTATAGAATATTTCATATATTTAAAAATCCAACAGGGTCTTTAAAAATCAGACGTAATATAATTTGTTTAGATTCAATATTTAAATTTGTTAATTATCAGGGAGAACTGATCACTAAATTTTATAGAATATAAATTTAGTGTTTGTAACAGTACCATTTGTATCAGAAAGTATTTTTTTTTACAAATACCACTTTAAAGGGTTTTTATGTCAGAAATAAATGTTTCAATTATTTTTAAAAAACATTCGTTCACTTTTTTTTTCCACAGTTTAGGCCATACGTGGCTTCTGACAAACGTTTAATTAGTTTTACAAGTGTGGCGACAAATTGACATGGCCGTGTGTCTCCGAAAGTTGATTGCTGTTTGCAAATTAGTAATATTCGACTTCCCGTGAGTACTGGTACTCCCACAACCGATAACGATAGCGGTTGACTAAAGTTCGGCATTCGGCCAACTTATACTCACACTTATCATCTTTGCTCATATTTTCGAAGCGAAAAGACGCTAATTTGCCAGGTATAACTGGTTCGTTTTGGAGGGTTGGCAGGCACAAACGCGGCACTATCAATCGGTCAATCAATCAGTTAATCAGTCAATCAGTTAATCAGTCAATCAGTCCATCAATCAATCAATCACGGCTGGGGAGAGACACTCGAGGGGCACTTCCGAGCGCTACATAAGCTGGCGATACTCTGCGAGGGCGCGAAATAATAATGCTGCAGGAATGCCAGCGTTAACGAGCGATTTATCTACGAAAACTCCCAAGATAATGACTGAAAACGAACTAACCAGAACTCAGAACTCGCAGCTCGGCCGACTTTTGCAGAGAGTTCTATATTGTATTATATTTCATTTGGGTGATAGCACCCGCCGCTCCCCGCAGATAACTAACTGACTTATCAGCCGGATGACAGGGCCCGATTTCGGTCGTTGGGTTGGTAAGTTGGTGGGTGGGTGGTTGGGTGGATGGGTGTATATACCCATATAGTGGCAGTATAACTGGGATGGGCCAGCGGGTTGTCCGATTTCATTAAGTGCCAGTCTATATGTCGTAATGGTATTTGCTCTCCATTATTGTTCTTCTCATTGGCCTTATCTTGATTTCAGTTGTCTGATTGCCCGAGTGAGACAATCTGAGCTCTGAGTAGTGCCTCAGCCCAAAAGTGCCTGTGGGTCGTCTTGATTGTTAAGCGATATTGGGGTAATACTAGTAGTTCTATAACTTCAAGTAGTGTCAATTGTTTATTTTCAAAAAAGGAGTGGTTTGCTTGTATGCAAAATAGGCTAGAAAGAAGGACTTCAAACATGATCATGGGTTGTCAATACATTATCCAACTAAAAACTATTTTTAAAAAAATATATATAATTAAAAGTTAAATCTTTTAACATCAAAATTAAGAACTAAATTTTGCAAGAAAACTTTTCAAGTCAAAAAAGTTAAAGATTTTCAAAATGTTTCTTTTGGAAAATGGTAACTTAAGCTGACAATTGATTTACACTAAAGTTTTTTGGGATTTCTTATATTTATTTCCATTGTTTTTTATTTGACCTCGAAGTTATTTAATAAAAAAAAAATATTTTATTTAGTTCAACTGAAATTGTGTCTGGAACTTTGATAAATTCGCCATTATTATGGTTCTCCAACAATCAATAAATATTAATGCCCTTAATTTACCCATAATTTGGCAACAATGAGACCCTACCTTGCCCATAAATGAGTCATACGATTTATGATTGTTTTCGCCGCTGCTTTTCCGCTTTTAGGCCAAATATTTGCTGGAGATCAACAGCTGAAGGCAATGTCAAATGAAAGTGCCTGGCGCCGATTAAAATACGACTTGTTTGGCTTGTCAGCCGGGGAAATGTGTCACATGGGTGCTGGGATCAGCATGTTATCTGATTCGTCTTTCGATTGTAAACACCTTGGTGGTAAATCCCGGGGGCCAAATTTAATTATGAACAAAAGCTGTACGGCAGGTATTTTTTTTTTCTGCTCCACTTTAATTTTTTTTATATTTTTTGGAATCTTTATTCGCCCGTTAATTGGGCACGTGATGCGGGGGTGTCAGCTATTTCCCGTCCTCAACAACTCGCTTCCACTTTTTCTGCTTTCGGACGGAAAAGAAGGAGGCGCGTTAATTAAATTTCAACTCGATTATGGCTATCTTGATTAGATTAAAGCCGCCGTGTTGCTCGAAACAATTTCAAGATATAAAAATAACTCATATAGAAGTGTGGATCCATCCATCTTCGAGTGCCAGTGCACCTGTTCTACCAAAGGCTGCAATTAGTATCAGCATAAATTACATTTGAGCAACATGCAAGAGGCGGTCAGCAATTTTGTCTGGCTAAATTTAGATGCTCAGAAATAGAATAAGACATTTGACTTTATTTCACATGGCTTAATATTTATTTTTAGATTAAGCCAAGATTACTAAAAGCTATATATGCTAGAAATTTGTTAAGCATAAAGATATTTTTACTGGCTTTCAATATTTTAAAATGTTTTGGGCTAAAATGCCTAATCACTCCTTCTTTATAAGAAATATAAAACTGAGTTAATATTCAAATTAAAAGAAACGTAAATATTTCTTTTAGTGCACAACAAATAATAATTCTACACCATGATAGTGCAGATAAAACAGATTGCGTATACGCAGTGTGGGCCCGACCAAGAAATGGCAGATCTAGCTGTTTATCTTTGCACATAAATTTGCTGTAATTTTGAATAATCAAACAGTAGATAGCAACACCCACTCAATATACCATATTAACCCATATTTTGTTGGGTTTTTCGCAGAAGAACAGAGGGCACTGCTCGTCTTGTTTGTAAATAAACAATTTGTCTGTTGATTTGTGGTTTGGTTTGGTAACTTACCTTTGATTTCCACCTCCGTAAATGGTTTCTTTTTGACAGACTGTGAAATGAAAAGGCAAAAAAACGAAACGAAAGTGAAAATCAAATAAATAACGACCAGTCAAAATAAACCGATCCGAAATAATTTTCTGTTTACCTTGGTGGCCCGTTTGCCCAGTAAAGCTGTTCCCAGCATCTGTGGAAAAATAAAAAGGAAATAAAAAAATTAAATACACTAAATAAAAGGCGAAGGAAAGAAAATGTAGCATACTCTTGAGCTGCGGGGAAAATCAAGAACCTATTTTTTTTGGGGTGGTGGTGGGTTGAAGAGATATTTTTACATTTCGTCTATTAGTCTTTTTTATTTTTGACATTCTTGTTTATTACGTTGTTCTTTGGTTATTTTAGCACCCGTTCGCTATTTGTTGTTTTCAATTCTATTTTAATTCGAGGAATTCCGAATATCTCAACTGAGCCAAAAAGAAGTGCAAATGCAATTAGTTGGCTCTTTAAGAACAAAACATCAACCCCGCGATTAGGCCAAATATGAGGGAAATTGGCAGAGATTTCGTGCTTCCTATTTATTTATTTTTCAATTCAATTGCGTACTGAATTGCAAGTATTTCAACTATTTTTGATTAATTACAAAATGAAGCAGCAAAAACGGTGAAAGTGTTTACGTAAATATCCGAAAAGATCAAATTATCCGAACAATTCTTATTTAAAATTCATTTTAATTGTGTGCTAAGCGAAAATTAACCTTTTAATTAAATCATGTGTTGTTTGTTTACACTGTGTGACCTTTATAGTTTAAATTGGATTTCTAATTAATTTTAGTAAGCTCGCAGTTTGCGTGATTTTTAAAAAGTACCTTTAATTACACGGTATCGATTCTGTGTAATATAATTAACAGAATATTTCTACTAAAATTTAGTTTGAGACACATTTATGTTATTACAGATGAATTGTTTTAAAATGTGGTTAATAGTCAATTTAAATTTATTTTCAACGTTAATTTCCGTGCCTAAGATCATGTAATTAGTTATTTTATGTAATTTGTAAAACCTCAAGGTTTTGAACAGTATTTATTTTCTACTTTAACCTTATCAGTATTATGGTTGTCTTGTAATCCAACTTGGTATTCAACCAACAACCTATTTGGTAATTAAAATGCAGCTGATGTTCACATGGCCCGAACGGCAACTATGTAAAACCTTGTCCCAGGTTAGTTACCTTAGTCGACTGTTCGTTTATTGGCTTTAACAAAACAAAATAAATGCAGATGATGGCATTGCTCACGTGCTAAGTCGCATAAAATGTAAACAAATTAATAAATTTGTAGAGAACGGCGTTTTTATGCTCATTTTATGGCATTTTTCTTTGACACTTTTTCACGAATTTAACAAATTGTTTATGTGCCGTTAAGCCTTGCCAAAATCATAAATCTGCGGCTTGTTTGTATAAATCCAGTCGAAATACTGTTGTGTCGTCAATTGGGAAATTTTGATAAACAAGTATCGAAACTTTGGACCTCAATGGAAATTCGTATGATGCGTTCACATCATATTCTGATAGACGAAATTAAAATATACACATCAAAAAGGTAGGCAGAAAGTTAATAATCGCAAATGTTTATATTTGCAAAGTATATTTAGGTCTATGCCGATAAACAATCGACCTTTTTAATGCCCTGGAAAGCACTGTACGCCAGAAATCTTAAACGTGCACATTAAGAAACCATTACGATGTCCTCCCCCGAAAAGGCTAATTTCCAGGGGAACATGCACATGTCTTTTTTCATATCTATATCCATTTGCCTTTTATGGATGCTCGTCTGTGCTTTTTAATGATGTGTTTTGGCTACAAAGTTATGAGCTGCGACAGCGACGCATTTTATGACTTAGAAAAACAGAATGCAATGTTGAGGGGCAACTTTATGGGAGTCTCGCCATACGCCTTACATTTTATTTTTGCCTACGCAGATCTGGATATTAAATAGCAGACGGTTGCACTCGATTTGGGCAAGCTTGTATTTGTACCATAAAAGATTAATTAGCTTTTGGACTTGTGGTAATAATGAGGAGGTACAGTTTTGGAATTTTAAATTACAATATGGAAACAATGTTTAGTTTGGAATCTTAAAATGCCCATTTTGTTAGTTGAAAATTATTAATAGGATTCGTTTTTAGCAAAACTGTAAAATACGACTAGATATGTCAAACAATTAAAAATTATTTAGACAGCATTTTTAAATTTTAAGGATATTATTTCCTGCGAAATAATGAAATTTGCAATATCATCGCTTACATTATTTATTTGTAAAACTAAAAACGGGAAAATAACACCAATTAAAAGTGTGTTAAGCTTTAACTTTAAACGAATACGAATTAGCTTTTCACTTGTTAATGTCGTCATTACATTTTATTTGTTGATCCATTCAGCTTTTTAAAGTCAAGTACAACCATTAATGCCAAAATAAATTATTTAAATTTTCATTGTTCCGAAAATAAACCAAGATAAACATATTTGTTGAGCTTCGTGTAATTCGGTTACCCTAAATATTTGACTAAAGATGGTGAAATTAACAAATTCGATCTGCTAATTTACATATTTCTTGGCGACCCTGACAAGAGAATTGCCGCAATGTAGTACCAATATTGTTATTAAAATTATTTATAGGCGGTCCCACGAGAGAGGGATTTAATATTTGCTCATCATAAAAGAAATGAAAACAAATTGTGTATACAACGGAGGCAGCTTTAGTGCCTGCCAGACGGGGAGCTAAAGTTGTTGCCACCATTGAAAAGCGATTAGGTAAATATTTATGCAAATGCGAGCAGGTTTAGACTGAAGACTAAAGACTCAAGATCGTCAGGGATTGTGGGGTCTTTATTTGGAAAGGTAACCCCGTCGATAAGGCGTTGTGGTACTTACCTTTAGCTGTTGGCGCAGTCCGCTCATGGGGCTCATTCAAAGGCTGATAACTGAGATGGGAATGAATGAGGTGCCGGTGGCGTATGAGTAATATTTAGTTTCAAATCAACTGTCTGTCTTTCTGCGTTGGCCTACTTTCGCCTTTATCTACCAGCACTTAAATGCGTATAAACGTATTAGGACTCTTTTCACAGTGCACAGCACAATTATTCACCAATAAAATGTGTTTACTTTGTATTTTATTTTCTTGGTCTGTGTGTATAAATCTTAATTTTTTTATGTGATTATTAATGGTGTGTGTTTTTTTTTCATTGCCTAGTTAAATATTTCTTTGTGAATGCTTGAATTTATTATAGCAGCGCGCGCGACTTTTTCGACGATCGTCTCGCCACGGAGTCCCAAACAATATTGAGCATTTCACGGCGCTTCAACGCGCTCGAAAAGCTGCCAAAAAAAAGCGAAAGCCAAAAACAAGTCGGCGAGAGTGGAATGGAGAGTGGGGTTCTCTCTTGTCAGTTGTTTTTGAACCAACAATTTTTGAAATTTCGGCTCGTACTGGGATTGCCATTTTCATTTTGTTCATTTTCATTTTCTGATTTATTTTCATCGATTTCGCTGCGCCTTCGCTCTTTGTCAACGGCAAGCAGCCGGCATAAAATTTGGATCTTGTGACGAGGCGAATTTTCCCAGTGTGTATATGTTTTTCTAAAGAAAGATCTGTGCCATCAGAACGCGAAACAACACTTGGTCAAACACGTTTCGCCCATGTTTGTTTATCAATGCACCTTAACGAGCATCATTGGTGCTGAGGTCTCAAAGTCTAGACTCTAGGGCCAAAAACATGCCACTTTCGAAATCCCTTTTTAGCTAAGATCAGCCCTCGAGAGAATGTTATATAAACTGGGCAAACTGCAAGAGTTATATTTAGACGGACGCACGGACTCGAGTCATTCAACCCGGTTGCTCATGAAATGACAGAAAATAAGTGCCTCTGCAATTGCAAGTGCGTTCGTGTGCCCACTCTGCGTATGCGCTATTTATACCGATCGACAACCCGCCCCGTTGGCCGCACTCCACGAATTTGGCAGACGGCGACGGAGCAACGAAATCTTCGATAATTTTAATTAGGCAGCTGTCGCGGACCGTTCAGATTGTTCAGGTGAGGCGTCCAAAAATGACACATTGCTCATACGCCGTGGGGTCGTAAAAAGTTTAAAATTCACCTCTGGGAGTTGAGACATCACTCGAAATTATTTTATTTACCAATGTTCAGTTGCTCAAACATTAATCATTAATATGACTTCAGTCTTCCATAGCTGTATATAAATTCTCTGCAAATTGAATGCATTTTTTTTAGTTTCAAATTTGTCTTTCACAAGTAACTTTAGAGATAACAAATTTGAATAATTGATTATAATAAATCTCAGTCCAAAAATGTATTCAGAATTTCAAGTATATACTGGACATTTATTTATTACTCGGCAATGCAACACATTGGGTATATCAAATACAATTTTTATTTCATTTTACTAATTACAAATATTTATAAAGTCTGTTAATTCTATAAAAATCATAATAATATTAATTATTGTTATTAAGTGCCAAGTAAGGTTCACGTGTTTTTTATATTTTTAAAAATTGCACAACTGTTGAGAGCTGTAACTGAACTCGTTATCGATCATTGGCATTATCAGTGAATGACTTTACGCCTAGAAGTGAAGGAACCTGCAATGCTGCTATATGCTGCAAGAGTATTCAGAGATCTCCCATCAAGATCGGATCAGTTTAGATGGCTTCTAAGCAGAGGGAACTGGAATTGGACTGTTTACGAGCTCATTATCAGTTCATAAACCATTAAAGAAAAGCAGCCAGCAAACACAGACGTTTTATGAGTTATTTATTTCTTTGGCATTATTATTATTTTTCTAAGAGAAAAAAGTGTAATAAACCTGTGACCAAAAACCGTGTGAACGCCGAGCGAGAGAATTATGGGGAGAAATCGGCTCCTTGCTCTTTATAGATTTCCAATGTAAATATTTACAATGTTTATTTTTAAACCATATACATATAATATACATGTTCGTACATTGTGTATGCATGTTATGATCGTGCCAGATAAATATTATGAAACTTTGCTGGTGCCCAACGGCGGATCCCGTGATTTACGCTGGATTTTAACGGGGTGTTAATGACTCTGGGAACGGCGTTTAGCGACTTAAGTTAGTTATCGGCGGAAGGCAAACAGAAATGTCGCACTTGGCTGTGGACTTAATGACCCGGCCGTGATATCATCGATAGACAAATATACGGCCGGCTGCCAAACGAAGCGTGAAAAGTGCCCAAGGTCGAGGGCAAACCAAACAAAAAGTAAGCGGAACTCTAACTATACAATTGTAAAAACAGTGCAACGGAAGCCAAACAGTTAGCCAAATTCTAAAGTTCCAGCGCACTTACGGCGAGCGGATTTTCACAGATATCCCCTTGGTCCGCAATCTTGGCCAACTCAGAAATCACACACACGCGATGGACCCGAAAAACTTGGACACGCGACCTCTTGGCTCCTTTTTTTATAGAACGACTACTGTGGCCGCCGCGCCGACACTTTTTGTACTGGGTTCTCTGCAGCGATCTGCGCTTCTGATCAGTCACATAAATATGTGTCCACTAACGAAACGCGACCAAGCCCAAAACGATCATCATTTGTGTACACAGAGAACAATTTTGGGGTTTTAATGAGGCACAACATGATTTGTTATTTAAAATACAATTTAAACTAACAAAAAATTGTGATTTTTACCAATTTACAATGATATCCTTGGTGAATATTTTCTGATTTTTTATTTGAAGTTATTAATAGGCATCACTAAGTAAAAAGACAATTAAAATAGTGTAACATAATTGAAACGATTCATTTCTCTAAGTACATATACACAATTTGTATACATCAATTACAACAAGTAAATAATTTGTCTAGCATTTCATGTTGAAAAATGATATATCATTTGATAAAAATGATATTATACAATTTTGAGAGCACAAACAAATGATAATAGTAAATAAATAGCAAGGTAGTTAAAGTTAAACCAATAAATCCATATGGCATTTGGGCAAAAAAAAGAAAAACAAATAGTGTTACCAATAACAAACTTCTAGTGCTTGATTTATCTCTCAGTGTATGTCAAACAAATGTTGATTCGTGGGTGTTGCCAACAGATTCAACCGCTGTTATTGTTGTTAGTGCTGCTGTTAATGGGCATGCGTGGGAAATTCTGGGACCAACAATACCCTACAATGTTTTCTTTGTTCCATCGCACGTGGAAGTTTAATTACCCAATTATTGACCCGCAAACACGGCGATTTTCCGCCGAAATGCGTAGGAAAATTTTGAAAAACCAAAGTTTTTTATACTCTTTGCGTACTATTTCAATCGAATTGTGATTTATTTATAATGGCGCGCATTTAAAATTAAATTCGTTTAAAAATAACCGCGACCGATTCGGCAAAATAAGCGGTAAAAGTCGATTTATGACGGGATTCTTTCGCAGCAATGCCAGCTATTAGGGCCAATTTGTAAATGGCAACTAATTTGGCCCACAAATAAACAGCGAATAAAATGAAGGTGGGCCAGGCAAATCAATGGAATTAATCGTGATTGCAAGGCCGTATGTTCTAAGGCAATTACATTGAGTTTATTGTTCGATTAGCTTAAAATTCGTATGGCCTACAAGTACAAGAGTCGAAGTAGAAGAGGAAATCGATTACATATATCGTTGTGCGCTATGCTCGTTACTCTAGTTTTGTCTAAGAACTACATATCACATATTCGGATATTATCTGTACTATATTTAGATGCTAGTAAAAACCTACCCTACTTAACAAGGAAAAACATTTGAGGGGAAAGCATAGTTCCCTAAGAGAGGTACTCCGACTAATAGTTCCGTGTAAAATTGTGTCCTGTAGTGTGGAAGTATCTTGGTTTCTAGCTGATCTTTCTAATCATAAAGCGCTTGAAGCTGAAAAGCATTTTGCATTTACCATTTGATGATGTTTTGCATTGTGTTATCACAAAGTGTTCTCTAAAATACAGCCCTAGACCTGCATGTAGCGATAGTTGGCAGTGGAGCCACTGCGATACTGGCCCTCGCTCAGCTTTACATATTGACCCAGGAAGTTGAGCACGGTGGCACTGCGGCACACATTGTGCAGGCAGCCCAGCAAGTGGGGCGTCAGGATGGTGGTCACTATGTAGGCCAGCTGGGGCATCCTCTCCGTGTGTCCCAGGGGGCACAGCCAGTAGCCCCGACGCACGGCGTCCCTCGTGTGATGGGTGATGAAGGCACAGAGCAGGGAGCCCAGCATCAGGCTGGTCCGGAAGTAGTTCAGGCAGGCGGTGCAGATGTAGAGCATAAGCATCACCACTATGATGCTGGAGCAGTGGAGGAAGGGCCTCTTGGAGAGATTGGTGGCGTCCTGTTGATGGCGTTACAAGATCTCGATTAGTGGGTGCTCCATGGGGCTGCCAACACTCACCTCCAGATACAGCGAGCGCGCCTCCACGAAGTGGTCCAAGTCGATCAGCGATGACACAACGAAGCAGGTGAAAATCAATATCCACCCAAGGAGCTGGGAGGTGCGCTCGTAGAACTGCATGGCGAAGGCGATTCCCGTGAGGGCTCCAATCGCCGCATGGGTGGCGTTATCGGCCAGGGCCTTCAGCAGGGGGTGCTGGGTCAGCTCCACGAAGTTGTCCCCCAGCAGACACGTAATGGTCACCAAGGTTGTCAGCACGATTCGCATGTAGACCATTGTGTGGCAGTGGGGCATCGATTTCTGGGCTCTGTTCTACTTTCCGGCTGGCGAAGCTCTGATTTTCGACCTTTGGACGGAGTTACCTGGTTCCCGGGGTTTCACTTACTCCTCCTGCAGTTGCTCATCCACGTAATCTTCGCTGCGGTGGTGGCCACGTACTGCTGGCATCTTGTTTACCAGGGAATTGTTGTGAAATCCCGGCGACTTACAAGGATAATTATCTTGTAATGGTTTCTGGTGTGACCGCAGTGAGGGTGACCAAACATACCAATTGGCTCAACAATATATACTGAAATGCATGGAACTCTTCAAATATACTGTAAAACCGTTACAAAATACCACGATGATTACTCGATATAGATTACAGTATTCAAACGTGTTCAAAGTAATTAATTGTTTTTAAAATTATTTCTTTAAAATAAAACAAAAAAAAAAATAGACATCCTGGGGTGATTTATTGATCTGTTTCTTAAACTACTTCAAAAGGTAAGACAGTAACAGGGGAACACATAAACAAACACCTAAATAAATTAAACAGACGAACGATTGAAAGTGATTAAATATTTAAAATAGAGGTAGAATATGGTTTATAAAATTAAAAACCAAGCCTTCTTTAATGAGCGATATAACAGTAACTTTGTTTTTAGCAAACAAAATAAATAATTTTTAAGATTGTTGTTTAAAAATAATTTATTCATTTATTTAAAATATTAAAAACAAGCACTGTAAACGTTGAATGGATAGTATTTGCTCTTGATGGCTTGGCGAGCATGAGCCACTCGTTCGCCAGTGTGATACGAATTTAAAATGGCATGATCCTTGGCATCCAGTTTGAAATCAAAGACATTGAAGTTCTCCTCGATTCGCTTGGGATTGGATGACTTGGGCAGGGGAATGGTGCCAAGTTCAATCTGTAATCCAAACATGTCTATGATCAAATACTTTTTGAATAATAACTGCAAGTCCTTACCAAATATCGGATCAGTACTTGTGCAATGGTCTTATTGTATTTGTTGCCAATGGCCTGTACCTTGCCATCGTACATAAAAGTGGGCGTCCTTAGCTCCGCATTGTGTCTGCCTAGCGGACAGAAAGCGGTCACCACAATGTCGTTCTTTTTGCACAGCGAAATCAGTTCCTTCTGGTCCAACGCTGGGTGGACTTCGATCTGAAAATAGGCCAAAGGTCAAGGGTTAACTTAAAACTTGGAAAAGAAGCGAATTTTACGCACCTGATTGTGGATTGGCTTGATCTTGCAATTAGCCAAAAGGCGAGTCAACTGCTCCGAGTTGAAATTGGATACGCCGATGCTTTTGGTAAGTCCTAGTTCGACCAGCTTCTCCATGGCACGATAGGTATCCACGTAATCAATGTCACTGTAGGATAGTTTGCAATAAAATCCAATTCAAAATTAGTGGTTAGATTTAAAAATCCCTTTCAAACGTTGAAAAAGGCTAGTTAGCTATGCCGTCAAATATTTAAAAATAAGGATTACTTTTAGTTCACAATACATATAAATAGGAGATAAATGAGGTTCTTTAACTACTTCGCAGTTTGTTATTTATAGGAGATAAATAGGGTTCTCTAACTACGATGCAGTTTGTTATTTATACCCTACATATATAAATTAAAGATAAGAGTATAGTTAACGTCAGTCGATGATGTTGTATTTCTTGATCAGTTGTAAGTTTTTCATAAAACACTTCACTGAATTCTTAGTTACTCACACGAGTTCCACCTCTCCATTGGCATCTTTGGGAATCATTTCGTTGTCCCCATAATAGGCGTAGGAGAAGGGCCAGTGGATCAGGTAGAGGTCCACATACTCCAGTCCAAGATTCTCCAAGGTCTTGCGGCAGGCGTGCTCCACTCTTTCCGGTTCGTGGAAGTGGCACCAAAGCTGCGGAAATCGAGTTATCATTTTAGGATTTGTTAGTAGTGTGCATTCCGAAACACTCCAATGACCAACTGACCTTGGTGGTAATGAATATGTCCTCTCGCTTGATAACGCCCTCGGCAATCTTCTTCTGCACCGCCGCACCCACTTCACCCTCGTTTCCGTAGAAGTAGGCGGTGTCTATGTGCCGGTAGCCCACATCGATCGCATGGAGAACGGCCCGCTCGCAATCGCCTTCCACCGACTGAAATTACAAGTCATCAGTAACGTTAGCGCTCTCAAATGACGTTAGACGATCGATAAGGGATATTCCCAATCAATATCGGAGACCTGATCTCCCACTTACCGCAAAGGTGCCCAATCCAATGGGTTGGATCTTGGTGCCGTCGTTGTTTTCCAAGTACTCAACTTTGCCGGACATCTTCACAGTTACACAGTTGCTCGATGAATGTCTGTGTTCCTCGTGGGGGCTCTTTTATAAAGTTGTGAAAAAGGTTTCGAGAACCTTTAAAAGACCTTTCAGAATCGAAGATAACACATGGCTGAGCGGTCGAGGAACTTAAAAGTAGTTTAATAGAACAAAAATGTGTATTGAACTCGTGCAAAAACATTGAGCAATTATGGAGAATAAAATAAATAAAATAGATTATAAAATAAATATTAATATTTTTGATCAGCATCAGCTATTGAGTTGATATAGAAACCAATGGAATATCAATATTAAAAGCTAGTGGTTGGAATATGGATCAAAATTGTGTTATTTTATATTATTTCATTTAATGGCTAAAGTTTTCCATGCTTTGAACTTTCTTGTAAAACGACCTATTTCGGACTTTGGAAATGTCCATATTTTAAATTGTTAGAACCAATTCAAATTAAATTTATCGATAGTTTGATAGTTGAGTGGCGCGAAAAGCTTATTTACTTTAGTTCATCGTTTACTATTATTTATTTGCATATCACATGTGGGCCTGGTATTATTTTGTATTGCCTCACATTATTGCAATCTGCTCTCGAATTTTGAGTAAATGAGTTTAAACATGCATTAGTCTATGTGATCTTGATTTAATGGAATTTTCCATGCGAATTCTCGTCAAAAAACTAGTTGGGCGAAAGCTCACTCTCTTTTGGTCATTATCTCTCTTGATTCTCTGAAAGATCAGCAGCAGTGGAGGTATTGATAATATTTTTAGGTTTTTGAATTACTTATAGTGCATATTAAACTCTTATGATCACCTTATCAATTTGTAAAAATAATACAGTGCTTAAACCGAAATCCAATACCCAGTATGATATTGTTGGCAATGCCTTTGAACATCAATAGTAAACAGTTAAAGTGATAAGAATAAAATGCGCGATTGTAGGTCCCAAACAAGTTGGAAAGGTAAAACACAATCGGTCAATAGAATACACATACATATTAAAACACTTCTTAAAGAAATTAAGTTTTATATATATCCTCTTTAAAATATGTAAATATATAAAATATTTATTTATTAAACCAAACATAAATTTACTATTATGTTTTTAAAGTATTGTTTTTTTCATAATATCAAAACCAACAATCACTGATATATTAAATTCTCCCCTCCATTTTTCAGCTCAAAACTCGATGTTAAAAGGATAGTTCTTGCTCTTAATGGCATGGGTCATGGGGATGAGACGCTCGCCAGTGTTATACGAATCCAGCACAGCATGATCCTCAGCATCCAGTTTGAAATCGAAGATCTTGAAGTTCTCCTCGATCCGCTTGGGATTGGATGACTTGGGCAGGGGAATGGTTCCAATCTCAATCTGTGTGGACAAACAAGATCCAGTTCAAGGATGTCTTTACAGGTAAGTGTTACGTCTAAATCCTTACCAGATAGCGGAGCACCACTTGGGCGGTGGACTTCTTGTACTTGTCTCCGATGGCCTGCACCTTGGCATCGTAAATATAGTTGGGGGTCTTTTCCGCGGGATTGGGTCTACCAAGCGGACAATAAGCGGTCACCACAATGTCATTCTTTTTGCACAGGGCAATCAGTTTTTTCTGATTTAAAGCGGGATGACATTCGATCTGAAATAGGTTCAATTAGCAATTTAAAACTTAGGGAACAAACCGCAAATGTCGCACCTGATTGTGGATTGGCTTGATCTTGCAGTTGGCCAACAGGCGCGCCAACTGCTCCGAGTTGAAATTGGATACACCGATGCTTTTGGTGAGGCCCAGCTCCACCAGCTTCTCCATGGCACGCCAGGTGTCCAGGTAATCGATGTCGCTGTAATTGAAATCAAACCATTTTGTTTTTCCTTATGGATGAGCATTCAGTTACTCACTTGAGTTCAACCTCTCCCTTGGCATCGGTGGGCATCATTTCCTGGTCGCCCCTGTAGACATAGGAGTAGGGCCAGTGCATCAGGTAGAGGTCCACGTAGTCCAGCCCAAAGTTCTGGAGGGTCTTCCGGCAGGCGTACTCCACCCTCTCCGGCTCATGGAAGTGGCACCACAGCTGAGGGAGTATGTGCCCATTTGGGGATTAGTTAGCGATGTGCATTCCAAGCCCAACTAGCCAACTGACCTTGGTGGTGATGTGGATGTCCTCCCGTTTGATGACGCCCTCGGCTATTTTCCTTTGCACCGCGGCACCCACTTCGTTTTCATTCTCGTAGAAGTAGGCGGTGTCGATGTGCCGGTAGCCCACATCAATCGCATGGAGCGTGGCCCGCTCGCAATCGCCACCCAACGACTGAAAAGGGCAAATCATTTTAGTATTATTATTATATTGCACCGATCCATATCGCAGACGTGATCTCCAAGACATAGACCCACCGTATAGGTACCCAATCCAATGGTCTGGATTTGGGTGCCGTTGTTGTGCTTCACGTACGGAATTTTGCTAGACATCTTCGCGGTTCCACAGTTGCTTGCTGACTGACCAAAGCGATTCTCTCGTTCAGGTTCTCTCACAAAGTTATGGAAAAAGCTCCAAAAAGTTTCAAACGCCACCTTAAAATGGCGAGTAAACATTATCAGGCCGGAGGAGACTTTTAGTTATTTCATATTAGTCAAAAACGTTCAAATGAAACGTTCAATGCAATTTCGATGTTTCCGGTGACTTGTCAACAATTTTACTTCTGCAGTACATTGCTTTACTAAATTTAATCCGAATTCAGAGGGGCATACCTCTTAAGACTTGTGGTTTGATTCTCTAAGAATCTGTATTCAAATTTTTCATTTTAACGTTGATTCAAATTTTGACCCATTCCGATGTCTTGTAATAGAGTGACTCAAATTTGGAGAGTCCATCATTAAAATGACGGAAAATCGACCCAAAAAAAACAAAAAAACTGAAAACACAGATTTTTAGAGAATTAAACCACAATCATTTTGAGGTATGCCACTTTGAAATCGAATGTCTATACGAAAAGTTATGGACTTAGAATTGCAGGTTTTGGGCCACTTTTCTACAAAGCCATTTTTTGAAAATTTGGAAAGGGGTAACATCATTAAAATGACGGAAAATCGACAAAAAAAAAAAAAACTGAAAACACAGATTTTTAGAGAATTAAAACACAATCATTTTGAGGTATGCCACTTTGAAATTGGATGTCTGTAAGAAAAGTTATGATCTCAGAAGTGCAGGTTTTGGGCCACTTTTCTACAAAGCCATTTTTTGAAAATTTGGAAAGGGGTAACATCATTAAAATTACGGAAAATCGACCCAAAAAAAAAAAAAAAACTGAAAACAGATTTTTAGAGAATTAATCCACAATCATTTTGAGGTATGAAATCGAATTGAAATCGAATGTCTATAAGAAAAGTAATGGGCTTAGAAGTGCAGGTTTTGGGCCACTTTTCTGCAAAGCCATTTTTCGAAAATTTGGAAAGGGGTAACATCATTAAAATGACGGAAAATCGACCCAAAAAAAAAAAAAAAAAACTGAAAACACAGATTTTTAGAGAATTAAAACACAATCATTTTGAGGTATGCCACATTTAAATCGGATGTCTATAAGAAAAGTTATGAGCCTAGAAGTGCAGGTCTTAGACCACTTTTCGGCATAGCCATTTTTCCAAAATTTTTACTCATTTAATTTTTTAAACAATTTTTTGTTTCTGTTTAATCGTTTTCAATGAGTCTGAAAACATTGCCTTTAAAGAGGTTTTTTATATCCAGATAATTATTTGTATTCATTTATAAATGTATTGTAGGTAATAGAAAACCTAACTGGGCTCTTTACAAACCAGTTCTTCTCGTCAAATTTAATATTTAATTTATTCTGCTTAAATCTTTATGGACTTAAGATTAATATTTTATATACATCTATTGGTTGTTTACTTTTAGTTTGAAAAATTGTCAGCGAGGAACTATTAGCAGATGGGAAAGGATCCGACGGAAAGTCCACACGAGCGTATCAATACAAGGTAACGAATCAAATATAAGCTAAAAGCTAACAGCACAATAAGAGATATGGTAGTTGCTGAAATTCCTTGTTTTAATATTTAAACAAATAAACTCAATAAAAGGTATTAAATAAGAAAATTTCGTTAAAATTAAATTGAAAATAAACTGTAGCATACTTTTGGGCAGTAAAAGATTTTTACTGCATACTTTTGGGGGGTTCCACAGTTTGAAAAGCACTGGGAAATGTAGTTGTTGTTCTTAGTTGTTGTTGTTGTAAGTTGTTGTTGTTGTAAGTTGTTGTTGTTGTAAGTTGTTGTTGTTGTAAGTTGTTGTTGTTGTAAGTTGTTGTTGTTGTAAGTTGTTGTTGTTGTAAGTTGTTGTTGTTGTAAGTTGTTGTTGTTGTAAGTTGTTGTTGTTGTAAGTTGTTGTTGTTGTAAGTTGTTGTTGTTGTAAGTTGTTGTTGTTGTAAGTTGTTATTGTTTTTGTACTTGTGAGCCCAAAAGTATGCTATGCCGTAAGAGTATACGCAGCACAAAAGTATGCTATGCCGTAATAGTATACGCAGCACAAAAGTATGCTACAAAATATTTATTCACCCCAAAAATTATATACCTACTAGTTTCACCCCAAATTAAAGCAATCAAAATTAAATAAATTAAATCAAGCCATGCAAAATCCCATTTATTGTTATTTAAATTTTGTACAATAGGAGCAAAACAATATTAAATATCATGAACGCCAATTGTCGCAATTCGTCTGGGCCGGAAAATTAGTTTGTCACCCAAGAGCAACCAAGTCTAGTTTTTGAAGGAGTTCATCTTGAAGTTAAACCTAGATTAAAATTAGAAAATGAAAAGTTGTATATTAGCTGTAAATATAAATAAATTATATTCAATAATAATTGTTAATAAAATAATGAATATTTAAATCAAACAATATTATTCGATGGATTTGTTTTGACGATGATTTGCTACCCTGTTCAATAATAATTTAGTAACTTTTTTAAATTTGGTGTTACCTATAACACCAGTAAAAGCTTCGCCTGGGGCTAGTTTGCTTCAGCGCATGTGTGGAGCTTTTTGGGAGGACGGAACACTTTGGAAGCGGCACAACATCTGTTATTCAAAGAGGCACAATGTAGCAGACCTTGCCACCGTCGCACAAGTGAAGGAATTTTCGTAGCGCCTGGTGAGTTCCCACCCGTGGAATTTGTGTGTGCTCCAAACCGAAAAAACACTGTCTGGGAATTAAAAAGCGTTATTTTACTCATTAATAGAGATGAAATAAACTTGAAAAACCTTAATTCTGTTGAAAGTTCGAATGGTGTACCTGTAAAGGATTTAAGTGAAAGTGCAGTGGAATCTATAAATACTCCTTGGGTAACTAGTCTAAGTCACGGCAGAGTAGACCATCTATTTCCCACCTCCGGTGCCCAAGTGCATGTCGTGCTGCTCATTGGTTTCGCCTTGGTCTGGTCTAGTTTTTGGCCTTAACATGGAGGTGTAGGAGGTGACTGCAAGCGAGCCTTGGTTAGCTGAAAATTATTGTATTGTAATTTCAGTATACGCAGCACGCCGACCACTGCGCATGCCACAAGCCCCGGACCCGAACTCGTACCCCCGCCAATCGAGGCCAGCAGAAAAGCTGGGGGAGAAAAAAGTAGGAGGAACAGCAGGTGACACCTGCAGCAACACCTGCCCAAAGGAACCGAAGGAACTCGAAATCTGGAAGCCAAACCAAGGTAGTCAAGAAACGTTAAGAGCTCAAGGAATCCAAGGAATCTAGAAACGATAGAAATTCAAGAATTCCACGGATCGACAGAAACCCAAAGATCACAGGAAACCAAAGGAATTCAGCGAACTGTTATCCTTAGAACTCAGAACTCAAAATAATCCCTGAACTTATAATTACAAGGAATTCAAGAAACCTTAGGAATTTGAAGAATTAATAAATAAATACAACAGGAACCCGAAAAACGATCCCAAGGAACCCGAGAAGCTTAAGGAGCGTAAAAAACTTAAGAAATCCAGAAGCCCAACGGACCAAAGGGACTTAAGAAATCCAATAGGCTCCACCAAATTCACAACCAAGGAAACGAGGATTACCAGAAATGGCGGCCCTGGTCCACGGCTGCAGTAGTCCGCGTCAGCGATCCTGCAACGGCAGCAGCTCCCCGGGAGGCCACCATGGGGGCACCGCCTCCTCCGCGTACCCCTTGAATCCCAAATACTCGAGGGCCACCAGCCAGACCCTGTATGCCACCACTCAGCAGTTTTTCGCCACCGGAATGCCGGACTCGAGCTACAACTACGGCATGTCCTCCTCCGCCGGCCAGCGACCGCTCTCCGCCTCCGCTCTGCCGGAAACGGCGGCGGCCAGCCGGAACTATTGGGGTCACCACAACGCCTTCTATCACACGGGCGGCAGGCATTACAGCAAGAGGAAATCCGCCGTGGAATTGCTGGCGGAGTCCAAGCCATTCTATATCAAATCCGAGGCGGTTTTCGAGCGACTGCAGCAGGCCAGCTACCGAAACGGCGCTGGTAACAATGGAGTAGCCGGCGGGAAGAGAGGTCGCCGGCCGGAGGAAACCCATGGCCACCATTACGAACTGGAGGACAGGCGCTACATGAGTCTCAATCTCACTCGCCAGCAGCAGGTGCAGCAGCAGGTGCAACAGCAGCAACAGCAACATCAGCAACAGCAGCAGCAGCAGCAGTACCTGCACAACCACCATCCCCACCCACACCAGCACCACCCGCACTCCCGCCACGCCCAAGGCCAAGGTCAAGGTCGCCCAGGGGGTGGAGCCGGCGGAGGGGGCGGCGGCGGCGGAGCAGCCGTTAATAACAACCTCCTGCAGCACAAGCTGCGCATGCTGCTCGGCTCGGAGGCTGGAAAGGAGCGAAACGGGAGCGGAACCTTGAGGCGCCACGAGATGAACGACGGCAGCGCGGAGCTCCTGCCCACGGACTACGGTGAGGAGGAGGTCGGGGGGCAGGCGGGCGCACTGCGCATTCCCCCGCCCCTCTACATGCCCGCCCACAGCTTCGGGCGGGACGGCGAAGAGCCACTGGTGCTCACCGAGAACTACCGACCCATCAGTCCGCCCGCTGAATATGCGGCTAAGTCGGGACAGGCACACAACGATCGCTACAGGTGAGTCATACTAAAGGGGTCAGGTTATTTCGAACGAAAATATATGCATAGGTTTCTCAGAAATCTCTTTAAAGTACAAACGAATCCAACAATCTATTTCCACAATTTTTTTTTAGGAATCTTACTTAAATATTAGTAAAATGTTACGGATTAAAATAAAAAGGAAAACAATAACCAAAATCAAGAATTATAATAGTATAGAACAGAATGTCTTACCTTTTTGTGGTCATAACAAAATCCAATCGATTAGCAATTAAAACTTTACGCTTTCACAAAAGTTCGTGATACTAATTCTTAATTGATGAAAACTGCCCTTAAAATTTTATTTTCCAGAAAGTGGTGAGAATCCTTATTTTACTTTGTGAACTGCAAAAAACCAAAGAAAGATAGAAAATGGAATATTTTAGTCAAAGTTTTTATTGAATTTTATCTTCGGGATCTTTAAATGTTTGTATGATTCGATTGAGCATAGGTAGTTATATAAATCAAGGGATATTTATAAATCTGGATTTCGATTTGTTATTAATTATTCTTTTTGTGACACAAATTAGCATACAAGTTAATAAATGTATTACCAATTCTTGCAGATACAACTACCAGCGATCGTACTCACACTCGCACGAGGTGCCCAACTCTGGTGAGGATCGCAGTGCTCCGTATCCCGCCGGCGACTACAACATCAATAGCCACAAGTCGCTGCCGGATCTGCACACCCAGATCAGTCGTCATTCGCCGCACAGCGAGATCCTGAGCTGCTGCAGCCGGGGCAATCGGTCGATAAAGTCAGCAGGGGAGTCCTCAATCAACCGGGACTCCGGCGGAAGCTCCGGCCACTACACCCATCGCAGTGAGCCCTGCTACAAGAGGGAGCGGCAGCGGGACGGGGCCGGAAGTGCGGCTCCTGCGAGCGGCACCATTAAGAACTGCTGCACCCTGGTGGCGGCCACTCGCAGAGACAGTGGCTCCTCCACCCAGCACAGTGCCAACTCCTATTGCGGCTACGTCACACCGGCTGGGGAATATTCCGGAATGAGTGGACGCAACACGGAGTGCTTGGACTGCCGCTGCAAACAGGACACGGGGGGAATGGGATCCGACTATCTGCTCAACTTCACGCCCACGCCGGAGGTGCCGGAGGCCTTTCAGGACGACTACACCCCGACTCCGCCATCGCCGCGGCTCAAGACTCAGACTCCACGCTACTCGAGCTCCTCCAGTCAGCAGCTGCACACCAGTTCGCAGGGGTACACGAGCATCAATCACTCGCAGAGCTCGCTGGTCCAGAGCCCAGGATCGGCGCCATCCGTGGACGACATCAGTCCACCGCCCATTCAGTTCAAAAGGCAGCGGTGCATTCGCTTCAAGAACAGAAACCGACTGCCAGTTCAAGGAGGTAACCTCAACGTTCAATTACTATTTCATCCTACAGCCATCTTTCATTTAAAATATCTGATACTGTTTCTTTGAAGTTTTTAAGTCTGCTTTTCAGTATATGTGATTCTGATAGTGCACTGATTTATTTATTTATAGTTTGTGAATTTTAGTTAAAGATTTCTAGGAATTTTTGGATGTTTTCTTGCATCATATTACCTTTTTTATATAAACAAATTTGTTAAAGCTTCAGGAAATAATATAAATTAATGACAAAGATCGTTAATAATCTGTAATAAATATTTTCCCCCTATGCAGAAATGGGAGGACCACCAGGATCAGGAGGCGGCCTGGTAGCCGCAGGATCTGGAGGAATGGCCACGGCAGGCGGGGTCCTGGCCGCCTACAAGCAGCACCGAGGCAGTGTGGACCACGAGAACGTGTTCTTCCCCAAAGGTTTCTCCTCGGAGGTCTACCACAGCAGCTTGGACATGGAGAGGGAGGCCCTGAATGCCAGCATTTCGGAGCTGGAGAAGTTCTTCGATCGCCTGGGCTTGAATGACGAGGCCTTCCACGAGATCTACAGTCAGCCGAGGAGACATCACTCCGAAACGGACGATGCCTCGGATGACTCGAGCACCGTGTTCTTCTCGGACGTGAGCACCGTGGACTCGATGAGATTGCCGGACAGCACGGAAACCCAGCCGCAGGCCACGCAGGCATATAGACCCTCGGAACCACCGTCGATTGTGGAAAGGAATGCCAGGATCATCAAGTGGCTGTGCAACTGCAAGAAGATGCAGTGCACCTGAGGATCGCCTGGGCAGTGCAGCTGCGGATTCGGATTTGGATTCGGACGCTAGCGCTTCACTGATTTATTAATTCTACTCGACCACCCCGATAATAATAATACACGACTGCGGATTAATGCAACAAAACACTGATCACCGATGGGTGGGTGGATTTCGAAGGTTGTAAACTTGACATAAGGACGAAAAGTAGTCTAGGGTAATACAAATGGATTTTATAAAATCAAATTTGAGCTTTCAAAGTAAAGAAATCTTTCAAAGAAAGCCAGCTTATTTGGCTAAACAAAATAAACATATTACATATCTTAAAAAAATGAAGTGAAGTAGGTATAAACTACTTTAACTCTAAAAATACTTTTAAAAATATTAAATGCACAAAAAATGATGTACTCTAATTTAAAATAACAAAAGAAAAGTACTTAAAGCTTATAATGTATATGTCCTGCTTTTTTAAATGTTGCCCTTTTATTGCCTAACAAGTAAAACTAACTAGTTTCTTGAAAAACCAACACAAACGCATAGTTGAGCCCAAATTTCAAACTTTTTTTTGCATAAAATAGGCACTTGATTTCACAAAATTGATATGGGTCTCAAACATCATATATTTTGATAAAGTATATAATAAACAAATAATACAAATTCAAAGTATATTTTTCAAACTACGGAAAAAAGTAAAAAAAAGAAAATCTTCCGACTATATTAAATAAAACCCATAACAAAATAAAAAATAACTTTTATAAAGTTGAATTAAAATATTTAAAGGCTCAAAAATTGAATAAATTGTTAAAACCCCGAAGTCAATGATTAAGATAATCAAAATGTCTCACCATTATCTTATTTAAACTCAAAATTTTTGTTGGTTTTTAAATTGATAAAAATATTATACTTCATTACTTTCCCAGACACGATTTTCAAAACATGCCCAGATTACTTTTCGTCCATATGCTGTTTTCGCCAATAGAATCACCGACCTGTCCACGAAAACCCACAAAAACACTGCTCAAAAAGTCAAGTTAAGTCAGTTGAAAGTTTCAAACATGATTAGCATGGTTAGCCTCACCTACCTGTACAATGGAACTAGGAATTACGAGCAGGAGTCTCGATTATGGATGTGCGTTTTTCCTCTTTTGATGCGCTCGTTCTCGCGCAGCTCAATTACACCATTGATATTTGTATTGCCAACGGTAATGATATTGTCTTACGTATACTAATCAACTAGCAAGCGATCGTTCATATTACTCTTATACACAGCGGTATTATTAGATGAATTATTGTACAATTAGTTCTTATAACTTATATATATATATATACATAAACGACTAGTTGCCAAACCGAAAACAGAAACAGTACACGAAACCACTAAAAATCACAAATTGAAATTGAAATGAACCTACCTATTTATGTAATTGTACATGGTTTGCATGGCGAATAAATAAAATATTTATGATTATCAAATTCATTGAAATATATATAGAAAATAAATGGGAATAAATAGTTGTTTTATTTTAGAAAACAAAAAATTTATATAAAATGAAAAGAAATGCCTAAAGAATTTCTAAAACTTGTCAGCTAGTATTTAATAACTATAGTTTTAAATTTGGCGGCATTCGAAACGGAAAACGGGGCTACCGGACGTTAAGAACAGGGTGGCCAGATCAGGTTAAGTTCATGTGAACCGATTCGGCCGTGCCGCAATTTTCAAAAGTAAATTATTACGTTTTCCGTAAATGAATGTCACTAAAATTTCTTTTATGAACACTTTTAATATAAAAGTGTACCAAAAGAACACAGACGAATGTACAAAATAGAATGTTTACTGCATTTTTTTCTGAGTTTTAAAAACAAAAAGATGGTCAAATATAGAGATATAGAGATGCATTAAATAACCTAAATTAAAATAGTTCATATTTTTGTAAACTGATAATACGAATCTGACATTATTTTCATTGTTTTACTCAACCTTTATTTTATGAAACCTTTATGAAAAAAATGAATACAGGTTAACTCATGGCGACTGTTGCATGACCCACATAACAAAAAACACCTGTGGGACTTGGGAGTATAAATAAAAGGTTTTTCAGGCAGTGAGTCGGTATCGGTGGATGACTTTTATCTGACTAAGTCTGAAATGAGGAAACTAGTCGTATCAATAGCTGCGCTGGGATTAATATCCCTGGCTTTTGGTCATGATGTAAGTTGAGATTTCTTAATACTAATCTCTGCTGATCCTGTAAAATCATGTTAAATAGAATCCTTGGCCATCACAGCCCCCAACTCCCATAAAGAAGGTTGCCGTGGCTGTTCCGGTGCCTGTTCCTGTTCCAGTTCCAGTTCCTGTTTATCCCAAAGAAGGAGGTGGAGGAGGTGGTGGCGGCGGAGGAGGCGGCAGTGGTGGTGGTGGCGGCGGCGGAGGAGGATCCGGCGGTGGTGGAGGTGGTGGCGGCGGTGGAGGCCCCGAAGGAGGCACTTGCCCGCGACCTTCTCCCGAAGCCTTACGGGTAAGTACAGATTAGGTGAATCCCATGGTCGGCTTTAAAACCAAACTGCGATCTCTCCATTTTGTCCACGTTGCAGTGCCTCCGGGAATGGGCCTGTCAGTACGTCATCCGCCTGGATCTGCGGTAAGTGCCAGCTTCCGGTTCGGTTCGCTTGGATATCCCCGCTCATATATATTTGGTCTTTCCCTCGCAATTGCTTTGACAGCTGCCTGCTCAACTTAAATGGCAACCCATTGCTGGGCAATCTCATTTCCATACCGGGCATCACCGGAGGCGGAAGCAGCAGCGGCGGCGGTGGCATCTTGGGCGGTCTGCTGGGCAAATAGAGTCGCTTCCCTGCGAAAATGTGCTCACATTAAACCCAATAAGGATGCCCTCGACACTGGCAAAAAATTAGCTTTCTATCTATTTTTAAAGGTTCAAAGCTTAAAACTAACCGTGAAACCTCAGATCATATCCAAATTGTTTAAACAAAATTATGGAAAATGAGTAAGATTTGCAAAATAACTACCTTTTTAAATTAAAATAGACTTGGTCTTACAAATGTACAAAAACTTATTATGATAACTATAACAAACCACTCGATAAATGCTTGTTTAACGTTTTCTTGAAGTTTAAATTAAAATACAAAATAACAAAATAAAAATTTTTAAGATACAACAAATATAAACCTTGAGCCAGTTTAAAAGGGGAAAAAAGCCAAGCCGTAGATCCTGCGGACATGGGATTCCAGAGCTCCGCGCCTGCAAACGGGGCATTGATTCGAGTTCCGGAGGGCTCTGTGGATGCAGTTGCGCCCAAAGAGGTGGCCACATCGCAGCGACACCAGGCAGTGGCCGCCACCCGCGTCACAGTACATTAGGCAGATGCAGCACTGGTTCACCTCGTACATCCTGTCCAGCTCCTGGTTGATTTGGACCACCTGCCTGCGAAGATCGGCAATTTGGTCCACCTGCAGCAGGGAATCCCGGGCAGCTAAGCGCTTCCTGGCCACAAAGTTGGCCACCTCTTGCTGCAAACTCAGCAGAATGCCACTTCGTTGGCCGTGGAAATAAATTATCTGCGCCTTCTTCAACTCCAGCTGGCCCCAATGCTCCTCCAGACTGGAGGCGCTGAGCTGCTCCATATGTATCCGCTCGAGATCCACCTCCTGCCTTTGCAACTCCGTCAAGAGATCAATAATTATTTTCAACTGTGATATTCGCAGCGACAGGTGCTCCGCTTGGCGTGACATTTTAGGGACAGTGAACTTTGGATAAATAAATTATCTAGGCTTACAGAAATGTGTACTAGAACTACTATAAAAAATTTTAAGGAAGAATTTAGTGCTTGCCCCAGAAACCTCAATCATCGGCAATTGAAAAATTATATATATTATATAAATGAAAAATAATATCAATTAATAAGAATAATCTGTGGTAAACCCTAAGTAATTGCTCAAAACCAAAGAGGCCAGTTCGAGATACTATTGTAATAAAACAATCCAATCTAGAAATGAAATATGCATACAATAATTGAAGAAAATGCCTAAATGTAGAATTCCAGATGGGAATCTTTTCCGCAGTGCACAGTGACATTGGATTGGACGGAATTGAAGTGGGAGGCGGCGTGGGGCACTCGGATTGGAATTGCTGCTCCTGTTAATGGGCAGCCAATAATCCTTAGTATTGGCATCGGTGTAAAAATGGCGATTATCGCCGGCATAACCGTTAACTTGATTATTGTTTAAGTGCCACGCAATTAAGCCGAGCCATTCTCAAATTAGCCAGGATGGTGCGGTGCTCGTTCCTCGTTCTTATTTTCATCTCCTACTATTGCAATTGAACCTGCGGCCTTTAATTGAGGAGAAGAGGTGGCCTTAAAGTATTGGCAGCTTGCGAAAAGCTTGTGCTCGAATAAAGTCGCAAATCATTGAAGCATATGCAATTATTCATTTTGAGGTTGAATGCGCTCGAACGCACACAATGATACAAGAACACGGACCTGGCAGCCTGTGTGCAAATATACGTATATACGTATATTCGAGTGCGAGAACGCAAGGAAATTTAAATTCAGGAGCTGTTTCTTAAACGAGGATGCTCCATAAAATTCGCTTTTACTACGCATAGTTTTCGTCGCTTTTTTGTGGCATTTCTTTTGGGGTTTTTCCCGATGCTTTTCTTTTCTTTTCCTTTCTCTGCTTTTATTTTTTTTTCGGTTCTACTACGAGTATTTTTGCCTTCCTTTTAATGCCCTCTTGATTGCAGCCCGATTTCGTCTGCAGATAAAATCTACCCACACTCCGCGAAAGGACACTCCATCTTGGTTAATCCATCACTTGCATCCTACAGCTCAATAGTCTGGGACCTTCCAATTTCCTTTGCCCTTTTATAATTAACTTTATGTGTATGTATTTAGTTTTATTGCTCGTTAGACAGCCGGGCTGAGAGACAATGAAACAACAATTTGTGATCGCCCCAATCACCCAGGACTCCCCCGAAAATCCCCATCCCCATTCCCCTTCCCGATTCCCCAAAAGGCGAACCGCAACGTGTGTAGGCCATTTTGGAGTTTTACTCGGCACAGCCGTTGCCATTATATTAATTACAAACGTTTGCGCCACAGCTTCCTGGCCAGGAGGTCCTGTCTGTCCCGCAGTCCGCCACTCCCTAATGGGCACAACAAGTAAATCACACACAAAGCTCTAAGGCGATTTCTGGCGACGAGCATCGAGGAGACGAAACCAAAAACCCAAAAGGACCGAATAATTTCCATTGAATGTGTGAAACTTGCGCAGCTCTTAACGAGCTCGGGTCCCCAGAAATTCATTTAAACGCGCCAGACAGGACACTCGAATCCCGCCTGGTGACGAACTTTGGAATGGGATCGTTTAAAGCGACTTAACGTGGCTGGTAATTTTGTAAATTTTACAAATAATTAAGTTACAAAGGACTTTTAAGTTTATTTTATGAGGGGTCAGGACCTTCAGCGTTTAGTTTTGTATTCTAATAGACAGAATTATTCAATTCCGTTTTAGAACTATGTTAAACGCAGGTTAAAACAAGCTGATTATAGTTTATGAAAAATCTGTATTGTTTAAATATACTTAATATACTCAAAATTAAAAACAAATTACCCAAAATTGGGAAACATCGTAATAAAACAACTTTGTTCAAGCAAATATTAAAATCGTATTTGCTTACGCTTTCCACTGAATGAATAATTACGACCATTCATGTTTTTTTCATATATATATTTGTTTTGTATTTAAATAATTTAAATTTGCTTGCTGATTTCGTCTCCAGACCTCAGGGCTTTTCTTTGATGGACTTAACTTGTAAACTAAAGAAGTTTGAGCAGCAATTTAGTATTTATTCAATTGTATTATGCCGTCTTCTCCTTGATGGCCTCAAAGCTGGCTATATCCGAAACCGTTGAGCTGGATGGAGCAGGGGAATCGGATGAGGTCGGTGGGTTTGTAGTTTCTGCCTGGGGAGTTTCGGTGACCAGACTCTGCGGCAGGAAAAGGAGTTCAAAGCTGTTCTTAAATCGAGGGGAAATTTAAGGGGTTACCACTAGTAACTTTTTTTTGAAGCCTATCTATCTGAACAAAAATATGTATCTTCTTTTTATTCACTAAAAGTAAATTTTTAAATAAGCATCTCTTAAAATTGAATTTCTTTTAATTGTTGGTTAAACCATAACAGAAATTCCAAAACTTATTTTATTGAAATTGTTCTGTCTTTTTTTTAAGGATAAACAAAAGTGTAGGGTTTTGTTTATTTGTAGTTTTAATTTTGATAAACACTATACACAGTAAAAAATTTATTTTTCACTTTTACTTTTACTAGTTACCTAAATTCTACGATTAAGCAAAAGGCAATAGATATCTATTTGTTCGTTCACTTTGCAGAAATATTGATCACAGCAATAAAAGAGCATTCGAACATATTATTATAAATTAATTAGGTGAGGGTTATGACTTTAAGCTGGCAAAGTGTCTATTTCTCTGATCTGCCAGTAGTGGTATCCCCTTAAAAGGATCTATCCCTGGACTTACCTTGGACTCTCCCTCCTTGAAGGCCTCGGCCAGTCCGGGATGGATTTCACTCAGAGGCTCATCGCCATGTCGTATATAGACGGGCACATGACCTTTGCGGGGCTGCAACTCCTGGTAGGAAGGTGAGGGTGCCGCTGGGGAAATTTTAATTACAAGCCATTAAATTATGTAGCCGTTGCTGCTTTGCTGTTTCTGTTTCTGTTTGCCTTATCAGCTGGTTAATCTCCGCCGCCTTGGCTATGACATACACCCGGAAGCCTTGAATCACGACAAAGCGTAATTATGACTAACGAGCCGAGAGGCACAGCCCCAAGATCCCCTGCAAACTACGCCCCTGATTTGCGGTTCTGGCGCTCCAAAACCTGTTTCGGCTCTCATCCCAAAACAATAGCCGTGAATATTTCAAGCAGATGTGCCATAAATATGAAGTATTTTATGCTCGTAAAAAATAAATCATTTTGTTAGCCAGCGTACTTACCCTCTGTGGATGTGAAAATTCCGAGAACTAGGAATACTAGAACACCCAGCAAGATGCCATTTCCCAGGCAGGCAGATGTCTTGACCATGGCTGCTGTATTGTGAATTTCTCGCGATTTTATTTCGGACTGCGATCGACGCGACTCCAGATTCGAGACTCAGGCTAGATCGGCCAGCAGCCAAGCTTAAATCCGACTCGACTCCAGCTAACTTTGGCCGGGCCAATTACTCATGGGCAGCAGCATCACAACACGGAGAAAAACGTGGGAGTAATATTGGTTTCACATAAATAATTTACCGGCTTTACATTTTTTAAACTTTTAAACAGCACGAAATAAATAAATTGTTAGTTTAGTCCCGACCAAATAAATTCACTTACTTTTTCACTTATTTTAAATAGATATTCTTTTTTTCGAAATTCTCGTAAAAATAGAATCTTTTTCAGGGACACTCTAATAGCGTTTTTTTCACAGTGCATCGGCAACAGCAGCGGAATTGTTAGTTTAGACCTAACTAAATAATATTACTTACATTTTCACTTATTTATAGATAATAGATAATCTTTTTTTTTCGAATTTCGAATAAACATATAATCTTTTTCAGGGACACTTTACAGAGTCTAATAGCGTTTTTTCGCAGTGCATCGGCAACAGCAGCGGAATGATGATGGCTCCGATGATGGCTGGTAATGAAGCTGTCGGCGAACTTTTCGAGCTGTGGTGGGGCATATAAAAAGCTTTGGGTTCTGCGGCAATTGGCTGAGTTGCGGGGGGGGGGGGGTTGCAAAGCGGAGAGGGGGATGGGTTCTAACCTAGCATTTAGTGGCCTGCGGCGTTCCACTCGCACCACTCCACCACACTCTGTATTCTGTTCCTCAAATTCAAACGTTATTCTTTTTTTTTCCACTTGTTTCAAATTAATTGGGTCGTTAGAGAAGCCATTTGCGCGAAGAGGTTCGTCTTTTTTGCGCCCTGCTGCCTGTTATTTTTTGCTCCGCACTCTCCTTTGAATTGTTTGCCCACTTTCGTTTTTGTTGAGTATTCAAATCGAGAAATTGCTGACATCTGTGGATGAAATGCCGCGGGTGGATGGATGGATGGCAGGGGATGGATTGGTTGTACTGCACCGGCAGGAAATCGGAATACAAGTACTCGTATCTGCCTGCGATTACGCCATTGAATGCAAGTGAAGGACTGGGAGGGATGACAGGAGGAAGGCCTCCTGAACTTGTGTGTGTTTGCCCGCCTCGATTGTTCCGCGTCCTTGATACAATTCCATTTTGATTTCGGCATTTCACATCGTGAGCCAACCGCCCGCCCGCCCAGATTGTGAATCAAATTGTTGGGCAAATATTCAACAGAGTAAATATGTTTATGCCGAATCAAGCAATTTCATTTAAACACACTCCACATGACGAGGCACTTGTCTGCACTGTGTGTGCCTGGCCCTCCAGATTCCGATATAATGCTCAAGTATGGCATTGTACTATATTGTGCTATACTATATGTGCACCCAGCTGCTTGTTGACTTATGTAGCTCCCTGTGCAGCTCCCCGAGTTGAATTAAATCAGCGATGCATAGTTTATTAGTTACGGAGTAATTCGCCCTTAAAACAAAGGGAACTAGAACCCCCTGCCCCTAACTTTCAGTGTAAAATGTTTGTGGATACCCAGGCTTAAGGGCACTTTAAGTGCATGTTTTCTATGGTTCGTGTAACTTAGGTTCCGTTGAGTCGAATGATTTCTAAATGAGAAAAGCTTAAATTTAACAATATATGCATCCAAAGGGCTTACGAAATATATTTATACAAAGCTTAACCAAAATACCTGGTGTATACTTTTAAACACAATTTATATCTAGAGATTTTAATCGATTTTATGCATATGTTAAAATATTTTCGTTCATTAAAGGAATATAATGTTTTCTATGATTAATAACTTAAATAAAACTAACATAATCCAATAGATAAATAATCATCACTTAAAATGTATCTTCACGTTATACAATAAAACTAGAAAGTAGAGAATTTAAACCATACTTACTTTAAAACCTTTTACCAATAAATAACTATCTTTCAACGCATTTTGTTTTCTCTGTCGTTTATTTAATATTTTTATGTATTTTATGTATGTTTATTTCCGAGGCTCTAAAAATAGTTACATGGCTGCACTAGTGTGTGGGTGTAGCTTTAATAACTATGATTCTAATTTATATTCCTTCGTCTCATCGTGTCATACTTTTTGGATCTTGTTATGGTTGTTTTGTTTTGCTTGGTTTTGCTTTGTTTGTTTCATTGAGGGGGAGTTTACTCGTGTTGCGTTAATTCTTTGTTTGTTGTCACGTATTTCCATATTGGATTCTTCTGTGATTCTCCTGCTTTCGATTCGATTCGTTTCGATTCTATTTGCTTCGCTTTCTCCGGTTACTCGCGTGTATATTAATTTAAGAATGGATTAGCTTTCTTTGGGATATAATAGGTTATATGCTCTACATATTTTGCCATAAAATCGCATGGTTATGCATGTGGGTATGTCTGTAGAATGTCGGTTAGTGTCTAATAGAGTGTGTGGGGTTACGGGGTTATTAGATTAGTATAGCTGCGGTTCATCTAGGTGTTCTTGTTGTTGTTGTTCTTTTGTGTGTGTCTCTTTAAAGTCGATTATTTAACTCCTACGAAAGCTGAAACTAGTTGAACATTCTCTAACTAAAAGTAGAACAAGAACGAATGCTAAGTATCAAAAGGAAAAATCTGTGAAAACTCCTACGGGCAGCGCCTTAAAATCGCTGCCTGCCATCCGGGAAGTGGGCGTGGCATTGTATTGCATACGTAGTATTACTTATATATCTTTAGCTATATATTCCTGTACGGCCAGGCGATGTTGCCGGCCGGGTGGTCATTGAGTATATACTTGAATTGATCTTGATTTACTTGAGGGATTCCTATTCGTCTTGCATTGGAAAAATTGAGATTCGGTTTATGATGTATATGTTTATGGTTCGCTGTAAGCATTTATATAAATAAGTTAAATATGTTTACTTATATACGTGGTTGCATATATGCCGGTATGTATGTATATAATTTTTTAATGAAGTATACAATATATTGCAATTTTAAATGTATATAACTGTTCAAGTCTTTTTGCATCTCTAATATATGAATATATAAATTAATATCTTTACGTTATTCATCGTTCATTTTATAAAATATCTCACCATGTTCGACTTCTGCCCTTCCATTTATTGTATAATAATCAAAATTGAATTGGTGTCATTGATCTTGAAATTATGGGTGTGGGTGTCTATCAGCTAGAGTTCCCGATTTCACATTAATCCAATTGAAACAACAAAAAAAAGTCCAATTCCTAATGTCTGATAAAAACCGATCTTTAATGAGAAAGGTAAACCTTCAAAGTTTATTTATTTTTTTAATAGCTTTTCCCTTTTAAAATAATTTTAAAAATAAATAAGAAAGTGAAATCGGGAGCGCAGCTGCATGTCTGTTTTTAAAGTGTTTCAGGGGGCTCTAATTAATTGTTGCAGGTGTGTCTTGGGGTATTACGATTTTGGGAATCAACTTGCCGCGTGTATAAAACAAGGTTTCTGTGTAAAAATATTTTTTGCATCGCCATTCCTCAATCTATTCGCGTTCTTCTTATTTTTACTTTTTGTCATTTTGTTTGTTTCTCGTTTTTTGTGGTGTATAATGTGTATAAATAAATCTTACTCATAAATAAATCAATTAAACGCTCGCCTCAATATATAATCTATTTATATTCGTAATTATTTCATATATATTTTGAATGTAAAATTGCAAATCACATAATTGTTACCACTACTGTTCAATGGAATTTCTTATATACGTTTTTTTTTAGATTTTCTTCGGTTTGTTTTTTTTGTTTTTATTTGGTTTGGTTTGCTTATGTGTATATAGGCATTTAATGCTATTTAAAACGCTATCAATAATCATCAATAAAGCCATGCATAAACACGATTTCGAACTATGGCCCTATAAACAATGCGCATAGCACTCTCTGGTCTAAATTCTAATTCTGCCCCGATATTCTGCTGCTAGACTTGCGACATGCGGCGTTACTTGGTTATCTACATGGCGCGCACGTATGTAGAATACGATGTAATAATCTGCTTTGTTGCTATAAAATTGTGGGCGTATGTGCGAGAGTGTGGGGGCGGGGTTTATAATTAATGGTTTCTTGCTCGTTGTATAATTAAGTTCGAATGGTTTTCAATATTTTGTTGTTACTTTGCATTTACTATTATTAATTTCGATATAAAACTGCCTCTTTTAAATATATTTATTTATTTGTAATATATTCATGTGTATATATATGCTTTAAAAAATAACCTCTATCGCCGTCCGCCTCGTTCATCAATTCTTAAATTATGAAATAATTGTAATTGACAATTTAATTAAATTGTTTTCAAGTTTACTCTTTCGGTTTTTTTTTGCCATTTGCATTTGCATTTGCCATTTGCCAATAGCTTTTGGCTTCGGAATAAAAACTACGCGTAAAATAAATACATGTTTTGTGTATATATCAATACTTCTCGATTTTTGTTTTTATAGAATTACAAATTTTTGTATTTTTTGGTTTTTTGTTCGTTAAAAACTATGTCACTTAACTTTGGAATTGCTTTTAGTTATCATTTGTTTTACAAGTGCGTCTCTACGTCTATCATCATCGTTTCATCATCAACCATTCAGCTTTCTGCCTACTGCCTTCTTTTTCTACTCCGAATTCTCAGACTTCCCGACTTCGGGGGATATCTACATGCGAGTATATCCTTTTCGGAATTTGGGGAGGATGCGTTCCTGTCCATTGGAAACCTTTGGCTGGGCCAAAGCTCGAGGGGTCGCGGGTACGGGGGTAGTTTCTTGTATAAAATTGTTTTTAAACTTGCAATTATATATGTACACGAGTCATGGGGTTCTAATGCTAGTAATAAAATAACTATTTCGTAAGTACTTTGTTGCATGTGTATGAGAATGTCGTAATTGGGGTCGCTTCCATCATATACCTTCCATACTTTGAATGTATTTATTTATGTTAAGTATTGTCCTTGTGATATGTTTCTAAATTGTTTTCTCATTAATTTTAATCATTTCTAAGTAATTGAAGTAGTTTTCTGTTTATCGAGTTAGAGCATAATATGGAAGTAATCTCATCTTAAACTTGGTTAGAGTGTAAAGTTGCCGCAGCGGTTAAAATGGTTCGTCGTTCGTCGATCATCGATCATTGATCATTGATCATCGATCGTCGATAGTCGTCACTATATATATCCGATTTCCGATTGCTAACTTGATCATTGAGTACGGTTAAAAAGAGTCTAAGAGCGAGAGAGATATAGGGAGTTGCGGGAAGTGCTATAAGTTCACTAATTGATTAGTTTGCTAAGACTTGAACTGAGCTCCGATCGAATCCTTAAGTACTCGGACTAAATATCTAGGTGAGTGGGTAGTGGTGAGTGTATTGGGGGTGTATATAAACTCTAGAGCCCTAAAACGATGCCTAAAAGTAGATATTTACCAAAAAACATGCAAATTGGTTCTGCTCGCTAGGTATTAATCATTTAGTTCATATGTATACATATAATTTGCCGTTCCCTTCTTCATTCCCTCCTTCTGTATATAATGCTTATTTGATCTGTGTATATATAGAATTTCTACTTATGTTCCATAATATTCGTTGTGTCAGATTTTTACTATAAGTTACGTTTTGGATTTCCTTCTCAAACCTTTTGTTTTTTTTCTTTGTTCTTTTGCCTCCCAATCTTCGTTCAGTAAAAGTTGCAACTTGGAGAGATTTTCGGGATAGTTCAGAGATTATAAGTGAGTAGATATAAGTGTGTGTATATAACTGCTTGAAGAAGATTCTATTGAGTTGAGATCCATCATCATCATCTGCCTTCTGTTTAATGAACTACTCCGCTAGTAAGCCGATTCCTAGACTAGATTTTGTTTGTTTTTTAATTCTTATTTTGTTTTGTTTTTCGTTTTAGTATTAATTTGATAAGGGTGCTCGAGTATTGCTTATAGGGTTCTGGTGTAAAGTATCTTAGTTGCGGGCAGGAGAGTTATCGCTCGATGGTTCCTAGGCCACCACAATGTCCTGGCTGTTCTCATCGCTGTCCAGATCGTCGCCCTCCAGGTCGTCCTGCTTGCTGCAGTCGTCGTCGTCCTCGTCCAATCCCTTGTCCTGATCAATGGCCCCGGTGTCCCGCAGACAGGCCGACTCCAGATGCTTGTTGAGGTACGATTTGAGGGCGAAGGTCTTGTTGCAGCGATGGCACTTGAAGTTCTTGTCCCCCGAATGGGTTTGCATGTGGGCCCGCAGATTGGAGCGGTCGGCAAAGGCTTTGCCGCAATGGACACAGGCGTAGGGCTTCTCGCCGGTGTGGGATCTCAGGTGACCCTGGAGCAGCCAGGGTCTGGAGAAGAGTTTGCCGCAGATGTCGCAGCTGTGCGAGAGCTTGTGCGTGAGCAAGTGCATTGCCAGGGCGGGCATGGACACGTAGGCCTTGCCGCAGGTGTTACACTTCTTGGCCGATTGCGAGTCCAGGGAGCGATGGGTCTGCTTGTGGCGCGAGAGATTCGAGGAGGTGGCATACTGCTTTCCGCACTCGCAGCACTTGTAGCAGCCCCTCTTCCGCTTGGCGTAGTTCTCCCCGTTTCCCGAGGAGCCGTGTCCCGTGGTCGTCGGTGTTTCAGGGGGCTCCGATGTGGTGTTGCCCCCCGAGGAGGAGGCATTGCTCTGGGCACTCTTGGGCCGCGGCTGCACTGGTTCCTGCCTCTCCGGCTTGCCCACTGCAGCCGCTCTGCTCGCCTTGGTCCTGCCATCCAGCATGTTGAGGCACATCTTCAGGGCCGACGCCCTCTGCTGACTCTGCGGATTGGGCTTGCCCCATTGCTGCAGCCCCGACTCGGAGGAGGAAGACATGTCTATATCCACGTCGGAGCTGTGGTCCGAGTTCGGGGGCGTCAAGGGCGAGCAGTTGTTGGCCCCCTCCGAGGAGCCGCTCATCAGGTCGTAGGAGCTGCTGCCTATGAACCGGATGGTCGACTGGGGCGATCGGCTGGAAGCGCTGTTCGATATCTCCTGGATCTCCGGGGAGCGGAGCTGCTCCTGCTCCTGCTTCATGATGGTGACCACGCAGGGCGGGATTAGGGGCGGCAAACTCTGCGAAAGGGAGAGCAGATCGTGGGCCGCTTCCGTTTCCTCGACACTGCGACCCCGGTAAATCGAGGCGGCCACTTGTTGCTCCCTCACCCTGTCCCGCTCTCGCTCCCTCTCCCTCTCACGCTCCCTCTTCAAGGTCACCGGCTCCGGCTGGCGCGGCGATCCACTAGCGCTGGCGGGCGGGGCGTAGAAAATCACCTTGCCATCCTCCGCCGGAGCTCTGCCCACTGGACGGCGCAGCGATACTGTATTATGAGAAAGATTTACTTAGATTTAGTACCCAGGAAATGCCTGCAAACTCATAGAAACTAACAGTCCAAGGGCATCGAATCATCATCCTCGGCATCGAACTCCTTCGAGTTCATCTTTCACATCACAAAATGACGAAAATCGGGAAATCACTGACTCCAAACTTAATTAAACTCAATAATTGTCAAAAAGACTTGTTGATTTTTTAGACTGACCAGTTAAAAGATTGCCATCTTTGACCAGGGGTCAGCTTTACTACCAGAGTTGCCTAATCAACTGCGAGCTTTGACATTTCGGAACGGTGGAATGAAATCAACTCAGATTCAATTTGAATCAAAATGTTTGATTGGTTTTAAATCCAATTAAATGGTGGGCCCAGATGGAAAAAGGTAGAAAGAACCTAAAATCACCAAACTAACCTTTGAGAGTTGTGCAAAAATAAGAAAACGGAAATAAATATATAAATAAGCTTATTTATCAACTGAGTGGTTGAATTTATTATTCAGGAGTAATTTAATTTATACAGAACATTTTCATTAAAGCATACTTAAGCAGGTAACAAAAGAAACTTAAACGAACATTATTTAATTAAAACATACAAATCAACTAAGTAAAATAATAAAAATAGCAATAAAATTAAGAAATAAGTACATACATATATATAATTTAAATTAGTTAGCAACCTTAAAGTAATAATAATAATTATAACTGAAGTACTTATAAAAGTGAGTAAATAATAAACACGTTGTCTTAATTGCAGTCCTTAAAATTACATACATTTGAATGCATGTATATAGTAAACACCCTTGCTTTTAATTGGTTCACCTAACGAATTGTACCCTGTATCTTACTTTATATTCCTCTGCCTTCTTTTTTGTGCTCCCACCTGTAGACCCCAGAGGTTGTAACCTGAAACCTTTAGCTCCTTCGGACTGTCTTTATTAAAACTGAAACTTGTTTTTGTGTGCCTTTTTTAAGCTCGTCCTAATACACATGTGTAGTTAGGGTGCGTGTGCCAAATGCAAGTCATATTCCACAAAAGGGGCTACCAAAGGGATCATAAAGGCAGCAAAAGCAGTAACCATAAATGCACATTTTGGCATTTTATCGGACTGAAGCTGAGGCTGACGCAATATACACATCCCTTCTCCACTGCGGCTGACCTGTTACGTTCCGAGTTCCTCAATCGATATGACGACCTCCCGACCGCCCAACATCGCCCTAAAACCTCCCAACCACCCCCTGCCAACGGCAGTCAATGCCGCTTGTTTGCATTTGCTTCTTCTTCAGCTTTTCCTCAGCTTTTCCTCCCCTTTCACCCCACTTTTCCATGCTTTTTCCTTCATTCAAGAGCAACAAGCAACGACATCGACAAGAAGGCAAGCGCAAACATGGAAAATGCCAACATACGCTAAAAAGATTAGCTAACGGCGACAATGTCAAACACGAGCGCTCACAGTGGAGTGCTCCAAGTGGGGAGGGGATTGTGTGGGGTCACCACCAGCCACCAGTCACCAGTGGGGGGTCACCAGCGCGGTTGAAGGACGCTGGCCAAGTGGGTGGCCATAAAATGGTTGGAAGTGCCGCTGGCTTTCGATGATGGAGTGGGATCATAGGAACCAGGCTACTAAAAATAAATACACCAGCACACACAAATTGTCGCAGCCACCTGTTCACATTGTTGTGACGCAACTTTCAGGGGGGTGCAGGTGGTGGATTCCCACAAATGGAACAATAGCTACACAGAGAAGAAAACAGCTTTCACAACCCAAGAATATATTAACTTGAAATTACACGCAAAAAATTGGATTCCTAATTGAACAAAAAAGAGATTATAATAAATACTACTACCTCAAACATGGTAAAAAAAAGTGAATGTTGAAAAATGTTTGTACAAATCAATAATTAAAAACACAAATAAATAATATTTCAATAAAAGAACAAAGGTCTTTAAAATCATACTGGGAAGGGGATGTGTTTATGCCCATTTTGAACATTCAAATGTTCAGGAAGCTAATGTAGGCTCACCATCAACTTTGTTAATAATCATTTGAACATGAAACTTCCTAGTAGAAAATTACATACGATTACTATAATATATTTTCCACACGGAAAGTTTTTTAATTAGAACCTTTGAATAAAAATAAATAGATTTAACTTGGTTATTTTCTGTTAAAAATAAAAATCTGATTTGAATTCTGTGATTCTTAATTAAAGATATATACGAAATGAAAATATCTTCAAAATTCAGTGAAATAAGATATAAACATACCTGAGGCGGAAATTGGTGCTGCCACAGTTGCAGGAGATCCCGTAGTTCCCGCTCGTCGCTGTTTCTCCTGTTTGGAGGAGTTCATCTGGACCAAGGACTGGGCGGCTGACCACTCCAGGTGCTCGCATAGCTGATCCTCCTGCTCCTCGCCCTCCTCGTCGTCCAGATCGATGATTTCCCTTCTCAGAACCGATCGCGAGGATCTCTTGGCCAACGATTTGAGGGGTGACTTTCCGCCATTTCCCAGGCCATTTCCATTGGCATTTCTTAGCACCGAACTGGCAGTCACTGGGGACTTATCCTCCAGCTTCAGTTTTCCCGCGGTCCTGGGCTTTGGGCGTCGCCAGCTCTGCAGGTCGGTTCCTGATCCTGATCCTGATCCGGCTGCTGATCCCAAATGGGATCCCGATCCGCCGGCCACATACTTCTTGCTGGCACTCGCATAGGCAATCGTTTGGATCTTGTTGCGATTGGGCAGTATAAAGTCCACGGACATTTTGCCTGCAAAACGGGTCACCGTATCCGGAACCGCTTGCCTTCCTTTGCCAGTTCGAAATTCCGGGGACTCCCCGTCCACTTGTTCGCTCTCTGTTTATTTTGGTCTAGGTTTTTGGTTTTGGTTTAGGGTTTTCGGGTCGTGGGGCGTGTGGGTGTGTGGTTTTGGGGTTTCTTATGCTTAGATTTGTTTTGTATTTACTATGTAGATGTAGCACAACCTTCTTTGTCATCTGCAGTTTAAAATGCTTTTGCTTTTATAGCTATATAGCCGTAGCTCTTGCCCCGCCCGTCCGTCTGCCTTTTTGGCCCTCCTCTACTTCAATTTTGACATTGACATGAGTTGCCTTGAGAGTATTGCTGCGGTTGCTCCTTCAGCTTTGATTCCTTGCCCCGAAGTTGCGGATGTTGCAATTTTGTGCCCTTTTGGCTCGCCGGCTGGCTGGCATCCTCCTGCCCCCTTCAAGAAATCCCTTTCTGTCCTACCACATCCGCTTGGCAGCTTGTTTTACTCATAAGCCCGGCTATCTCCGCAATTGAAGGTATTTGGCGTTCGTTGTTGCGTTGCCTTTCCTGTTCTGCAAGTAATGGAAATACAGGTACATTAAATTCCACTTATTTACCGGTAAGACTGTGCACAAGACTGTCACATTTACATGCAAATAATAGTAACTCAAGGGACGAAGACAAAGGCGGGTCTGCGAAACATGCAGCTTATTAAAATGAATGTTCGCTGATGGGAACTTTATTAAAGTACTTCAAAATATATTTAAAGGTATACAAATTAGAATTATAATTGCACATTTTATTGTCCAATATTGGAGTAAACATAAATGACATAGATCTCATGGAATCAAAATCAAACTTGGTCGTTAAATTACAGTTAAGTTGTAACTGTGCTACAAAACCAAGCTTAAACATTATTGAACTGAGTTAAACTGAAGTTGGTGTTGCTTATAAGTATACTCCTAGCTTAGATCATTCATTTGAAAGAGATAAGCTTAATCAATAGACGATCTAAGAAAGATATTTTTAAAATTCCGTGTATTATAAGCTAGTTTTTAAATTTCCATAGAATCATATGTGTGTGTATTATTTATAGATAAATGAAATATGCTGAATACTTTGGTTAAGATATTGTAAAAGATCTCACAGAAGGCTACATATAACTTATACCCCGGGTTTCTGAACCCATAAAAAGAAAGAAACCGTTGCTGGGACTTCCAAAAGCAATTCCTGATAGCCCATTAGACCACCTTGCCTTAGCGTTACCCCATAAATCGCAGGTAAATACTCTATGGCAACCATTAACTGCACACTCCGCCACTCTCCAAACGCCTTGCACTCGAAAAAAACGCAACCAACAAAATTGCATAATTTAAACGGCGATTAAAGTGCGAAAATTGTAAACAAGTTCCTGCAGTTGGTTGGTAGTCATAATATTTACATTATAAATGCAGAAACCGCCGTGCAATCAACAGAAGGGAACAGGACATCCCGCCGAGGTGGGGTGGTGGGTGGTTTTTCCAGTGGGCTGGGGCAATTTGCAACACTTGATTACACTTAATTGATAAATTGTTATACTTTTTGCACTAAATTGCATGGTTTATACACGGACTGGCAGTTCATTCTCTGCGAGAGACCGATGGACTGGGAAATGGTGGTGGGGAGAGGGGAGAGGGGTGTGGTGGTTCTGGGCGGAAAAGCTTCCATTGGAAGGTGGCGCACACGCACGCACACCGAAACTATCTATCCCTATCCCACGTTTAAAAATGGCGCATACACTCGCTGCCATTGTTTAGGAAATGCACTAACCGAGGTTCTACGAATTCGATGGGGATTATCCCGATAGGGACTCCTCGAAATGCTTGCCTGTATTTTGTTAGGTCGTATCACATGTTGAATATATTATTAGGTAATGGTTTAGCTTGCGGTTTTTGGAAAATCCTATAAATTTTCCTCTTTTTTCCGCTCGTTGTTTCAGCAACAACAACTTGTTCACTCTGCACTTGTCGAATGTTTTGTGAATTGAAATCGACGGAGAAGCTCTCAGAGAGTTCTCCGCGAGTGAGAGAGTCGGAGAAAGAGAATTCGGCGCACTCGCTGAACTTGCGAACTAGCTACTAGAGTCCTTGTAGCGAGTACATGCAACAAATAGTCAACTGTTGGTTGCCTTAGCCTACCTCACTGTACCACCCCCTTTCACCCTTTTCTCGCTTTCCCTCTCTCTCGCTCTCTCCTTCTCAATTTCTCTCTTGAGTTCTCTTTCTCCTGCTGCACATAAACAATGCGAGATTTTTATTGCATACTTTGCAGCTGCAGCGACTTATACACACACATATAAAAAACATATATATGCAATATATCACATTGTCACATGCAACACCAAATCAAATCATGCATGAATTGGCTTTTAATTTTGGAAGGATTCCGTAATATGTTTATTTTTAACTCTAGAAACCAAAACAGGCGTACATTTATAGCGGTTATATGATATGATATAGTAGGAAGCTCTCGTACTCGCTCTGATTTGTGGCTTGTTTTTTTCACACTCACACAGTTTGCTCTTTTCGTTTTCGTTTGCTTTTTATAGTTATAGATTTTCCTTCTTTTTTTTTGCACTTGGTCACGTAAGTTTCTGGACTTTTGTTTTATATATTTTACAGTTTATATTATTGTGGTGCGGTATTGTGCTGGCTATATTAAACTATGGACTTGTTTGGCCTGCCGCTGTGCGTCAGTTTTTGACGTACCACTCCCTTCTACTGTGCGCTTGGCATTCGCAGCTTTTCGCTGGGTCTGCCGCTCAGTTGCTATATAGCATACATATATACACGTACATCTATAGATATGTGTGTGATTTACAGCGAGTGTGCGTGATTTCGGGTCAACACCAACGCACACCTCTAAAAGAGGGTGGTATTTTCGGTGGCAAGGGGTTGGTTTTGTGGCCTAGTGGTAAAGGGGTTTACGGTTTGGTAGGTCCTGCCATATTCCCTAAAAAAGAACCTAAAGTTCGGGCAATATTTTTCTGATTTATTGGCCACCCATTAATGTAATATATAGATCCCACACAAAGACACAACAAGTAGCCAGCAACACCAGCCCCTAGCCGCCCAAAAAACACCCAAAAACATGCAACAACCCCATGAGAGAACTCGCAACGCGACTGCGCAGATTCTCTATATTTATGAAACTTCTCCCAAACTACAACCAGCGAGTCACTAATACCATCGCAAAAGGATATATCCTGGCAGGAACTCGTGCCACACACACTTGTGGATTGCCGAAAATTATGCAACAGCACCGCATTTGGAGTGGGGAGGGGGGGATTTGAGCCACAGGGGGCCGCAAAACCGGGAAGAAGTACCTTCCATAAAAACCGAAAAAGCCGGGGGTGTGTTTTGATGTCTGCCACTTGGCTGCCAAAAAAAAAAACCAATCCCAATCCCAAACCATACCGAAACCGAAACCTGGAAGTCCGAAGTTCTAAGGGGTTCCAGCTTAGAAATAAATTATGAGCTGCTCCAGCTGTAAGCGTTTAATTTGGTATTGTTTTCATTCTTCGGTTAGCTTTTTTCTTTTCGGTTAGCTAGACCAAATATTTAGCATAGTTGACAACTGAAACTTGCTCCTTTCTGCTCTGCGCTGTTGTCCTTTTTAACGTTCTGAGGTTTTGGGTTTATTTCGTTACGTTTCGTTTGGTTTGCTTTCATTTGGTTTGGTTTGTTTGCACAGGCCGAGATGCGAGACCGAATCGAAAGGGGGCCAAAGGACACACAGAACGGCCGCAAGGACTCCATGGCCCGTGGCCCATTATTGCCTCCTCGTCGGTTGGAACCACCACCCCCTCCATCTCTCCATTACCCCAAACCGAATCCAATAGAGTCCCTTGTGGTTGCTTTTTTTTTTGGTTTGGTGGCATTGCTGCTGCGTTGACATCAGCGCTTCCGCTGCGGGCTTCCTTATTATTCCTGTCACTAAGCCGCCCTTTAAATTCGCAATGAATGCCAAACAGCGAAACAGTTAAATGTTTTTTTTCGGGGTCCCGCTGTTGTTCGAGCCACGGAAGTGCAACACCAACCAACCAAGCAGCCCAACAGACCAACCCAGAGCAGACCGGAACAGGATGCACCGAGAGAAAATATTTTTTGATGGATATTTCAATATCACTAATGTTAAGGATTATTTTACTGCAAGCAGTTTTTTGAACTACCTTTCCTTGCCTTAAACGACTTTATGTTAGGTTTTTAAGCAAAGTTAAACTATAATTAAATAAAATTAAAAATATAAAATTCAGTGGCGAAGGTTAGGGCAAAGAATTTATAACATATGAAGGGATAAAGCTACCTAATTTGAATATTAAAATTGTACGATTAAAATATACGTTTTATAAATTTAAGCCCGGGAACAAATCTACTTGATTTGATGATGAGCCCCTATTGTGGCTTTCCTTGACGAAAATTAAGCTATTATGTGTTGATTATAACATATGGAAAAATTCGAATAGAGCAATTTAAAAGTTTAGAGTGTAAAATACAAGAAACTAAAAGCAAAACACTATAAAATTGTTATGAAAAGTATTTGTATTATTAATCAAGGGTGAAAGTAGTGAAGATTAACAACTTAAAACAATTTTTTAGTGTGTTTAAATGGGTTTCGCAATCGGGTTCTGGTTTGGGTCCTGGCAATGCTACAGGGAAATGGTCTGGGAAAGGGAGTGGAAGCAACCGCAAGGTTACCCCGGCCAAAGGGGTTGCTGTTGCTGTTGCTGTTGCCATTGAGTTGGCTATGATGTCCTGATGTCCTGCCGCGTCGTCGGCTGCCTTCGCGGTTACATTGACCCTTTTTCCACGGCCGCCTTTTGTTGCCGCTTCGTAGGCTTTCTTGCCGTCAACGCTAATGGAGCTTAAAAAGTTGTCAAAGCGGCGCGGGTTTTATATTTTAATTTCAAAGTGCCAAAATAGAAAATGAAATGGAGCAAAAAGGGGAGGGGGAGTCATCAAAAGGGCTCGCAACAAGGCATCAAATCAACTGGGTTCTGTCATCGCAAATCAGACGCGAAGTGGGCAAAAAAGGTGGTGGAGGGGTTGCCGGTCTATATGCACAGTAGACTATAGTCTGGGCATTTGTGGAGACCGACGGCCAACTCCTGTTGCCCATTTATTGCCATATGCTGACAGTGTTGCTCGCGGGTGGCGATGGGGGCCAATTTGAGCTGTCATAAAAATGTACAACAACCCGGCTACAAAGCAAACAATGCGACGAGTGCCAACAGCAACACAAAAACAGCAGCAACATCTACGGCAGCAACAGCAATGGCCGCATTCAGCAATTGTGCAAACAAATTGCTGTTGCACTTTACTTTTATTTTACGAGTGCGAATGCCAGAGCTTACTATTTTCTTTTTTTTTTTTTTTCGTTGTATTCGTTGACGGACCAAGGGAGTCCTGAAGTCCCGGAGACCCGGAGTCCTGGGCTCCTCCACTACCACCCCAACCAATTTGCATTTTACTATCGCTGCAGGTTTTTATAGTTGTTGCTTTTGCATTTGCTCTTACTTTTTGATGCCTCACTCGGGTTTCGGGATCCTTGTTCTGGTCCTGGTTTTATTTGCGGCCCGCAATTTCCCTGCCCCTTCCCCCCTTCCCCCGATCCCCGCCTTATCCGCCGAGCTCATCCCATCCGCTTTTGCGGAATTCTCTGGTCATAAAGTTTACTTAACATGCCGCTGACGCTTTACTATTTTTTCTCCTGTTAGATTTGGGATTGCACAAGTCAAGCTCCTTTGGCCAGATGGACGACAAATACAGACGCAAACAAGGACTCAAGCTCACAGACACGGATGAAGAAGAATATTCTCCAGCATTTCTAATGTGGCCTGTTATGGCTCGCCATTAATTATATCAATTTCTGGGCGAGAACTTCAAGTAAACCAAACCACTTCAATGGCGGGCTACTCAACTTGATTAGTTTGATCAAGAGGTAAAGCTCACTTTCGGTCAGATTTATTGCCCAAGAACACTTTGAAATATTTGTGAAATGCATTTGTTGTCGGCGCAGATGCATTTTGTAAATGTCTTTAAAGATTTATTAAAGTTTTTTGTTGGTTTTCTGGGGTGGAACATTGTGGAATGTGGCCCTTAAAAATCAACAGCAATTTCCTTTAATTGTGGGCAAAATCAAGAAAACAAACTTTAAATGTATTCAATCTACAAATTTAAATTTTTAGATTCATATTTTGAAACATTTTATTAGAAAACTAAATTCCAAGCATGTCATAATATTTTATAGCATCATTCTATTTGAACGATTACGAATGGTCATCAAAAAAATACAGCCATATAAGTTAAAGTCTTTAAAAAACGCTTAAATTTACTACCAATAAAAGCAATAGGACGCTTAAATATTATTTATGATTAAATGGGTTAAATTATATTTAAAACATAATGCAAAGCTAAGTAATTAAATTTCACACCCTCCAGATTGTTTCCAATTAAATATTCCTTATAATGTACAAATATTTCTAAAGTCAATCGACAAAAAAAGACAGATCGTGAAACCCACATGTGAAGTTATTTCTAATATCTCAATTGAAATCTGAATCACTCCTCTCCCCCGCAAAATAAAAATCCCAGTCAAAACGAGCTAACAAACACTCCTAATCCATATTCCATCAAATTCCCTTTTAATACAGCAAACTCGAGAGTAAAATATAAACAATTTACAGCCACTTGCTAAGGTGAAATTTATTCAGAGTCCCATTCAATCGCGATGCCACTAAGCTCGCAAGGTGCTTTTCCCTCCTTTTTTCCGGACGGAATGGGCTGTGGATGGGGATGGGTTTTCCCTCTTTTCCGAGCGATTTACGAGTCTGGCCTGGGTTCTATGTTATCCCGGGGTATCCCCTGCATTTTACAACATTTGTATTTATTTGGCGTCATGAGTTTAAGATGTTGTTGATATATGTTTACCGTTGGGTGACACACACACACACGCCCACACACAGCAAGTGGCAACTGCTGCAGCTACACATAAGTAAATTAGGATTTATGCTTTGTTCTATTTGAGCGCTGCAAAGCCATAAACGATTTTTTATGCACAGCCACTTGGTTTTTGCGCGGAATGGAGAAGCAGTTCGCACCTTGCCGAATACGATTTACGACTTTGAGCATGTGAGAACGTAAAATTGTTATAAATTTGCATGTGCAGAAGGCGAAAGAAGCAGGCAGCTAAAGAAGCAACTACGTCTCACCACTCTGAAAAATAATGCTTAGAATCGCAGTAAAATTTACTGATTCACCATAAAACTAACCTGAATCAAATCCAAAGAATAAGAGATTCTTAAAATTTCACGAAACATTTATGTTTTAATAAAACACACCCATTGTGTTGGCTACAAGTATAAAAACAGAATTCGGAGGATAGATAAACGCACATTTATCGTTAAGTTTAATATGATGTTTTAAAATTCATTCTTTAAAAATAATTTTTTTCCTTCTGGTTTTCTGGTGGTTTTAAATCATTCTTTAAAGTAAACATAAAGTAAATAATACTTCTTTACAAATAAAACCAAATCAGTAAATTTCTTCCTACTTCTGTACATCATACACAAATTTATATACATAGTTATATTACAAATCATCAACTATATTATTGATAAAATAAAAAAACAAAACAAATGATTCCAGATAATAGCTCTAAAGTAATACAACAATTTTAAGCTATTTGGAATCACCTAAAAAGGTGTCTCATGAAATGTAGTGCTACATAAAAAACACGTTCTGTGGCAATTCCCAAATTCCCAATTAAAGATTAATCAATTTTAACAAATTTAAAAATGAATATATTAACATATTTTTTGTGCAGTGCTAGAACGAGAACAGCTTCTTTGGCGATGAGGAGGCAATAAACCCAACTTACGGCCAAGATCAATCGCGGCGGCTTGAGCCAGTTAATGGCACATGAAACTGAACAACAGAGGCACTCTGCGAATCGCCGGCTGACAAAGGAGCAGCTCAGCCCAATTGCAGGACGAAGAAGAAGGCAGGACGAAGGACATATTCGGTGCTCTGTGTTCCCGGCGCCAAGTGAGCGTAATTAATGCGCTCAAATTTATCAAGCTGCATTAGGGCAATGAATGAAACCTGTAACTCATTTTGTCACCGAAAGTAAACAACATAGTACAATGCGATGTAAACTGTTGCTAAGCCATCGCGTGTGTGCATATGTCTAAAAGTTTTTCCCTATTTCCCCCCACTCACATTTCCACTCACATTCAGGACTTATTCTTTGCCCCGTGACCCACATGACTGACACTCCGCGATGACGCAAATCTTAAAGCCGAAAAAGCCCCCGAAAAACACTGAATACAGTAGTAAGATGTTGTCGGCAGATAGTCCCCACTGGATTAATGCTGCCATAATTTCAGAGAGAGGCCTAAGGCCTTGTGGAGTGGAGTTCATTTAATATATCCGATAAAAGTATTTGCAATAAATCCTGTAAAAGCTAATGATTAATTGCTCTGTAGCTTTTAACGTCAACGCGGGATACTAGAGGCACGGATTGTGTGTCAGCAGACGGCAACAAAGCCAAAAGTGCCAGGCGACATTGGCCAACGTGGCGTATGAGTAATTCGACTTTGACGCCGCTGCGCCGCGCGTGGTTTTGCCTACAGCCACACACACGCACACACACATACTCTTCCCAGGACCTTCTCACACACACACAATGGGACATGTGTCTCCTCTGTTAGTGTTCGTTTCATGTTTTGCGTTATTGTCGCTTCAAGTAAAAACACAAAAATATTTATTTCAAATGAGTCCTGTGTACAACTGGGGACTGCGGAAACTGGTAAACAGAATGCTTTCTCTGCCCAGCCCCCAATGACCACGCCCCCAAAACGCCCATCGGGAGATACCCTGTAAAGGGAAAAAGTGTATGACAAAATTGGATGGTAAACTATGGGTAAAGATACATTAAAGTTTGGGTCTGAACCAATTTTTCTGGAAATTAAATTACTGAGATTATAATTATGCTGTTAAACATTTTACAATGAATATTATTATCATAAGGCTTAGTAAATCCATTCGCAATCTTTACAAGTTAAAAACACTTATAACATTATATGAAATAAAATTTAAGAGAATAGATTTATCATGGTTTTGTTTTTCAAAACAAATTTTTGTATGAAACTTAACAGGAACTATTACTCTTAGGTTGTTTATAGTTTCTGGATTGTTCATTAAATATTTACTCTAGTTTTATTTATTACATTTATTCTATAAGTTTAACTAATTTTCATATTATTCTTTTTTGTAAGCACTTTTTCTAAGGCCTTCCTATTTTGGGTACACCGAATTCGTATTCCCGATACTTCTGAATCGCCTTGTTTTTTTTTGGGAATTTCTTTTTTGTTTTTGGTGGGTGGCGAAAGTAACTTTCAGGGGGTTGGTTGGGCTGCTTCTGCTGCTCGCTGGCGCCTTTTTCCCGTGGCAGGGGAAGACAGCATTTGCCATAAATTGTGAAAGTGTCAACGAAAGGCAAAAATACACACAGACACACACACACACCCGGGGACACACACAGATGCAGATGGAGGCACACGCACGCACGCACTGAGGGAAAAAACAATGCTAACGACATACAAACAAACAAATCTATACTCATTTCGACTACTGTACTTTGGTGTGGGGAAGCAACACGCACGCATATTTATTTTGAACACATCTTTTTTCGGCCAGCTCTAGAAATGCGTTATATAAATATACGCCTCTACAGATATACATATATATATATATACGTAAGAGTATGTATGGGTCTATAGATTGCCTTTTACATACTCACGCATATTGTTCTAATCAGTGGCGATGTCCTGGCCTCCTTGGAATGTCAATTTTTTGTTGCCTAATTTATTTGGCCAACCCAAACCAATCCAAAGAAGAAACCACCCCGAAAAGGGGGAGTTACTTTTGACACCCCCCCCTCCCCACACAGAACCGCTTCAGCTGATTATTGTCATGGTCGAAATTCCCAGCGTTAGGCCATCCAGATTTTTTCTCCCCCAAAAATAGGAGGAGAACTTTGCATAAGCTCCTGCCGCTGACATCTTATGGAAGATGGATAGTTCTGTGGCGTGGTCAGGTACAATCGATAGCCGGCATATTTATGGTGGCCACGTGACCTCTCGCTGACCGCTGGCCATTGAAAAGGGCAGTTAACCCCCTGGAAAAGTAAAGGGGAAACTCTTTTCTTCGGCTCTTGGCAGATTTAAATCCCTCGAAAGCTGCCCAAAATAATTAATCTCCTTAATTGAATACATGCGATTATGAATCAGCAGCCAGGACAAGCACTTACCACAATTACTGCATTAATTTCCGCCACTTGTCGAGCTGCCCTAAGGCTTTTGGTTTGGGTTTTCTTCTCCGTTTCCTTTTGCCATTCCTTTTTGGGGGTTGTATGCTGTATATATAATAATCATAAGGAGCGCCAGAGCATCTGGTGGGAAGCGTTGGTCCAGTGTTCCACTAAATTGGACACATCTGCACAGTTTTTCCCCCCAGAAAATCCCCTCTTCTTCCTTTGGCAGCGTGTCAATCTTGCGAGTCAAATGGCGGCACGCATGGCAAAGTTTTCCAGCCAGGGAGCCGCTCCAAATCCCCGCACGTTTCCGCATTTCCACATTTCTACAATTCCACATTTCCCATTTCCAAATTGCCGGGAGTCTGGCGCATTTGCATTTGGCTCCGTACACAATTTGTATGCTTAAGTAAGCCGACTGCGTGCATGTTTCTAATGGGCGGCACAAAAGGTTAGGTTACCTGATGCTGAAACACGAAAAAAAACACGCTGGAAAAGCCGCTTTCCCGCCCGCTTTCCTGCCCCCTTCCCCCTGCAACAACTGAAAACTCATTTCGCCTCGGGCGTGACTTTTATAGCACTTTGTTTCCGAGTAGCTACAGCTATACAGAAAACCAGAACCCGAACTTGCACCAAAAAAACTTTAAAAAATGTAAAAACTTTCGATCTAAAGGTTTGAATACTCTTGTTTACCTATTGTTGTTATGACAGCTATTAAAGAGTTTTAAACTTTTTAGAAGAATTACTTTTAATTTAAAATACCTGTTTCAGTATTTCAAAAATATATTAAGAATAGTTTTACAAATTCTTCAGGTTTCTTTAAGAATTTATTTAAGAAACCTAATCAATAAATACAAAACTACATCTTATTAAAGACGTTCCAGCAGAATTGTCACTCCATTTAACTAAATATGAGAATGACTTTCTAGGTAAAATGTGATATTTTTCAAGATTTAATTAAGATAAAGTTTATTGACTAAGTAAATTAAAGTAAAAGTTTTAGTCAATGGGAAGTTTCTATTGGGAACTCCTTGAACTTTTTCTTTCAATGCCATTTTGAGGATGCCCTTTAGTTCAGAATCTGCTAAAAAAAACAAAGAGATTGTGACAAATAAAGGACGCACAATATAAAACAGACCTCGAAGCATAGGAAAAAGTTTTCAATGAAATCGGGGTAGACGAAATAATAGTAGACCTTTAAAATGACGAACTCGAGCAATTAACCTCTGTCAGGGTATACAAATGGGAAAAATGGATTTTTGTGGGAGCCAGAGCCACAAAACGCATTCGAAACTTTTGCCTTGGCAATTGCGAAAATGCCAAAATGCGAAACACATTTCGGGTTCAAGTTGCTGATGGTGATTGTTGCCGTTGCCGCTGCCGCTGCCGCTGCTGCTGCCGCTGCTGCTACTGATTGTTGTTGTTGGACTTATCAACACGCCGATCACTTGCGACAGTTTCCGTTTTGCCTCAGATACTCACCCATATACACAGGACCTAATTGCCCCGCACCCAGTTACAGTTACAGTTCCATTCCCACAAAACCCATCAACCCAAACCCCCCGCTCAAGGTGAGCAATGTAAAAACTTCCTGTGCACTCATTTAGTCCTGCTGAGCTGTTGTCCTTTATGTAAGCGGCAGCAGCAGCAGCAGCAACATCAGCAGCAGCAACAGCGACAACAGCAACATCGACAGCAGCAGCAACACCGGAGCAACACGCCCCTTTCACCCGAACAATACACAAAAATGAAACGAAAGGAAAAAAAACGGATATAGAAATTCAATACTTTGATTCGTGCCACAAGCAGAGCGAAGGAAGTGCAACCATACAAGGTAACCAAATAGCAGGACAACACGTACTACACTTGTTGGGAGACTCAATATACACTGCAAGAAACCAATAAGGTGGGCAGGTACTTTGTATAACATTGCAGTTGCACTTACGTCTTAAATCTTATTTATAATCTTCATAATGTTTATATTTTTAAGCAAGTAACAATGTTTCATCTTAACTAAAGTCAGATTTTTTTTATGATTTAAGGCTAGAGATATTCTGATGATACCTAAGTTTAAGGGAAAGAACTGCTTATAAAAGCACTATCAGAATGTATCCTCTTTCATATTTTCCACTGTGCAGAATCGAGGGAGGTGCATGAGGGGGTGCTGACTGGGCAACAAGATTTCCCAACTGCACTGGCAACTTTTGGGCAACAATGCTGCATTATACTTAGTGGTTTCCACTTGATTGATGCCATCTGTTAGCTACCCACCCAAAAAGTGGCGGGAAAGTTCACCTCCCAACTAACGATCGACAGCAATTCGAAATGTAATTGCCGAGCAAGTTACGTAGGAGTACTACTACATACTAATAACAACATCACGCAATGTTCGCCCGCGTGGGAAAGTAGAACCGACTTACGGTTGGCTAATTACCGACATATAGATATCCTGCGAGTGTAACTATTAACAGTCGGCAACAAGGCAGACACTGGCATCCGGTTTTCGGGGGGAGGGTGGAGGGTGGAGGGGGGCGAAGGACTCTGGGAAAGCTCTCCTCCGCTTTTCACTCCACTCACATGTCTGCCAATTATAAGCAACTAAACCGCAGATAAGAGCGGATGCTGAGGCTGCGACTGCGACTGAGACCATATATCCCAAGCCCGCAAACCAGACTAACCCCAAAGCAGCCCCATCTCACCGGATCCTGAACCCTGAATCCCGAACCCAACCTCAACCTCATCCTCATCCTTGTCCTCCCTGGGATGTGCTGTCAAAGCGACGTGACTAAGTGGTGAAAAATGATTTCGTGGCTACGTGTGACTCTCTCACAGGGAATGAGCGGGCGTTAAGCGTTCACGGCTTCCTCCTGGAGAAGTCCTGCAGATATCCTGGGACCAGCACTGCCACTGGAGGAACTGGGGAACCCGAGTAGCAGCCACAGCCATCGAGAGGGTCACTTGACGAGATACCTCCAGGGGGGTGAAATAATGCTGCGAAATGGATGGGGTTGAGAGGTGGGCTACCTTTTTTAGGAATGGGGAACTGGGATGCGAACTGGGGACTGAATGCATGTGCTGGAAGTGTTGTGCAATCGTCAAAGGATCAACATATTCGCTTTGCCTGGCGATGAGGTCGGTTCGTGAGGGAAATATATCAAGACTTCACGGGAAACTTCCGCTTGAAAGGGGTAGGGGTATAAGGAGGGAACTTAAAAAATATATATGAAGCCTTGAGACAGCAACGAAGACTTCTAAGAAAAGAAAACGATATTCGTCTTGGGCAGAACACACTAGTTCACCGAGGAAAGAAAACCCCGTGAGACAATAGAAATCCGTCGAAAACAATTAAAAGAGAGATATGATACACCATTTCATCATTTTTTCTTCCATATTTCAGTAAAGAAAGAAAATATCAAAAATAAATTACATTTCAGTAATTTAATCAGTTAACATAGAAGGACACTATCCTTAAATATTGAAGTATACTTAAAAGTTTTTAAGTAAAAGTAATAGGTTTTTTGGAAATAATTATCATTTAATGCGATCTTTTTCATTTACTTTTTTAATGTTTATGACATACATTTGACTAAGTCAAACAGAAATACTAGGAAAAAACATTAAGTTTCATCTGCATTTTGTATTGCTCATCGTTATTTCATCGCATTGGTTCCAACACTCATCTCTCAGTGGCAGTCACTTTGCTTTTCATCCAAAACGGAAAGATTCCTTAGCGCATCTGTCGCCAATTCAAGATGAGCTTCCTTTTATCCCGGCCAGGAACATTCCGCTGTCCTTCGTCTTTGGTCCTCCGCCCTCCTGTTGCGTGTCACGCTGTCGTCGCTGGCATCTTCTTCCCGCCCCCAAGGACCAATCCTGGCATCCTTTTGCACCTCCATCTGCCTGCATCCTTACTCCGTTCCTTTTCCTTCTTTCCGCCTTTCTCCTCGCAGTCTGGGCGTCGTTGTCTTGCTGCCAAGTAGCACTCAAAGTGAGTTTGCGACGCATTGCCGCATTGTCGCTACTTCATCAGCAGCTACGGCTGAAGCGAAAGCCAAAGCTATGTAGCTACGGCATCAAGTGCAAGTATCCGTGTCCTGGCTGCACTTGTGCAGCATCTCCTTCGTCATCTCCACCCCCTTTGCCGCCTTCTTGCCACTCTCCCCGCTCCCCGTTCCCCTTTCAAACACCTCCTGCAACACAGAATGTTGCCAGTTGGCAACTGAGCGTCCGCAGGAAATGAATACGTGTTGAATATTTGTCGAGTTGAAGCACAAGGACATGGAGGATAACATAAAGGATGGGGCTGCCGTTTCACTCACCCACCACCCCCTAAACATCTACATGGCAAACAAACACGCTCGCACATATATGTACAGCCAGGGTCAAAATAATGACTCTATCTACAACAGAGAATAAAATATTTAATGGGTTTGACAACCCTAATAAAGAAAATAAAAATAATAATAAATATATAAGATACAAAATGTTATAACATAACAACATAAAATCTTAAAAAAAAAACTCTAGTTCGGTTTTTGATCGAAACTCTGGGAAATAATGGTCAAATGTTTGAATATCATACATCGTTAAATTCGTTATAAAATTAACAATCGATTGGCATTCTCTGCTGAAATTTTTGAATTATATACATTTTTTAGAATATGTGAAAATCGGCCAAATTATAAATTTGTCCAAATCAACCTAAAATTGGTAGATTAGGTCCTCAACTGCATAAAAATGTCATTCTCTTGGCTGCGCGTCTTATTTTGGCTAAGTTTTTTGATAAAAACGATAATGTTTATTAATATTGTTTCTTCTGATATTACTAAAAAACTTATCGTTGTTAATTCTACTAGTAGTCTGTAAAGCATTATACAAAACGACATAATTCATAATATAACAAAATATTTATATACAAAAGCTCAACATTTAATTCAAAATGTTGTTTTTCCTCCTCGCATGTATCCAATTGCGTTTGTTTGGCACGGAGTGTATCCATCTACGTGGATGAGCTCCATGTGTCGCTTAGCCTTGCTGGCCGGGCTAATGCGCAAACCAAATATGATATACTATACGGGAATGTATATGCTGCGGATATATGTGCGGCGTAGCATCTGCCACAGATTTGCAAGCGTTTCACAAATAGCAACAACAGCAGCAGTGGCAATAGCGATAGCAGCAGCAACAACAGCAGCAACAGCAACAGCAGCGGCAACAACATCAGCATCCCATCAGCAACAAGCTGCAAGGACCAAAACGCCAGCTGCTGCAAATGGCACGCATGAAAATGAAAGGCCCATCGAATGGGCGCGTTCATTGAGAATTTATTTCAATAAGAGAAATGAGGAAAAAAGAGGAAAAATGGAGGGGGGATATAAGGTATCTTGAAGGGCAGCACTAAAGGCCATCGGAAACTATAATCACGTATGTGCATATGTCTGAAACAACACGAGTCGGCCAGGATATCAGCGCTAAGTGCTCTTGTTGCATGCTGCACAAGTAATTAAGATTAGTGACTCAATATGCACACAAAAACACACACATTAATATATACGTATCTACGTATTCGTCTGAAGACAGTATTCCTCAGACAAACAACTTAACTTGTTCTATGCCATCCTGCTTGCTTTGTTTTAGCTGCACTCTGCAAAAATTTAACAGGATGTTCTTGACATGCTCTTAGCTTAAAGCGTCTTAAAGAAATATATAAAGAAATGTGAACATAGGAGCCTAAAACACATTATAAAACTGTATTTTTAAATATATTAACTTGCTTCTAATTAAGATCCTTTAAGATGTACAACTCATCCAACCAATTTTCATTGAGATAATAAATAAATGGCTTATTTGAATGAAGTACGATGAATAATAACACAATATATTAGGTTTGCAAAGAACATTTAATTAAAAATATAGATCTTTTTCTGTTACCAATACAAATCACAAGTCTTAACTTCAGTGTAGAGAATCCCAGCTTTAATTTGTATCTCCTCTAAGTAATGTGTATCTTCACATGGCTTCTCTTACACTTGGAATTACCAATTTACACAGCCCAGATTTTGCCGAAAGCATCTTCCTTTGTGCGAATGAGTGTTGGCTCAGTAATTCCCACAAATTGAAGAATCAACTCGGTTCCTTGATTGATGCCTAACCCTCGCCAGTTTTGACTTCTCAGGGGCTTTAATTGAATCAACTGCTGCAAAGGGAAATGAAGCCTCAGATATTCAAAGTATTTCTGAAGCGGCTGCATCCTGAAAGCCATTAGTTTATGGATGGCAAACAAAACAAATGCCAGAGGGCGCTAACCTAAGCCCAAAACCCAATCCCAATCCCAGTCCCAGTCCCTGCCCCTTCCCTAAAAACGAGTCTTTATACCGAAGTCCCGAAATGAAATTCAAGATCTGGGTGCAGCAGAAACCAGAACCTAGAACCTGGAACCTGGACCCAGACAACAGAGTACGACAACTAGAACCTCAAACTGGGGTCAGGAATCAGCTGCTGTTGCATCTACTCAGAGGAAAATGGAAAATGAAATAATGCCAATGTGGACAGCTGTCGGAAAATTGTTGAAAGGCGAGTGAAAAGCGGTCTTCGCTCTCTGTATGGG